TGGTACCCAAGATTTTCAATTGTTTCCATGGCTGTCTGTGTGCAAGGGCAGTAGCGACTTGTTCACTACCAAGGGAACGAATGGCTGCCAAAGCCCGGTCTTCAACCACATTTTCAGGAATACCATGTTTCAGAAGCTCTTGCACAAGTGACTTAGTCAACTGTCCTTGAGGACCAAAACCCCAGCGCTCGGTAAGGGCATCAGCTTTGGGAGACCCTTCCCCAACATAGTGAAGGTGCAGCCATGCACGGATGCATGAATCGACACATGCGTGAAGCCCGCCTGCCCACGCAAGGACAGTCCAAGTGTAAGCTCCGCAACAGATTGTGTCACTGGCTGGCATGAGGAAGAAATTCCAATTTAAAAAGGAATCACAAAGGAACTTGGCAACAGGACTTTCTTCAATCCATACCCAGAGCGTCTGGCCAATTTTGCAACATACAATCGGAATCCAGTGAAAATCAAAGAGGACGGCAAATCCCCCAAAATGGCGTTCCGATGTCCAAAATGAGCAAAGTAGTGCATGTACATGATACAAACTGTCAAGGGCAATGCCCAGGGCAAATGTACAAGGCAACATAGTAGCCAGCCTCTGAAGGTGAAATTTCATTTCATGATGGCTCATACCTCGCATGCTACCAAACCTGTACGTGCACTTGTCCCCCAGCCCAATGGGTACAGACACCAATGTATCCTCATCATCAGGCATTATAGGGAGTAGCCTGGATTCCCCTGGGGCGCCCCATCCCCACTTGGTGGGCAACACAACATCGGAGTGTTGGATAGCTTCAGCAAAGATTTCCTTCATGTTCCAACATCTGGTGCGCAACTGGTGGACATCAACTGGCAGGCGCGTTCCCAATGCGATGTGTGCTAGGAAGCTGATGGACATCGCTCCACACAACCGTGAAACATCCAGACCATGTGGCACTCGGTGGATCATAACATCAGTGAAACCAAGGAAGTGGGCAAGGTCCCCCAACATTTGAGTGACAACTTGGTCATCATTTGCAAAATCCCCCAAAGTATGGCAGTGCGCAGAATCTCCTTGAGGTGAAATCCAAAATGGGACCCAATGCTGATCCACCAACATAATTGCAATGACCTGAGTATCTCTGGGGTTGTGAATCCAATGGATATTGAACCAATCTTGCATGAGTGTCTGATCGCCATCTTTCCATGCTTCAAGTGCAAGTGGTGGAATCATGGCAAACTTGCGTACTGGTCCGACCACACGAGGACCCTGAGAATGGCATTCAAGAATATGTCGGAGATGGAATTCAATCTCATCATTGCCCATAGCATAGCTGTGTGAGACTAACATCGCACTCCTATCTTGTCGTCGTTGGTCAAGAGCAGCTTGGTCTTCCTCGGGCATTATAGGGAGTTGCCCGGATTCCCGTGGCGTACCATTACCCCACACGACAGGTCTGGGTGTATATTCAATGGAGTACAGGTGTGCAACAAATGAGGCCCTCATGTTGGTATGAACAGTCCTCAGTTCTTGCAAATCTTCAGGCAGGGGCATGTGGACGATCACATGTGCAATGAAGGTCAAGGCCTGGGCCCCACACATCATATGCTCCGGCAGTCCTTGTGGGATCCTGTGGATGACGTGAGCACTAAAGCCCAGCTTTTCGGCCAATGTGGAAATGATGGCTTCAACCGGAGTGAAGTCAACGTCTGATTGGAATGTGTGAACCTGGAGGGTTTGCCCGTCAGGGACCATCCACAAGGGTAACCAATGATCATCAACCGCAACAGCAGTGACCACATTCTGTCCATGTGCAAAGATCTGTGGGTTCTTCAAGCACCACTGGCTCGCAATGATATGCCCGATAGAATCCCAGCAACTGAAGACCAGGGGTTCCATGGAAACAAATTTCCTTTCATGAATAGGCAGAGAAGCATTTGGCTGGTTATCCACAAGGTTCAAAAGGTGAAACCTGACTTCATCGTCACCCATGGCGAAACCCTTTTCATTAATCAAATCAATTCTTTGATCACGTGTGATATTCACCGCCAGTTGCAGATCATTAGCTGCGACTCGGGTTCCTGCGGTTTTGTCGCCCGCACCCCAGATCCATGGGCGACGGGCAATTTGGCATCTTACAAGTTCTTTGGTATATGCCTCTTTCAATCGCGCATGGATGACTGTTGCATCGGTGCAGTCACTCGGAAGTTGCGTCCCAATCAGCACGTGCCGAATGAAAGCAATGGCCAAAGCCCCACAGAGCTCAGTAGTGAAGAACAATCGGTGCTCACGTAAGATCATTGCTTCTTGGAAACCCAAAGCATCGGAAAGGGCAGTGATAACCCCCTCAAGACCATCATGTGAGGCATTCATTCCGTCCCAGGTATGGACGTTGAGGACTCCTTTCACCGGGGACATGAACAGTGGTACCCAATGACCATCCAGGAGGACAACCGTTACAATAGGCACCCCTTTGGTAGAGATTTCAGGATGATCTCTTGCCCACAAAGCAACATCAAATCCCTTGTTCTGAACCCACGCAGAGAAAACCAGGGGGTCAATCATACAAATCTCAGGGAAGGTACCTCCAGCCTTGACACGGGCATCCTGGCATGCTTGTACTGTGGCATTCAAGTGAAACCTGATTTCATCGTCGGCCCAAAATTGCATCTGGCTCTCAAGGATGGCAATTCTGTCGGATGTGCGCAGGAATTGGTGACGCAGCGACCAAAGCTGTTGTGCGTTCAACACGCATGGAACCTGCAGTTTCAGGAATTGGTCACCCGTAAGGCCTTGCAAGGCAGACGCGTCGAGCCAAGTTTGATCATCAGGCAGAACCATGGTTGGTGTGACACACTCACCCACATCAAATTTTGAAACTTTCTGCGGTACAGAAGCAATGGGTGTTTCAATTGCCGGCTGAGACCAAATCGCAGTTGGAGAGACAGCAATCTCATGGGTGGCTCTTGGGGGAACATTCTCACTCACATGAATGACGATCAATTGACCCACCTCAAGCACATGATCACGGTTGATACACTTACCATTCAGGGAAATGTAATCAATATCCACATGCTCAGTGAGACCAAATTGGGCTTGCAAGAACTGCTCAACTGTTGAGCCACACTTGAGTTGAAACCGGATTGGCGGGTCAGCACTGCCCTTGAATACCACCGTGCATGAGTCGGCGCACATGCAACCAACTGTGTTGGGGTCATCAACAATGGCAGGAAAGTCAAAGACTGGAATTTCCTCTTCTTCAGACTTGCCATCAATTTCAACCACCGTGGGTTTGACTCCCATATGGGTTCGGATCAAATAGTCCAGAATGGAAGCAATACTGACAGTGCCATCAATTTTCCCCTCCCATCTAAGTGGAAAGACCAGTTCAAGGAGCGAAAGGTGTTGAAGTTCCTTCCAAAACATCATCATGTCGCAAAGTTTCTGATCTTGAATCAAACATGCATCCGTTGGCCACACCTGTCTGCATCTCATGAGGAGCCATGACCTGTAAGCCTGGGTTTGGGTGTTTGAGTCAAATGAAGGAAAATTTCTCATGACATCAAGTCTTTCCAATATGGCACCGAAGACCCATAATGCCTGCAACGGACAAGCAATCTGGCCGACTGCCGAAAGGGTGAGACGAACGTCGGTTCCAAAATCAATCACAGGATCAAACGTGTTTAAACACATCACTTCATTTGGGTGCAGGTGTCGAATGACGGACGATCCATCTGGAAATTGAGCACTGCGAGTGAGACATCCATGGAGTCCCTTGCTGGCCAAACGAGCATGTGAAAAACCCGACTTCCTGCAACCGCATGGGCAAGCTCTGGTCTGAGATCCCCAAGCATGAAGAGCACATGGGGCTTTTCCCTTCCCGTTGAGCAAATATTTGAAATGCTTTTCATCATTAACCCCAAAAGCCTCAAGTTCGATTTCATCAAGAGCAAGTTGATGTTCATCATTGGAAGCCCACAATCTAATGTCTGGAATAACCTGTTGCACTTCCTGGATATTCTGCAGAACTGGCCAGGCTTTCAGCTCTACCGGTCCAATGTCTGGGGATGACAGGATCCACCACGACCTATGTCTACGGCAGGGCCATACATGGTCAAGCTTGAGTTCAGTTTGAGTGCAATGGAAACCAGTGCATTTCATGAAATGGGACAACTCATTGCGAACGAAACCATCTTGTGAAGCTGGGGCAGCACATTCCAAAATGATCAACTGAGATTGCAAGTAGTACGCCGTTTTGAGGGTTTTGGTGAGACTACTAGACCTGTCGTCCTCATGGCTTTTGCAATCGCCCAAAGTGGAAAAGGGCTGGCAACTGAATCCCGAGGTAACGGTTGCAGCACCACTGGAATGGCGCCAAATCTCACTCACAACATTTCTGTCTCCCACGTCCCCACAGATCAAATGGGCCTCTCCAACCTTGGAGTAGAGATCCAACATCCGTTGGTTCTGGTCCACGGCAACTTGCACTGTGAAACCAGATGCCACTGCACCTTGTGCCAAACCTCCGAACCCTGAGCAAAGGTCCACCACGGACAACAATGAGTCCCATGAAGGTCGTCGGTGGCCCATGATAATAGTGTCACGTGTAGAAACAATCACAGGAATGGGATATTGCTGTTTCAAAACGCCACCCCAAACAGTGAAGGAGTGAAACTCATCACTCAGTAAACCTTCAAGCAGAAAAGAAGTCCCGTCCCTTCCTATCATGAGGTGTGCTGAATGCTCAATGTCGAAAACCTTGATGGAACAAACGATGTCAATCTGGGAACCAGAAGCAGTCGTACCGATGGCCATGGGGTAGCTCGAAGACATGGCTAGAAATGGGGGAACCAGAACCGCCCAGCGATCAGTTAAGAAACGGCCGCACTACTGGTAAGGGCTTGGGCTGTCACGGCTGTTCCAAACCACCAACCAGCTATTGTTCTATATGTTTTTTTGTTGTCTTGAAACATGCTGATTTGGTTGTATTCCAGCTGTGTGAAGCATCATGAAAATGGCCCCCATCCTCATCGATCTGATGGGAGTCAGTCGGAATGCCCAAGAGCCATTCCTCGGGATGTCAGTCACTGTCAGTCCATGAGAGGGGATCATGGCTGTATAGCAAAAACATAGAATAGGGTATGGAATAATAGATGTCTTTTCAATCTTTTCCATCTTAAGATACTGGTAAATTACTTTTTTCCATTTTTTCCCTATCTTTTTGGGGATTATTATAGGTATTGGAATCCAAGCCACTCAAACTATGGGGTATTCACCCCCAAAAATACAGGAGAACCCGAGAATTTGCCACATCCAATAGGCCCGTCATCTTTGACACATCATTTTCCAGGTTCCATGTGAAAATTTCGGGTGTGTATGAATCCACCACCAGTTGCCAATTTTTCTGTGGGCTCATGCTGAGACTGTTGGGGATCTTTTGCATGTCAATAACAGAAACATATGTACAGCATTTTCAACTTGTCCCCCGTGCCTCATCTACAAGTTCTGACCTTGAGAGTACCTACAAGGAACACATGGTGAGAAACATGATCATGTGAAAGTGATCTGGGTTTGTCTGAAAATACGGCACCTCAAAATTTGGCAGTTAAGCATCATGTTTTTCGCTAATTTTTTCGAACGCACCCATCTGCTTCAATACCTCAACTGACCAACCTAGAGTGCTGGGGAGCTACGAGGGACACAGCCAAGCTTCGGAAAGCTTGCTTTCGATGCTGGATCTGCTCTGAATCTCCTTTGGAATCCTGTCCTGCGCTCTGACCGACCCAATCAATTTGGATTTATGCCCACGCAAGAAATATATGGCGAACAATAATGGGGTTTCTAACAACGATAACGAAATATGTATTCTCGTTGTACTGGTTGGTTGAGAATGTGGTTCCCATAGTGGGCCATAAGCCCTAATAGCAACCAATCAAGCGGGGTTTTGGTCCAGATCAATTGGGTATTCCAAATGTTCCAATTCCAAGCCTGTCCTTTGAAAAAAAAAACCTCTCAGACATTCGCCCCTTTTAGCCTGACTTGAGACCCACAGCATGCACCTTAGTTTCGTCCAAAGATGGCAAAGCAGCATCACCATCCTGATACCCAGGCAAGTTTCGCGGGATGCGTGGTCCGCTTGTGTTGGATGCCAGTGAAAGTCTCCATGAATTGGGTGCTAAGGCCATGATAGTCACTAATAGAGGTTGGTGATAACACATCGCAAGGCTGCTAAAAATCACAAATAGAAAAGTTGGACACCTGGAAACAATGTGGAAAACATAATCTATAGCCATAGGATCCATGGTGCTGGTATATATGCTAACATTTGGGGTATATTGATGGTAAATGTTAGCATATATATATATATATCATCCATGGCTCCTATGGGATAGATTATATTATATATATATGGTCACACACATACTGTACCATCCTGGAAACACTAAACTCATCTAAACTCGGCCATCAGTGCTGGTGGTGGCGCTGTGGCGCCAGGCCTCGGCATAGCCATTGTAGGTGGCGCCTTTTAGGAAGACCCAAGGATTGGCAAAGGTGGACCTGGCGACGGCCGCTGCATCCGCGATCTGTGGGATTTTTCGATCTGTGGCTGAAGATGACTGGTGAAGTGAAACCCTTCTGGTTGCCATCCAAAAGGTATCACAACTACCCTCCAGTAAATTAACAGTTGGACCCTGCCAGATAGGGGTTGGAAGACTAGTTTCCACTATAAATTGGTCATTTTCAGTGTCTATGTTAATTTACCAGAGGGTATTTTGTTTATTTTGACTTATTTAAGGGCAAATCCAGCGAGTTTATGCCTTTTGGATCTATGAATTGTAAACTCTTCCGCGTTTCTGGCCATTTCTAGCCCCATCATCCTCTGGGCTGGGGCATTCCATCAGCTCTTCACACCAGCCAGCAACACGTCAGCATGTTGTCGAAGAGCTCAATGAACTGATTCAGCTGTCTCTGGCAGGCCTACACAACAAGCAACACTCAGTGGACTGTAGAACAGCGTTGCAACCAATACGGTCTAGTGGAACGATCCCGCAACACAACTATATAGAAAAATCGAGCCAGTTGAAAATCAAGTGTCATGTAGGTTGGAAATATGCCCGTCAACTTGGTTGAACACCAAACCGTTCTGGCTAGACGGATCGATATGTTCACATTTTCCGCAGCTTCAACAAACATGCTTTGTTGCGCAAAAATAGTATAAAGCCAAGCAATGGCAATAAATTGGAGATGAATTGTTCACACCACCAATTTCTATCCATTGTCTGTCAAAAAGTGGGGATGGTCTTCCTTTTGCATCGGCTCGGCTTTTTTAAAGCCACATTTTTTTTTCGCGCTTTCTCCATTTCTAGCGCCTGGTCGTAGGTGGAGAAGACCAGGTGTTTGATCATCTCATTCTGTTTGATGAGCTTCACCTCGGGTCAAACGGAGATCCACCAGGCTGAGGCAAACCTTGTTTGAGGCTTTTGCGCTAGTGAACAATAAACCATGGTAAACCCATGGTAAACCCAAGCGTAAACCCAAGCGCTTACGCAGTGATTTTTTGGGGCAATGGCAATATCTGGCAATGTCCCAGTGACCCAGTGCCAAAGTTCTCCCTGCTACCCTCTGGTAAACTAACATAACTATAGAAAATCACCATTTTGAATAGGTAGACCAACTATAAATGGAATATTTTCAATAGCTATGTCAGCCATTACCAGAGAGTAGTGCTGATGTCACCACAGACTTTTGTTGAGGAAAAATCCCTTGCGGCGTCACGCCAGCAGCCCCCCAGTCGCAGCTCGCGCCAAAGGGACGTTCTTGGGCAGCAGGCTGGAGTACCTGGGAGATTGAATAAAAGCCTGGTGATGGCCATGATTTTTTGACCTACAACTATAGACATCTACAGACTATCCAATATTACAGATGATATTTATATATATACATATATATTATATATAATAATCTGGGATGTATAGAAATACATAATTAATTATATATATACATATATATTATATATAATAATCTGGGATGTATAGAAATACATAATTAATTATATATATACATATATATTATATATAATAATCTGGGATGTATAGAAATACATAATTAATTATATATATACATATATATTATATATAATAATCTGGGATGTATAGAAATACATAATTAATTATATATATATATACATATTATTATAATAATAATCTGGGATGTAAGAAATAATAATTATTATATATATATACATATATATAATATATATATATAATCTGGGATGTATAGAAATACATAATTAATTATATATATATACATATATATATATATATATATATATATTATATATAATAATCTGGGATGTATAGAAATACATAATTAATTATATATATATATACATATATATTATATATAATAATCTGGGATGTATAGAAATACATAATTATATATATATATATATTCGATCAATAATATAAAGAAATAACTATCCAGATTGGTCTCTATATTTCTTGGTGTATCAGTGCTGTTTCGACGTCACCCTTTCAAACCCCTCCCTCAAGGTAATCATTCTGGATTTGTGCATAGAGTACTAGCAGGAACAGTGCCATCAGTTTTCTGCTTGGAGAGAAACCCATCCCCAAGATGTTCAAACCTACTGGTTGGAAGAACAAAGGCTTGTAAACAATGGTAAACATACATGGGTTTTCCAACTCTGAAACCAATGGCCCCTGGTAAATACCCTCTGGTGAACTAACATAGCAATGGAAAATGGCCATATTATAGTGGATTTTCCCATGAAAAATGGTGGATCTTTCCATTGCTATGTTAGTTCACCAGAGGGTACATGGTAAATACCATGGATGTAAACATGTCTGCCGTCCCAGCGGCATCTTCTCTGAAGGGTTGCCTTCTAAACTGCTCATGAAGTCAATCACCGAGTCCTGCCAGGCGAAACAGCCTTCAAAAATCACCCATTGCCCCGAGATGTTGAAGATGTATAAGATATTATAAGATGTATGGGTCGGAATAATCAATCCCAGTAGATGACAGTAGATGGTTTATGTTAAATCGTGGAAAACAACACTGGATGGGTTTAGTTTATATTCTATTGGTACCCCAAATTTGAATGGCCACATCTCAAAACGGTTGATGTGCCATTAGTTCAACCCCCAGATCCCCCTTCGGGAGCAACTCTACAAAGAGGCAGCTGGAGCAATGCTTCGGATCAAACTCTGGCACTGCTTCAAACCATAGAGGGAAAGAGATACAGCTGAGAATCCTCTCATATCCTCTCCAAATATTCCCAAAATAGGGAGATCCACATGACAGGTCCCACCTCTTTCCGGGCTCATTTTCAGTTCACAGGGCGACCAGAAACCGGCAGCGCGACTTGAGCGAATCGCCTTCTGAATTTGGAAGAACCACTTGATGCGCTCGCCCACATACTGCACCCGACCTGGATGGTCAATGGAAGGAGACCCAATGGCCCAAGAATGGGTGGTATGACGTGGCATCACCAACTGGAGGTTTGCGGTATGCCATTTGGCACTGTCAGCAACGCATTGTTCACCATGAATCTGCCATTATTTCGCGGATCCGATCATCCTACTTTTGGTGCAAGCAACGTCTTTTTTTTGAGCATCTAGAGGAATCAACCAGGGGGAAACCTCGATGATGGGTTGTAAATTCTTCACTGGATTTGTTTTCCTGTGATTGGATCTCCAACATGTGTTGGTCGAAATTACCTACACAATGGCTGCAAACCATGCTGAAACATGCTGAAACCACGTAGATCACGTTGCTCATGGCTACAACATCCCCTCAACTCCTCTGGCATTCAAAAGGAGAATGGGGACAAGAGCTTCCCACTGCTAAATATGGCCATTTGCAGCCACCTCAGCATCACTTCAGTACTTCAGCTTTGGTCCTTTCATGTGCGAAATGTGCCTCGTCAAAACACATTCAGACGTCGCCATTGAATCCCTTAGTTTTTGGAAGGAACTTACCCTCTGGTAAACTAACATAACTATGGAAAATCACCATTTTTAATGGGAAAATCCACTATAAATAGCCATTTTCAATAGCTATGTTAAATTCCAGAGGGTATATGGGTTTTCAATCCCAATTCTTGTTGATTCAAATTCTCGTGTCTCCTGCCGTTAAACATCGTTAAACGGTTACTCTCTGGCCTTCGAATCCATCAACGAACAATCCCGAATTTGGATAGTTTCCATCTCTACTTTCGGGTGTCAAGATTACCAAACGCGGCAGTATGCACTACTATCAGTAGATCTTGATTCAAGCGGACAGAACAACTAGTTTATTTGTTAATGAATATCCTAAGGATACGTGATTGTCTATATACAACATAATAATAGGGTAATTACCCTAAATCTAACGGCGGCCCCACCGGGTTTTAAAATTGTCATCATTTCTGGGAGTATTCCCAATTTCTGGGCAAACCAACAACTAGCTAAACTACCCCAAGAAGATTATACCAGTCATCTAAACTACTATATCACAAGTATATAAATATATCCTAAACATCTACACACAAATGCCCAAATTACCCTAGCATCCCCCAAATCATCTAAACTGCTATCATACATTATCATATATTATATCCCAACAATAATATCTTAAATCTGACATCAACTAACATCAGCTAACATCAACTAACAAACCTGACATCCCAAAGTCAAACGTTTCACTACCTTGGCCTCCGCACGTTGCAGGGGCAAATGTGCCTCGTTGCTCAGAAGCTTCACCACAACGTCACGCCAGGTGAGAGAGCTCATGCTGACGCCACGTGCCTACCAACCATCATGGATGTATTTGGTAGATAATGGGAATGCATCTGGTAGATATGGTTATATATATATTGTAATTATATATATATAGTAATTATATATATATATATATTGTAATATATATATATTGTAATTATATATATATGGTATTTTAATGGAAAGTTCTTCGATGATATGCGGAAATTCACTAAAAAATACATATCATCATATCATATATTGGATGGATTAAGCCAGCATTTGGTGGATTCTACGGGTGATTCATATTTCATATTTCCAATACAGTATGTCAAACATATGTAACATATACGATATTTGGTGACTTCAATAGTCATCCACCACTATTCCTAATATGCCACATCCTGGGTGAGAGGGAGTTGGGGGGATCCCCCATTCTAGGAACCCCAAGTGTTGCTTTAGGAATCACTGGATAGAAAGCATTAGAAAGCGGGAGACAAACTAGGACCCAATTGTTAAGTGAAGTTTATGCACCTAACTCTGACAAGTCCACGATCCACCTAGGTTTGTCTATGGTTTTTGAAGAGATTGACAGCTAGTGATACTGATAGTGTTGAAGACTTAAACTTAAACAATTCCCACAAACAACACTGACTGGATGTTGCAATATGTCTGGTTCTGTCTCAAAACAAGGAAACATAATGATACACAATGTCTTTTGCTTGGGTACCATGTTTTCAGACAAACCCATCTGCCAAACAAACCTTCGGGGCCACGGGGACAACATATACGATATTTGGTGACTTCAATAGTCATCCACCGCTATTGCTAATATGCCACATCCCGGGTGAGAGGGAGTTTGGGGGATCCCCCATTCTAGGAACCCCAAGTGTTGCTTTAGGAATCACTGGATAGAAAGCATTAGAAAGCGGGAGACAAACTAGGACCCAATTGTTAAGTGAAGTTTATGCACCTAACTCTGACCCCTATGACTTCTTATTTGGGTACCCCAGGGCCGGAACCGTTTTTCTGGCTGGGAAAAAACCAAAACCAACCGAAGATTTGTGGATCGTTCCCGCTGAAGCGGGGTCTTAAAGTTTGACCCCATATTTTTCTTGGATGACTTATAGGCATTTCAGTTCATTTACCCTCTGGTAAACTAACGTAACTATGGAAAATCACCATTTTGAATAGGTAGACCAACTATAAATGGAATATTTTCAATAGCTATGTTAAATTACCAGAGGGTAAGCATGAAGTTTATCAAACTTTATGATTTTTTGAGTTCAATCACCATGTTTCCGAAAAATTATATGACGGTCAAATCTCAAATCGTCATCATTTTTGTTGCTTCAATCCCCGTTACCGGTCCTCCCCGCTCGTGTGCCTGAATGACATCCCGCTTCTTGGTCTCTACAGCGATCTCGGAAAATCGAAGGAAAATCTCGACCTGCCGGGGATGCCCAGCAGGGCCAAATTAGAAGATCCATTGGATGACTTGGGGATGGATCAATGATATATGAGATGAACATCCAACCGGCTATTTCAGAAACATCCTAAAATGAATGTTGGTACAGGTCATTACAAGCAGTAGTTTCCCGCTATACTCCCATTAATATGGCACAAATATGCACCACTATCACAATATAATATCCCATAGTTTCCAATTGTGCCCCTATGAAATATCCCCAGTTAAATCACAAATTTGTATCATTTTGTGGCTTAATCCCCAGTTAAATCACCTTGATCGAGGATAACCCCCATTTTTTGGGCCGGCTATGGCCCTCCAAACGCTTCAAACGCTTGCGTCCGAGACAGCCCAGACAGCACGTGCCTCAGCCATGACGCGTCGGAATTGGGCGCCACCATTGACCTGCAGCGGCTTGGGAATGGGGATGATGAGCATGAGCAACAATATGGAGATTCACAAACTACACCTCTACATATAATCAATGTATTATATTATATATATAACTATAACAAATAAATAAACACATAAACAAATAAGATAAAATAAAAAAGCAAATAAATGAATAAATAGATAAATCATTAATATATGTACTATGTACTACATATTGAAAAAACATGCAAAGACATACACACACATTTGTAATATATTATATTATAATATGAGTAGCGGATAAAATCATATGTTACATTTAATGCCATTAGCAAATTAGGGTCGTCCCCTATCAGTTGTGAGGATTTCAGTATTCCCGGAGGTATCACCAATGGGGTATCGGTATAGGGTCGTCCCCTATCGGTTATGAAGGTTTTGTGCAACCTCGGAAAGGCCAAGGCGCAAGACTAAAGTGACTAAATTAGTATTACAATAATTTTGTCCATTACTTCATATCATCTCATATCTAGAATTGAAAAAGGACTGGGCTGGCCCCACAAAGCGGTACCCTCTGGTAAACATACAAAAAACTATGGAACATCACCATGTTTCATGGGAAAACTCACTAAAAATGACCATTTTCGCTATGTTAGTTTACCAGAGGGTATGTCATAGAGTAAACCATAAGGCCGTAAAGCCCCATCACCATCATCACCATCAGAATCAAGAGCCTGATCAGAATGCGCTTATAAGCATGAACAAATAAACAAAATAACATGAACATATGATATTTATTATGATTAATAAGGTATAATCATCAACAACATCAACAGCAGAACAACAACAAGAAGAAGAAGAAGAAAAGAAGAAGAAGAAGAACAAAATAATAATAAGAAGAAGAATAAGAAAAAGAAGAAGAAGAAGAAGAAAAAGAAGAAGAAGAACCACAACAACCACAACAACAGCCACAACCAACAGCAGTTCATCAGACAAACTTTTGGAATTCTTGGCAGCATCAGGTTAAGGGGAGACATCAAATACCTTCTGGCAATCAAACAACCAGCCATGAAGACACATGGAATATCTCCATGTTCAACAATAGATCGAAGCGCAAACGGAGGTTTTGCATGACCCATAGGATCCATGTATGGTATATATACTAACATTGGGGGTATATTGATGGTAAATGTTACCATATATACCATACATGGATCCTATGGGTGATAAAAAACCTGTATGATTAGGCCTGACGAAGTTATTTAGGTGGGATTTCCCATGGAGTTTCCCATGGATTTTCCCCATCCATTTGGACACAACGCAAGGCGCCATAGCGGCCTCTGCATCCGATGCGCCGATCTGGATGTCATTCTGCAAGTAACTCAGAGGCGCAGATCGATGTTTTTGGGGCATATTAGTGACAACATATCACAAAATGATTTGTGAATTTTGATGAATTTTGTATATTATTTTATGTAACATAGAGCATGTAATTTTGTATAATAATATTCATTATCCAACACTCAGTTACGGCTTACGATACAACACAGTATGGAATGGTTTTCACCTACCCAGTCTACCGTGTTTACCCCTACACCACTGAGTTCCGTGTCCCAGCCCGCTCGTGTCAGGGCCGCGGACTCAATGTAGTCATCCAGACCCATGAAGTCTTCAGATGGCAACATCTGGAAGTGATCCGAGCTCAACTGGCACCATTGCAGAGTCATGGCATCGTCAAACAAAAACACCAGGCGAAAAAAAAAAGAATTCGGAGATAGTTTGAGATGTGGCCAGCTACTGTCATGTAGCTAGAGTATCATTTAATGGGATCATGTTGGGTTATAAACCTACTCTGGTTGGTGGTTGAGCCATCCCTCTGAAAAATATGAGTTCGTGAGTTGGGATCATTATTCCCAATATATGGAAACAAAATGTTCCAAACCACCAACCAGCTACTTATTTGTGCATCTCGCTCTTTCTCTCCACAAGTTACCCTCTGGTAATCACCGTTGCCATGTTCTTTCCATGTTGCCGCAACGTTCACCCTTTCCGGGGGAGAAATTTCATCGATAAACTGACCGGTTCCTGTGAAACATTACCATTGTTAATGATTGCTAATGGGTAAATATAGGAAAATCATTGAAAATCATCGATTTATAGCTGGGGCCATGATTTCCACAGCTATATGTTAGTCTATTGATGCGTATCCACCATAAACCCTAGTCAACCAGAACTAATTAATACTACAGAGTTAACCTATATGTTATACACAAACACAAACTTCGGTATCAAAATCATTCAAAATCAATATCCACAGAATTCCAGTACATGTATCTAGGAGTTTCCTTTCGCCAATCCCGGGTGGGGCCCCAGTCCGAGACGAACATAGGTCACGAACCTTCTTGTGATACTCGTGAAATTCCTTCAGTTCCTTCTCCAACGTCATGCGCCCAGTCTTCAAGTTGGGAATACCCTGGCCGCAAGGCGCACGGATGCAAATGTCATTTGGTCAAGTTACATGGGCGAGCTATGGATGGCGACCTGGTCATCCATTCCATGATGGGAATCCAAACATACATGATGTATATCCCATATGCTCAATGTATGGAATATTTACCAACATTTGCCCTAAAAATAACCTAAATGTAGGTAAATATACCATACATGGAGCATATGGGTATATACATATGCATCCCTACGAATTCATGACCGTACTACGTAGAATATCAGCACTTCACCCAAGTTTTCACCATGGCACTATGGTTGATCTGCTCGAGTCCAAAAACGTTGGAAAAGTTGGGGAAAATCATGTGGACATGTCACCCAGATCATCCATGCTGCATGCTGTTCCCTACATTGCAGGGTGCTTTGAGTTCAAATGTACATGGATGCGATTGAATATATCGTGCATGCATGAAACATCATGTATTCGCACCCCTCAATCTGGACCCATCTGTCATCCTTTGATACTAGTCAGTTGAGAACAGGTTTCGCCTAGTTCTTCAGTCCATAACCCCCAACAAAGCGGGTAGTATAACCCATCATTCAACCCTCCACCATTTATGGTTACAGTGCATCAATGGACATATATAGTCATATATATATATAGTTATCATATATTCACTCTTTTTCTGGTCGATTAAATCACCATAAATCACCATTACAAGATATTTTCAGATATTTGCCCTATCATTTGTAATATTTTATGATATATAACTAATCTATCAGCATCTTTGGTGGTAAAATTCCCGACCAAAAATCTGGCGCCTCCATGACGGAACGCAACGCTGAGGCGAAGGAAATGCCACACTCGCGGGTGGTGCTCAGAATCCTGGAGATATCTGGAGATTTTATGGGCAGAGAACTGTCATTTATGGCACTGTCAAATGTTCATTTTGTTCATTTCTGGGTTTTTAGGGATGATCATTATGATCATTCAAATCAATTCATAGAACTTGTGAATATTCATGAGTATTTCGTTTTCGAGATCTTCAAAACCAATAGAAAGGTTGAAAAGGGATGAAAAGGCACATTTGATCCACTTGAAAGAAAGAAAGAATAGCAAAAACATATGCAACCACTGAACATGGCTGATCATGGAGGTTTGGTCCCCATCTGAACCCCCCCTTAACTTGCCCCGCAGCAGCGCAAAGGTTGTTTTTTTCCCCCACGGAGCAGCTGTGATGCCCCGCAGCACCGCCTTGGCGCCGCGCTCAGCTCCTTCCAGGTTCAAAGAGGACGGAGGACAAACCCGCAGCCAAATCCTCCTTGGACAGGGAGATGACATGGATCAAAGGATGAAACAAATAGTTAAACTGGTTGGTGGTTGAGCCACCCCTCTGAAAAATATGAAAGTCAATGGGAAAGATTATCCCATATATTGTGGAAAATAAAAAATGTTTGAAACCACCAATCAGATAAACTAAGGAATGCTCAGGATTTTGATGTGGATGCAAGTCTAGTCGTGGTTGAGACTATGGTGTGTATCTGACTTGCAGGTATTTTTTTCGCATCCTGATCCTCTGGAAACCTCTTGTGGCGTTGGTCAACGATCCAGCTAAATGGCCAACCTAACGTGCATCAGTTTAAGCGCCATTGACAAAATCCTCATCTCCAAATCAGGCACTTTCAATATCTCTTCCTGGCCTAATGGCATCATATTAGATAATTAGATCTAGTTGCACATCCAGTTTAATCTGCCATTGACCTTATGGTAATCTGCCATTCCTAAACGGTCCAATCAAAACAACTTCAGTAAGTTTGAACATCTTCTCCCGGCAAGTGAATGTTCATCCACCAATTGGAAAGTCATATTCAAATGTCAGCCACACCATCAGCTGCCCGGAGATAATCCCCATGAAAATGTTCATGGTTTACATATCTTTACTGGCCAAATCCCCATAAATTCTGATAATGTCTCCTAATTTCATATGAATAGCGGACAAAATGACTCATTCATTTTGATGCCATGCGCAAATCAGGGTCGTCCCCTATCAATATTTGTGTTGGTTACTCATATTATAACAATAACAGCTGTTTTACCCCCCATCCCCCCAGCCCCACCACGTCCAGGTCGCTTCTGGATGCTCTTGGCGATAGTCCAACAGATCTGCCACTCCGACCCCGGGAAGCTGACGCCGTCTGGCCCAGAGTTCTAAGCCTTCCATGTCCAATCCCCACTGTTCAGCAGCTGCGGATGCCTGGGACCGGTGGAAATGATCTGAGGTGGAAAAAACAACAACAACAACCATCGAATGTCGACTACGTAGGAAAGGCTCGAAATGAAGCATCACTTCAATTTAGCTGTAGCTCAAAACTCAAAACGATTGATCACATAAACTCGGATGCTTACGAAACGACCAGTGGTGTGTGGTCCGCAAAAGCAAGTTCAATCATGTTATTTCCAAAGTTTCAGCAATATGTTGTTGTTAACCCCAAAACATCAAACAAACACTGAAACACACAAAAATCCACCAAAACTCCACATAAATAAAAACAACACAGCCAACATATCAACATAACATAGCCAAGCCATGCCAAGTCACAATGAAGCCCAGCCTGGCCCGTTTCAGTGGCCTCTTGGCATCTCCTGCCCCAGCGTCCGCCTCGTCCGGCGCCTCCGCCCTCCGCGGCGCCGCGCTTTTCCGCGGCTCCGGCGAGGCACCGGCGGCGACGTCGGCTTCGGACGTGGCCCGCTGCGCAGCGCCGGAGGCTTCGGCTTCGCTGAGGACCTCGGTTGACATCCTGAGACATCTCAGGTATGCTACAAATGGAGAGAAATTGATAGTTGAGATTGGTTGATTTATATCATTTTATAATATTTTATATCCCATTTGTAAACCAACTTCTATATAAAATCCAATGTCATGTTAAATTCTTTGAATTGACTTTCCCATGTAGTGTGACACCGACATCCTAATACCTCATACTGGTTGACTGGGTGGATTTTTAGACATTCCACACCACTTTCCCATTGTGATATATTGTGATCATCGCCAATAGAACAAGGGATAGTTTGACTCACCTCATATAACCAACGCGATGGGCCCTGCAGGTTTTTCACCAAACAGAATGGGGGACGTTTATAATTAAATAGGTTTCACATATTCCAAGATTTGTAGTTTGCTTGCCAAGCAAAATTGGAAGATAGCATGGCAAATGATAGCAAATGAGGGAAACTGGATGGAATTGGCAGAACAGGTATGGGACATTTTGGATGGCACATCTGTACTAATTCTGTTCACTTGGTGACAATAACATTTTGCAATTCAAGGTGAGCAAAAGTGAAAAGTAGTTTATGATTGGGCTTGACATGGTTACCTGAGTAAGCCATACCCAACAAACACTTGAAACAAATAAGGAACTCTGAGTCACAATTACTTGGACCCCCCATGGAACCACAATGGAATGACAAATTCTTGAGACCAAACCAAACAAGTCCTAAACCTACTCAGTTCATCCGTGTCCAAGCTGCCACGTCGCTGGATGTTGCGCCCTCCGTTGTACCGCCGGCGGACATGGCGCGTAGCGTGCCAAGCTGCTTAGCTGATGATGATGGACGGAGGGTTCCAAGCCGGAAAAGGTGGCAAACAACTGAGAACGGTAGGTCAGTATAGGAAGCTATACTTAATGTGATTGTGGATGAGACAGTAATATTGCGAGATATTGAAAGTAAATGGATTTTAAACATGAGGCCCTGACAAAAAAAAACGTATCCTACTTGTGGACAGGTGTACCTTGATATTTTGCTACTTGGCTTCCCCCTGATAGACTAAGTTACTCTCAACAAGATCACAACCCTTCCAAGTAAGTATGCTGGCAACAATTTGCACTGAAAATAATCCATTGTTGATCTGTATCTCATCTTGCTTGATCAAAACCATCGCGTCACTGCTCTACAATTTGGAATGGGGGAATTGGGAAACCCGAAACATTACCCGAAATGGTTATTTGACGCAGCGCACTGGAGAATCACCATTTTTAATATATAGGTAGATCATCAAAAACATCTATAAATGGGCAATTTTCCATGGCTATGTTAAACAATCTTTGGTTCTAAAAATGACTTGTTGAACTTCGACCCGTGCGCTTTTTCGAAATATGGCTTGCTTTCATCGACTTGTCGAAGATGCATCTATTTCTTGGTTGGAATCCCGTTGTTTTTGTCTTGGATAACCAAAAAACATCAAGTGTGTGTCCATATTTTCGTTGGTCAGAAATCGCTTTTGAACAATCGCTTTATTTTTGTCTCCCATCCTGAGTCAAATCCCTGGTACCCACCACGTGACCGCTATGTTAAATAGCGTAGATTTTTAGGGATTTTTCTATAGCTTCCAAATATAGAAAAATCATGGTTAGTAACATTCATTTCAATATTTCCTGCATAATAGAATTGTCCATATGTCAGACATTATATAAACCATTATCAAAGGAAGTTTAGGGGGAGAAACTTCCGTGTTACGGACTTTTAGAATGTCAGGGAAAGAGTTAGTCAGGGAAAGAGTTAGTCAAAGAAAGAGTTAGTCAGGGAAAGAGTTAGTCAAAGAAAGAGTTAGTCAAAGAAAAGAAAGAGTTCGTCAGGGAAAGAGTGAGTCAAAGAAACAGTTAGTCAGGGAAAGAGTTAGTCAAAGAAAGAGTTAGTGAGGGAAAGAGTTAGTCAAAGAAAGAGTTAGTGAGGGAAAGAGTTAGTCACAGAAAGAGTTCGCAAAGAAAGAGTTCGTCAGGGAAAGAGTTCGTCAAAGAAAGAGTTAGTCAAAGAAACAGTTAGTCAGGGAACGAGTTAGTCAAAGAAAGAGTTAGTCAGGGAAAGAGTTAGTCAAAGAAAGAGTCAGTGAGGGAAAGAGTTAGTCAAAGAAAGAGTTAGTCAGGGAAAGAGTTAGTCAAAGAAAGAGTTAGTGAGGGAAAGAGTTAGCAAAGAAACCGTTAGTCAAAGAAAGAGTTAGTCAAAGAAACAGTTAGTCAGGGAAAGAGTTAGTCAAAGAAAGCGTTAGTCAAAGAAAGAGTTAGTCAGGGAAAGAGTTAGTCAAAGAAAGAGTTAGTCAAAGAAAGAGTTAGTCAAAGAAACAGTTAGTCAGGGAAAGAGTTAGTCAAAGAAAGAGTTAGTGAGGGAAAGAGTTAGTCAAAGAAAGAGTTAGTGAGGGAAAGAGTTAGTGAAAGAAAGAGTTAGTGAAAGAAAGAGTTAGTCAAAGAAACAGTTAGTCAGGGAAAGAGTTAGTCAAAGAAAGAGTTAAAACTCTAGGATCGTTCCCTCACTGTAAATGGCATTGCAAGTGGTGCTGGTGGAGGAGTTGCCGATGGAGTTTTGGAGGAAGTCTCGCACGAAATGCGCTTTTGAGAGATAGCAGATGCACGAAACCCTATGTTTTTCCATACAAAGTCCGTCCCCGAACCTCGATGATCTACCTCTGCGGTGCGACGGGTGCGAGACGGTCTCGTGTGTGGTCGGATCATGCTCGGATCATGGGCGGATCATTCTCGGATCGGTTCCGCATTGTAAATGTGGTTTCAACTGTGTTTCGTGCATGTGCAGTCGACAGAATTCCATTGTGATTTGCAACTGTAGGATCGTTCCTGCAATGTAAATGGGATTGCAAGTGGTGCTGGTGGATGTTGCCGATGGAATTCCATTGTGATTTGCAACTGTAGGATCGTTCCCGAAATGCAAATGGCATTGCAAGTGGTGCTGGTGGAGGAGTTGCCGATGGAGTTTTGAAGGAAGTCTCGCACGAAATGCGTTTTTGAGAGATAGCAGATGCACGAAACCCTATGTTTTTCCATACAAAGTCCGTCCCCGAACCTCGATGATCTACCTCTGCGGTGCGACGGGTGCGAGACGGTCTCGTGTGTGGTCGGATCATCCTCGGATTGGTCTCGGATCATGGTCGGATCGGTCTCGGATCGGTTCCGCATTGTAAATGGGGTTTCAACTGTGTTTCGTCTATGTGCGGTCGACAGAATTCCATTGTGAATTGCAACTGTAGGATCGTTCCCGCAATGTAAATGGGATTGCAAGTGGCGCTGGTGGATGAGTTGCCAATGGAATTGCATTGTGATTTGCAACTGTAGTATCCTTCCCGCAATGTAAATGGGATTGCAAGGTTGCTTCCTGCTTTGGCTGCATACGTAATACTATTGTCTTTTGCAGCTGGACTTCGTAAATCGTATTGGAGTGGCTGCATGAAGGCTGCGACAGTGATTTGTCAGCAGATTTTCTTCATTTAGGCGCTAGTGATTTTCCTTCTAAAAATCTTTTTAAAAAGTGCTTCAAAATCGTTTTTTTTCCGCTCTGGCGTCGAGATCCGGTTTTGGAGCTACAATTTCCGACGCCGTTGCGCGTAGTTCTATTGTCTTTTGCAACTCAGTCTCTGCAGATTGCATTGTAATGGCTGCGTCAAGGTTGCTTCGTGCTGTGGTTGCATTCGTAGTCTCGCACGAAATGCGTTTTTGAGAGATAGCAGATGCACGAAACCCTATGTTTTTCCATACAAAGTCTGTCCCCGAACGTCAATGATCTACCTCTGCGGTGCGACGGGTGCGAGACGGTCTCGTGTGTGGTCGGATCATGCTCGGATCATGGGCGGATCATTCTCGGATCGGTTCCGCATTGTAAATGGGGTGTCACCTGTTTTTCGTGCATGTGCGGTTCCAGAATTCCATTGTGATTTGCAACTGTAGGATCGTTCCCGCATTGTAAATGGGGTTGCAAGTGGTGCTGGTGGATGAGTTGCTGATGCAATTGCATTGTGATTTGCAACTCTAGGATCGTTCCCTCAATGTAAATGGGATTGCAAGTGTTGCTGGTGGATGAGTTGCCAATGGAATTCCATTGTGCTTTGCAACTGTAGGATCGTTCCCGCAATGTAAATGGCTGTGTCAAGGTTGCTTCCTGCTTTGGCTGCATACGTAATACTATTGTCTTTTGCAGCTGGACTTCGTAAATCGTATTGGAGTGGCTGCATGAAGGCTGCGACAGTGATTTGTCAGGAGATTTTCTCCATTTTGGCGCTAGTGATTTTCCTTCTAAAAATCTTTTTAAAAAGTGCTTCAAAATCGTTTTTTTTTCGCTCTGGCGTCGAGATCCGGTTTTGGAGCTACAATTTCCGCACTCCAATGCGCGTAGTTCTATTGTCTTTTGCAACTCAGTCTCTGCAGATTGCATTGTAATGGCTGCGTCAAGGTTGCTTCGTGCTGTGGTTGCATTCGTAATACTATTGTCTTTTGCAGCTGGATCTCGTAAATCGTATTGGAGTGGCTGCATGAAGGCTGCGACAGTGATTTGTCAGGAGATTTTCTCCATTTTGGCGCTAGTGCTTTTCCTTCTAAAAATCCTTTTAAAAAGTGTATCAAAATCGTCTTTTTTTCGCTCTGGCGTCGAGGTCCGGTTTTGGAGCTACAATTTCCGACGCCGTTGCGCGTAGTTCTATTGTGCTTTGCAACTCAGTCTCCGCAGATCGCATTGTAATGGCTACGTCAAGGTTGCTTCGTGCTGTGGCTGCATGCGCAATACTATTGTCTTTTGCAGCTGGACTTCGTAAATCGCATTGGAGTGGGTGCATCAAGGGTGCGACAGTGATTAGTAGTAGTGCTGGGAATTATAATGAAAGCTTAATAGATGACATATGAGAAGGGACTAGATGAGAAGAGATGAGCTGGGATAAGGTGAGAAGAGCTCAGATGAGATGAAATGTGGAGTGTGAAGAGTGCAGTGTGAGTGTGAAGTGTGGAGTGTGAAGTGCGAAGTGAGAAGTGTGAAGTTAGGAGTGTGAAGGAAGCAGTGAGAAGTGAGAAGTGTGGAGTGTGAAGTGCGAAGTGAGAAGTGTGAAGTGTGAAGTTTGGAGTGTGAAGGAAGCGGTGAGAAGTGAGAAGTGTGAAATGTGGAGTGTGAAGTGTGAAATGCGAAGTGAGAAGTGTGGACTGTGAAGTGTGAAGTATGGACTGTGAAGTACGAAGTGTGAAGTGTGGACTGTGAAGTGTGAAGTGTGAAGTGTGGACTGTGAAGTGTGAAGTGTGAAGTGTGGACTGTGAAGTGTGAAGTGTGCAGTGTGAAGTGTGAAGGGTGAGGTTTGGAGTGTGAAGGAAGCAGTGAGAAGTGAGAAGTGTGGAGTGTGAAGTGTGGAGTGTGAAGTTTGAAGTTTGGAGCGCGAAGAGTGCAGTGTGCAGTGTGAGGTGTGGAGTGTCGAGGGAAGGACACGGTCGGGACAGGGTGTCTTTGAACTATAGGTCATTTATGTTTGGGAAACTTCCGCCGCCGGCTTGCCCGGGTCTATGTTAAACTATCATAAACCATTATAAACCATCCAGCTATTGGGCTACAGCCTATATAGAAAACCGCCCTATCAACGGCCATTATTTTCCGGCTCCTGTGAGGGTCCGTCTCTTCGAACTCTGTCTGAAGGCTCTGCTCTTTGGAGGTGTACTTCGTCTGCGAGCCGGGCTTGGAGGAGTGGCTTGGAGGTACTGAAAAAAAAACTCCAGAGTTGATATCCCCAAGATATTCCAAGTGGTTGCTATCCCCCAATGGTTGATATCCCCAGGTGGAACATCTTGGGGATATCAACCATTGGTTTCATCGGGAATTCCCCGGATTGAACATGATTTCAGATCACACCACCTTGAAACGAAGCCCAAAGATCAACACATGGGACTCTAAGATGGTGGTCAAATATCGGTGCTTGACTGTTCCACACAGCTGATTTTTGTTTTTTTGGCCATGGCAAATTGGTTGATGGTTTCAAATACAATGTCTATAGTTATTATATATATATATATAATTGAATATATAGTTATTGTGTATATATATATAATAATATTATATATATGTATATATATGTTATTTTATATGTTATTTTATATGTTGTTGTTTTTCTCAATGTTATTTTGACCACCAGGAAATGGTGGTCATGGGATGTCATCATCCCAGTTGATCAAATCATCCTGGGTGGTTTCCCAGGTTTCCTGGATCAGATCCGGCCAAAAAAACGTTGTGTATACCCTCTGGTAATGGCTAACATAGCTATTGAAAATGGTGATTCTCCATAGTTATGTAAGTTTACAATAGAGGGTACCCCATCTATAGAAAAATGTGATGCCATGTTGATAAAATTCACCACTTTAAAGGAGTTGGGTGAGTTTGCCCTTGGAAAAATCCAGACCTAAATCCTAAACCCATAATAACCCATAATACGGAGGTTTCTCAAAATGAAGGATCCCCAAGTCACCTGCAGGTTGTTTCAATACTAAGTCTTGGTCATCCATGACTTGGATAAGGGGCTTCCTCCATTCCAGGAAACCAATTGGGTACCTGACAATTTATGGGACAACCCTTGAATCCACTGGTTGATTGTGACTATCTAATATCATGTTCATTAATTTTCAGGTTGGTGGTTTCAACCCCTCTGAAAAATATTAGTCAGTTGGGATGATTATTCCCAATATGGAAAAATACAAAATGTTCCAAAACCCACCAACCAGTTTTCCTTGTCAATGTTAACAAACCCCTTTGAATCTCAGTTGATGCGGATCATTTCATCCACCTTCAGCTCCCTCAACTTGTCCAGCACTGGATTGATGGCATCTGCGAACCTGGCAGCGGTTCGCTGACCCCGCTGGCACCAGCTGGGAAAAACGAAACAGCATGGTTTTCCATTGCCTACATGCATAGATGGGGTATGATGGGATATAACGGAGCAGATTGTTGGGGATCTTGATATATTAAATGAAAAGGATTTGGGATTCAGATGGGGGATGATGGGATGAAATCACCATAACGGACACCATTGGATGGTACTTTACCCCATTTGTGGCATAGGAATCTGGTCTGCATCTGGACCCCGGACATTTTGAAGCAGTCTTCGCTGTCATCAAACATAGCGGCCCGATGGGCCGCTGGGAAATCGCTGAACTAAATGGAGGTTTTAATTGGAAACTCCTCTATATTAATAATTAATTTAATATGTTTGATGGGGATTTACCGTAAATTTACCCATAAATATATATTATAAATATATTAATATTAAATCAATAGCCATATAAAATGAATCCCAATTTCCATTGCCATGTTTGATTGCCATTTTGGATAGTAACAATCACCATACCATGGCCATTTTGGATGGCCTAGAGATCATCTTTGCAAAAAAACATGGCCAGACTTGTTGTTCAGGCACCAGCAAAACCACATTTTCTGTACCCAAATCATATGGTTGGCTGTGTATCCCAGGAATAAATTTCTGTGTATCTAACTGTATCGACATTGTATACATGACCATAAATTGGGGATCGAATTCCGATTTCAGGTACCACGACGATTTAATATTGTTGGTCAATATATGTCAACACAATTATCCCATGAACACAAAAAACAAATTGCAACTTTCAGGTACATCCATTTCCAGCTCGGATTTGTTGATTCGGGATCCATTAAAACATTAGAAACCAGTGAATTAACCGATGGGAAACACTTAGAAATTGAGCAGAAGTCACCGATCGGTTCAGAAAATTATTGAGTTATCGCAGTCCTCCATTAAATAGTATTAGATGGCCATAAATATCATAATTTAATCATTAAATGGCCATAAACTGATACAAATTGAACATGTTGAATTCTGATGTCTTTGCCAAGGAACATGTGTTCAATCTTTTTTTCCATGTAGGCTCCGAAGGATTGGAAGCCGATGGTCTCAGGAAAGCGAGGAAAGCGATTGGGCTTCAGTAAAAACCATGGCGTAACATGGGTTCGACCAACCAAACATGGCAGAAGAATATAGTATAGAATGATGTAGAATAAATCAACATGTATCAAAATCATAAGGACATTTGATTTAAGATGATTTAAGATGAGTTGTAGGATATTGTATACATATCGTAATTGAGGTATCTAATAAGTGGCTTGCAATCAGGACGTCGACAAGCCGCATTGTGTAGTTCGATGGTGGCCCAAGTATAAGGACTTGGGGATGTCTGCTGGATGTATTGCTTTTTGGCCAGCCAGAATGTACAAAACAAAATCGGAGATAGTGGGAGTTTATAACTCTCTTCCCAGGGTTGTGTGAAACTGAACACATTTAATTTATTTCTAGAATATCAAGTTGCACCAGTTGCCCAGCCTTGGTTGTGAAGATGGTACGGATGGTCAAATAGTTTCTGAAGCGTTGGGAAATCGCCGGATCCCCATCCCGTGGCGATATGGATCAACCCCGGAGCAATCCACCCGGGTCCCCTTTCGGTACCCCGGATCTTTTCACAGAAAAAATAGCCTATAGGTGGTCACCAATGAATGTTCATCCCTCCAAACCTTGAAAGGTATTACCGGTAATATATATATATATTAGTATGATTTAGTATGTATTAATTATGAATCATTCATCCCATCCGCATGGTATTTTCTGATGGATATCATGAAAAACCTCGAAAAAACAACAGCTTCTCGTTCCGCGTTCTCCACCTGCATGTACTCGTTCTTCAGTTGTCGATCCCTCATCTCCGCTTGATCCTGGATGCATGCAGTGGAGGGGCGGTTGATAAAACAACTTTGACACGTTCCCATCAATATATACCAAATACTGTATATGTACATATATATATATATATATACATATATATATATATTTATATACATATATATATATACATATATATATATTTATATACATATATATATATATACATATATATATATGGGTATGGCTCAAAAAACGGGTATGGATCGTTCCGCGGGTGATCCGGACGCATGGATCGGTCTGGATCACCTGCGTTTTGGTATGGATCATAGGGTATGGATCGCATGTGGTACCGGGGTATGGATCGGAACCTTACATTTTGAGCCGCAGCCATATATATATATGTATACATGTATATACCCTGGATCCCTCTAGGATTTTGAAAAAAAGGATTTGTTCTGAGGCCGAAGGGTGTACCATGGTGTGCCCATTTCCCCCGTCTCGAAGCGGTCCTTCTGATTGAAGTCATCTCGCATCTTCACAAAAGTCTCTGCTGGGCAAAGCTCGCCATCCTGCACGGTGGACAGCAACGAAGGCACAACGTGACAACATGACACAAACGCAAACAAGTTCTTCAGTGTTGGTGTTGGTAGGATCGAGCCTTACCGGCCCTCACTTATCCTGATTTTGGCCCAAATATCAAGACACTCCAAGGTTTTGAAAGGCATTTCCATCTGCGCGGGTAGGAACCTTGTTTTTGGGTCACTTGGAAATTCCAGGATGGTCCACCTTTGGTTTCTTCGATGATCCTAGAATTATGATGAATACTTGTTTAAGTCCTCAGTCATAATTCTAGGATCATAACCATCATAACCTAAATAAACTTATAACTGTTACAAAACTAACATCATATAACTCATAGGTTCAAACACTTCTAAGTTATAACTGTTCTGAATTGTTATAACCCATCGTGTGCTATTAGAATAGGGTCCAGTTTACACAGTTCCAAGCATTGAAAACAGGTTACCTGGTAATCAGGGTCATCCGAGCACAATGCACCGCTGCCTGCCACCAAGGCAGAGTCAAGGCGAACCGAACCAAGTTCTCCGGCAAATCTCCAAAGCCGTCCACCCACTGATTCACGTTCTCTTTCCTTAGCTCAGTATGCTAAATGAAAATTGGTACCAATGGTGATCTAATGGTGATCTAACCACAAAAATGGCTCAATGAACTGGTACCAATGGTGATTTAACCACACAAAATGATGATTTAGCCAAGAACAATGATGTTGACAACAGTGATTTAAGCAGCAAAAGTGGTGATTTCACCAACAAACTTAGGGATTTGAGCAAGAACTTTTTGGGGATTTGCCAGACCAAAAATGGATTCGTTTCTACAAAGAAATCTTGACCGGAAACCATGGTCAAAATAAATTACCACCTGAACAAAAAAAGGATTTTCTGCACAGTTTCCATGACTGGTATCTCCAGTTACACTAGGTCACCAGGTTGGGTGTTTTGGCGGGTGAATGTGCCGCGGAAAACATTGACTATCTGGGTTGGTCAGAAGCTGAAACAACCCTGCAATCCTGGTGTTCTTTTTCTAATGTTGTTGAATACCTCTGTTGGAAGATCATCTTCCAACATTCTTCCAGGGTCAGCTGCACACCCCTTAGATGACTTGCAGCCCTTCCTGAGGTTTCCGACGTCAGGTCAGTGTAGTATTTATCCAGCTTGGTGCGAACCAAAATGGTCCTACGCCACGGTGGGCAAGGGGGGTTAACATCTTTATCATGGTTTAAACTGTTTAACCCGTAAGACAAAACAACAACAAAATGCGAAGGTCAGTGAGGACGACAACCTGAGAATTTCAGGATGTATGATGTTTTAAGGCCTAATCAGGTGGTCTCTAAAGCTGATCTGACACCATCCCAAGCCTATGATTCGAATTGGCTTCGAGCCAATTGCAGTTCCAACACCAAGTTCCAGTGCGTTAAGACCAAGCATAGTGACGTTGAACCACTGAAACTCTTTAAACACCCAATAAACAAAAGAATGGATTATCCACTGTTTCAACACCAAGTTCCAAGTGTACTTGGGAGTGCAGTTCCAGTAAAGTAAGTGGATACACCTTGGTTATAGTCTTATCGCGTCCCCATATCCCAACTATTCCCAGCTTGTGGGGGTAAGTTGAGGGCCAGGAGTCTCCGTTTGCCCGGAGATGCATTGGATGACGTCTTGACGAAGGGCTCAAACTGTGGTATTTCACATACCCATAGGATCCATGGTGCTGGTATATATGCTAACATTGGGGGTATATTGATGGGATCCATGTTACCATATATAGCATACATGGATCCTATGGGATATAAAATGGCTGTCTCAACATGTCTTGACATACTATGGGTCGTGATCGAAGAAGGCATTGTGATTCAGTGCTGCAAGGGTCTTCGAAAACTCGGTGTCCATTTGTTTGTTTGCATTTGTTTATGCGATCTCGTTTTCCTCCAGATAGAACAAAGGCATTACATGCTCAGGCTTGATCTCTTATTGAAGATCTTCCAATAGTGTAACAGTTTAACGGGGGTGGGAGACTTGATCCCTTATCAAGATCTTCAATTAGTGTACTGTACATAGTAGTTTAACGAGGGTAGGGGATGTGATCTCGTATTGGAAATACTGAATCAGTGTGATAGTTTAACGGGAGTGGGGGATTTGATCCCTGATTGAAATCTTGAATCAGTGTATATACTAGTTTAACGGGGTGGGGGATTTGATCTCTTCAATCAATGCAATGGTTTAGCATGTGCATTAAGTTTGGGACACGGGGCAAGTTTTGAGAATTCAGAGTTTGGGCGAAGGGCGGCGCCTGAGGCTAAGTTACCCCCATGGTTACCATGGTTTTTTCGCTGCCATATAGAGCGCTAAAAACCCCAAGCGTTCCATCCGTGCCGTCCTCTGAAACTTGGGATCGATCTGGCGGCACTTGCCCAAGGTGCTCATGGTGGCAGCGTCACCACACTGAGACGCAGATACCGCGGGATGAGCCGAGCTTTGGAATGACACCCAAAAAGAGAGTACTTAGGCTTGAGTGATTCACCACTTATATTTGGGATTTATTTTGTAATTCACCAACAACATGATTTAAGAGTGATAATGCCAACACCGGATTAATAACCCCCCCCAGAAGGTAGGGGGGGTACCTTCTGGCTAGTTTTCTTGACCACCCCTTAATAATAAGCAACTCTGAACCATAAAACTTTGGATATGGCTTACGTCAATTAGATCTTAATAGAATTCCATTGGATTTGTTAAAATCTCATGGATCAGAAAGGTGGTTGATTAATCAGGGGCAAACCGTGGTTATTATTAATGGGGGACATGGGCTCATGGGGGGTACCCTTTGGGAGCTATCCAAACTGATGATTTTTATAAAGATTTTAATTAGACATCGATCATTTGGTGAATAGTTGTTTTTTGAATTTTTCAATGATCAACCCAAACCTTAAGTATAACAATGATGATTAAAAAAAAGGTAAAAAACAATTGGAAATAAATAGAATTGGAAATAAAAATTGTTGGATAAAAAAATGGATTTCAGCAAAGGAGGTTGATTAATAACGGGGTGTTGATTAATCCTGACTTGACATTATAGAGTAATTAATTTACCACTAAGTATTACATCTAATTACTCTGAGTAATTTGAATAGATTTGCAAGTGGGCAACACACAAAATGAAACAAAAGGATTGGATTTGAAGTGACGATTTGAATGGGCCATAATGGGTTTGGACATGTAACTCATATGGATTTACCGTTCATCGTTTATAAATGGGACATTGTAAAATTGAGTGATCTCCCTTCATGGTTGATCCAAACTGAAGCGGCTTGGATTTAAATGGATTTGAGTTTGTCTGAAAATAGGATACCTCCAGTCCAGTGGTAAAATCCGTTCTACCTTTTGTTGAATGGCAATCAACTGGGTTTTCTACCGTCCAACTGGGCTATTTCAACAGATATACCGATATACCCCAGTTGCAGATCGTATTCACTCAGAGATCATACCTAGGAGTGGTGTATAGCCTCAAATTTCCAAGTGAGTCTGATCCCTTCCGTACAGAATCTTTCACAAAACGCATGTCTTCCTCTAACGCAGATTGGGGAAAATCGCTGTTGCACTGAACGAGTCTTGGGAAAATCCTTGGGTCATGTTGGGTCCCTGGGTCGATGCTGCACCTGTTCCACGCAAAGCATCACATTGCGCGGATCCCGCATGAAGGTCATCACAAGCTCCTCGATCCTGGAAAATTCCCAGGCTACCAATCCGCTGAGAAAAAACCATCACCCACCCTACTGTTTCTCGTTTGCCCCTTTCTACCGGCTGACTTGGGCAGCAATTGGTGGAAGGCAAGACACAGAATGCAAACATCAAATATAATCAAATAATTACAACATATTACAACTATACCTACAAAGTATCCATGTTTCATACGCTTCAAAAACCATTGCAACATACCTGCATACCACTTCAGACTCAACAATTCATCATATCATATATATATATATATAATATATATATATATAATTACAATCATTTAGTAATATAACATCACCCGCTCGGCACACGTCAAACGGTTCCTTGTGCAGAGCTCCTGCTTGGTTTGGTCCAGCGCAAAGTCTCGAAACCCTGGTCGAGCTCCACAGTTTTGGATTATCGACGTCCATGCTTTCCAGAAGAAGCAATACATCTGGGGATTGAAGCATCAACAATTAGGGATTCAAGCAATGATGGATATAGATAGGTGCTCTTAAAATAGAATACATTGCGTTTGAACATGTTTTAACCATGGCTGGTGTTTGGTCTAATGTTGGAGAATTTCGGGGGTGAATGCCCGAAGACATTTTTAGACAAAACAAAATATGTTTTTCGCAATTTCATGATCACCTTGCCTGGAACAGGATGGATTTTCCATATCACATCTTAATTACTTTACCAACAAGTATGCAGCGATCAGCGATGAAAAACACAAGATGTACAATAATGTACACAATTCTATTCGAAACTCAAAATTCCTGGTTGGTAACCCATGATTTTCCTGGTTTTTCTGGTTTAACCGTTTTTTTCCGCCTTGAAGAATTGTGAAAAGTCAATGAGGATCATCATCCTGGTACTGTGGCTTAGGGCATAGTATGGCATAGTAACTTTTATGAAAGTGGGGCGGGGTGGGTGACAATTTCCCAATGCGATTCCCATATCATCCAGCTTTCCGGAATCGGCGATATTTCCCATGGTATTCCGATATTTCTGTGAATATCCTATTAAACCATATTCAAACTAAATAGCTGTGGAACATCACCATCTTTAGTAGGTAAATCAACTATTTCTATGGGCCATTTTTTATAGCTATGTTAAATTACCAGAGGGTAAACCACATTGAACCACCATGTTTATTGGTTAATATCCAACTAATCACGACACACCTTTTTGCCAACATGTCGCACCTGGCAGGTCAACAATCTGCATGTCAACGCAGGCAGGGGACCTTGGAACATCTCCAGACAAATGTCCAGATTTTCAGGTGGCTTGGAGGTTTTAGAATATGGGGAAAAACACTGGAAAATCAACATGTTATTTAAAAAAACTATGGGAAACCATGGAAACATCACCATGTTATTGCAAAACTAGGAAACACATGAAAAATCATCATTGTATTGCAAACATCACCATATTTTTACACGGAACATATAGGAAAATCATCTGCTGAATGGGAACCGGTTGATGGTGTGCAAAAAATGTTGGTTACCAACAGAGGCAAACATATTGACCAAACAAATCCACCTGGGGCGTTGTGTTTTTGTCTAGCAATTATTGTTTTTTGGATGTTTTTGGAAGGATTCGAACCATTGCTGATTTTTCTTAATGGAACACATGATGATAAATTGGATTTCGTGGTACCTCTTCTTGATAAACCCATAGCGCCTTATGAGGAAATATGGGTGCTTTCAACCATATGGAATGAAATGGGTTCATATGGGTTCCCGGTTGTGAGACAACCCGTTAGATGAAGGCGTTCGATATATGATTTGTACTAATTTCATCATATGGGTATGGGTCAAAATTAAGTACCCCAATAATTGGATGGTTAATACTAAACTAGACTAACATCTGTGGTCCCCTAGGTCTTCCATTTTGACCCACACCCATATTTCTATAACTATACACCCTTTTTAGTTTGCACCGTGTTGAATCGCTTGGTAAATCTCTGGGCGACCCACTGCACTCGGACGCAAATGGGCTCAGGAGACACCTGTGTCGCATGAGTCTGCGTAGATTCACTCCACTCAGCATCTTCACTACTGGATGGTTGAGCCGCGCGTCCCATCAAAATATGTGATTTGTTGGGGATAATCACATCATTCCAGTGGAATTTTGGCACAAAAAAAAAGTCATGATATGCCGGAAATTGGACATCATTGGACAACTGTTCTTAAGAAACTGCACACGTCAATGGTAATCTACAGAAACACAAACTGGTGATACAAACTCGGGCAGGATTCATCCCAAGTTCCAAGTTTCACAACAGAAAAAGGTTCGCTGACCCGCCGCAAAGTCAAGGTATTCGAAGCAGCGGCAATTTGAAGCAACCAAGGTCCAAATTCACAACATGCCGTAGCCCAGAAGAATGATCAATTCCTCATGATCAAAAATAATCTGAATCTCTTCTTCCCATACGTTCCCCGCAAAAGAATAGCATGTGTACAATTGTCAAACAACGATGAACCAAGGTAAATTTGCCGTTTCAGACAGAAATTAAATGTCCTATAGTGAGGGGTATTTGCACATTTTGTGGTGTGATATTATACATATATATATAATTATATATATATACTGTATACATATATATATATATATAAATACAATCAAAGGAAGTTGGGAAGCAATACTTCCGTGTTACGGACAAATAGAATTCTGCGACTTGAAATGATGAAGGGTGGTAGATCACATAACAATACACAACATAACAATACATAACAAAAGAATAAGAAGCGGTGGAATTGACCTTGATGAAGGGTGGTGATAATGACGGGTGGTGAGGAAGGGAAGTGGTGACGAAGGGAAGTGGTGACGAAGGGAAGTGGTGACGATGGGAAGTGGTGACAAAGGGAAGTGGTGAAGAAGGGAAGTGATGATGAAGGGAGTGGTGAGGAAGGGAAGTGGTGAGGAAGGGAAGCGGTGACGATGTGAAGTGGTGAGGAAGGGAAGTGCTGAAGAAGGGAAGTGATGATGAAGGGGAGTGGTGACGAAGGGAAGTGGTGAAGAAGGGAAGTGGTGAGGAAGGGAAGTGGTGACGAAGGGAAGTGGTGAGGAAGGGAAGTGGTGAGGAAGGGAAGTGGTGACGATGGGAAGTGGTGAGGAAGGGAAGTGGTGAAGAAGGGAAGTGATGATCAAGGGGGGTGGTGAGGAAGGGAACTGGTGAGGAAGGGAAGCGGTGACGATGGGAAGTGGTGAGGAAGGGAAGTGGTGAAGAAGGGAAGTGATGATGAAGGGGAATTGTGAGGAAGGGAAGTGGTGAGGAAGGGAAGCCGGAGCACGAAACCTTGTGTTTTTCCGTGTAAAGTGGCTGCAGCCGGCGATGAAAGCTACCTCGTCTGTGCGGCGGTTGCGGCTGGGGTCGTTTGGTTCCTTCTATGTGTTTTGCAACAATGCTTGCTCCTGTGTGCGTAGTTCTATGCGTTTCTTGACGCTGTGGTGCCAGATCGCATTGTAATGGCTGCATGATGTTGCATGCCGTGTGTTGTGGGGAGGAAGCCGGAGCACGAAACCGTGCGTTTTTCCGTGTAAAGTGGCTGCAGGCGACGATGAAAGCTAATTCGATCTCGTTCGTGCGGCGGTTGCGGCTGGGTCGTTTGCCTTCTATGTGTTTTGCAACAATGCTTGTTCCTGTGTGCGTGGTCTATGCGTTTCTTGACGCTGTGGTGCCAGATTGGGAATGGCTCTGCATGAGGCAGGGTTTGTGTTGGGGAGGAAGCCGGAGCACGAAACCTGCGTTTTTCCGTGTAAAGTGGCTCCAGCCGGCGATGAAAGCTACCTCGTCTGTGCGGCGGTTGCGGCTGGGGTCGTTTGGTTCCTTCTATGTGTTTTGCAACAATGCTTGTTCCTGTGTGCGTAGATCTATGCGTTTCTTGACGCTGTGGTGCCAGATCGCATTGGAATGGCTGCATGATGTTGCATGCCGTGTGTGTGGGGGAGGACCGTGCCGCGTTTCTTGACGCTGTGGTGGCAGGTCGCATTGGAATGGCTGCATGGTGTTGCATGGGCTTTGTGTTGGGGAGGAAGCCGGAGCACGAAACCGTGCGTTTTTCCGTGTAAAGTGGCTCCAGCCGGCGATGAAAGCTACCTCGTCTGTGCGGCGGTTGCGGCTGGGGTCGTTTGGTTCCTTCTATGTGTTTTGCAACAATGCTTGTTCCTGTGTGCGTAGATCTATGCGTTTCTTGACGCTGTGGTGCCAGATCGCATTGGAATGGCTGCATGATGTTGCATGGGCTATGTTGTGGGGAGGAAGCCGGAGCACGAAACCGTGCGTTTTTCCGTGTAAAGTGGCTGCAGCCGGTGATGAAAGGTACCTCGTGTGTGCGGCGGTTGCGGCTGGGGTCATTTGGTTCCTTCTATGTGTTTTGCAACAATGCTTGTTCCTGTGTGCGTAGTTCTATGCGTTTCTTGACGCTGTGGTGGCAGGTCGCATTGGAATGGCTGCATGGTGTTGCATGGGCTTTGTGTTGGGGAGGAAGCCGGAGCACGAAACCGTGCGTCTTTCCGTGTAAAGTGGCTCCAGCCGGCGATGAAAGCTACCTCGTCTGTGCGGCGGTTGCGGCTGGGGTCGTTTGGTTATGTGTTTTGCAACAATGCTTGTTCCTGTGTGCGTAGTTCTGTGGTGCCAGATCGCATTGGAATGGCTGCATGATGTTGCATGGGCTTTGTGTTGGGGAGGAGGCCGGAGCAGGAAACCGTGTGTTTTTCTGTGTAAAGTGGCTGCAGCCGGCGATGAAAGGTACTTCGTCTGTGCGGCGGTTGCGGCTGGGGTCGTTTGGTTATGTGTTTTGCAACAATGCTTGTTCCTGTGTGCGTAGTTCTATGCGTTTCTTGACGCTGTGGTGCCAGATCGCATTGGAATGGCTGCATGATGTTGCATGGGCTTTGTGTTGGGGAGGAAGCCGGAGCACGAAACCGTGTGTTTTTCCGTGTAAAGTGGCTGCAGCCGTCGATGAAAGCTACCTCGTCTGTGCGGCGGTTGCGGCTGGGGTCGTTTGGTTCCTTCTATGTGTTTTGCAACAATGCTTGTTCCTGTGTGCGTAGTTCGATGCGTTTCTTGACGCTGTGGTGCCAGATCGCATTGGAATGGCTGCATGATGTTGCATGGGCTTTGTGTTGGGGAGGAAGCCGGAGCACGAAACCGTGTGTTTTTCCGTGTAAAGTGGCTGCAGCCGGCGATGAATGTTGCTTGGTGCTGCGGATGCTTGCGTAATACTATTGTCTTTTGCAGCTGAAGATTGCGAATCGTATTGGCGTGGCTGCATCCAGGCTGCGATAATGATTTGTCAGCTGATTTTCACACTTTTGGCGCTATTAATTTTCCTTTGAAAAATCCTTTTAAAAAGTGCTTCAAAATCGTCTTTTTTCTGCTTTGGCGTCGAGATCCGGTTTTGGAGCTGCTATTGCCGACGCTGTTGCGTGTAGTTCTTATATTGTGTTTTGCAACTCAGTCTCTGCAGATCGCATTGTAATGGCTGCGTCAAGGTTGCTTGGTGCTGCGCAATACTATTGTCTTCTGCAGCTAAATCTCGTAAATCGTATTGGGGTGGCTGCATCCAGGCTGCGATAGTGATTTGTCAGCACTTTTCGCAATTTTGGCGCTCTTAATTTTCCTTTGAAAAATCCTTTTAAAAAGTGCTTCAAAATCGTCTTTTTTCTGCTTTGGCGTCGAGATCCGGTTTTGGAGCTGCTATTCCCGACGCTGTTGCGTGTAGTTCTTATATTGTGTTTTGCAACTCAGTCTCTGCAGATCGCATTGTAATGGCTGCGTCAAGGTTGCTTTGTGCGAAGAGCTTAGGTGAGATGAAGTGTGGGGTGTGAAGAGTGCAGTGTGAAGTGTGAAGTTTGGAGTGTGAAGGAAGCAGTGAGAAGTGAGAAGTGTGAAGTGTGGACTGTGAAGTGTGAAGTTTGGAGTGCGAAGAGTGCAGTGTGAAGTGTGAAGTGTGGAGTGTGAAGTGTGAAGTGTGAAGTGTGGAGTCTTAAGAGTACAGTGTGAAGTGAAGTGTTGACTGCGAAGGGTGCAGTGTGAAGAGTGCAGTGTGAAGGGTGGAGTGTGAAGTGTGCAGTGTGGAGTGTGAAGACTGCAGTGAGAAGTGCGAAGTGCGAAGTGGAGCTTCAAATGTGACATGTGAAACAAGACACAACTTTCGCAGAGTGCACGCGCGCACGGCTTGGCTGGCGCACGGCGCATGCAAGTTCTATAGATGAGAAAGGTCTTATATATATATATATCTTTAAGGCAACTTCCGCCCCGCCTCGTGCGGGTACTACTGGTATCTATATGTATTCGTAAATTAAATGCTCCTTGATTAAACAAATTAATGGTGTGTTCAATCTCGAAGCCCTCCAAACGCGCACCGTCTCACCAAGCTCTTCATGTGCATCTCCGACCTGAATTCTCTGGGCCAATCTCAGTTCCTGAACAAAAAAACTATGGATTTCTCTGAACAAAATGCCAAGCTGATTTTTTTATGGTTGAACATCTAGGGTAAAAAAATGAGATCTGTTTAAATGACCTTTTATGGTTCAGAAAAGTACGTATTCCTTGTTAAAATAGCCACAAATGGTGGTATCCAGCATGTTTGGACAAGCGTATTGGCTGCCCCTGGTATTGTTGACTATGTCAACACCTTTGAAGCACGGGGCAGAGTTCCGTACACTTCAATGCAAAATGTAAGAAACCAAGACTTTAGTGACGAAGTGCCCGTGTGAAGAATCTTCAAAACCCTCTATCGTCCCTTTGTACAACGTATATAGTTAGTTAATGGATTTTCTATGATGGATTGGGACAATTCCGAGTACATTGGATAGTATAGGCCAATATCATATATAATAATCCATCAACAGGGGTCTTGAACACTGCCCATGTAAGTCTACCCATGCAACATATTGTAGCTATTTCCCACCCCTTCCTGTATCATAGGGCATGTTACATGGACGAGTACCAGCACCAAACCAGAGCTTGGGTATATTGACATTAATGACTGATAGAATTATAGATCATAAATTATATATAACAATTATATCATTTATGATTTGGTAACCTGGTAAACCCAATAATTCACCATCGCAACTTTGGGTTGATTATATTTTATTGGGTATATACCCCTTTTTGGGATGATTTCTTATAATCAGCATCTAATCTAATCAGTTGATTGCTGCTAGCTGTCCCAGCTGGTTGCTCCCCTGGCGCGACGAAAAAAGGAACGTCGGAAATCTGGGTCTTTCCAGCCAGTTGCATGACCTTGCTCACCTCGTGCTCGTTCCAATGACCCGTCTGTCGATCGCGCACGAACCTATCCAAGATGTCAAGCGTACGACGCCGACCGGGGGATTGAAATAGCAAACATCAGGGGTAAACAACAAGTGGAAGATATAACCAACAAATATTAGGGATATAGTGGGGATATATTGGGAATATCCCCAAACATGATGGAAGCTTATGACTACTGGATATCTTGGGGATATAAGCATCCATAATATGGATATGATGGGGGTATCACGGGAGATATGATCAACAAGATGATGTTTTTTTTGTCCAGTTAACTGCGGGCTGGGACCCAAAGATATGAAACAAATGTGGTTTTCTGAGATTCTGGGGGAGTCTTCACTGATCCTAACCTGTTGGAAAAGGGGTTGTAGCCCTGAAAAAAAACATGGCTTTAGTCAAGTCAAGCTACTAAACACAACCAAAAAATACCAAAAATACAACCGACATATTGTGACTGGAAAACACACAAGACTTGGCTGAATGATTGGTACTGTAGTATGGGTGCAACTAGATTTAAATCCTGTCGCATAAGGCAAGGTAACGGGAGTAATAATCAGGATTTGGGGTTGAGCTGTTGCAATGCAAATCATCCCCAAACCTCCAGTGTCCCAACAAAAAATGAAGGATTTTGGACGCCACAACGCAAGTTGTAAACCTTGCTGCACCCAAATTGGTGTTTGCACCTTGAATCCCCAAAACATGAGCGAACAGTTTGAACACTCGGGTCCCACACAGGGGTTGAGCATCAGGACGAGCTAGGGGAAACCTCTGGGACGCCCCACCATCTGGAGTTCTTGGAGCCAACCACGTTGCGGAATTCCAAGATGGTCGGTCTTCGACTGCCTGATCTGTCAAATATTGTCAAATGGGGTACGACACCTTAGTTCATCCTCACATTTCTGATGGCTAAATTTGGCTAAAACATGCCAACACCTGTTCTTGATGATGAAGTATGGCTAAATCCCAATGTTTGACGATTAAAATTGCTGAATCGCTAGTTTTAACCCAAGGCCACATCATGTCAAACCTTCATTTCAACATGGTTGTATAGACCCATTATAGATCCTACGTTTAATGGGGACTCAACCAAACCCAAGGTCGGGGACCCCCAATCATGCACGGTAGCTGTTGGTGAATAAGCCTAATAACAGCGTCCAATCATTGGTCAAACCTAGTGGTTCTAATATGTTCCAATCCTAGTGGTAAGTAATCCCTTGTTCATATCACTCCTATTTCAGTAACCACATGTAACCACTATACGACTATATAATGGTGGTACAGTATATGGTGGTATGGTACACTCCTAATGTCATTCACCAGCATTCACCGAAAGTGGTACCAAAATGTAGCAACATTGCCATCGCACCTAAGGTTCCTGAGATGAAGTTGAAGGTCTCTCCAGCAAGTGCCTGGGATTTCTGCAAAGTTTTCCCGGTCCAGCCGGGTTGGTTTCCCCCCCACCCTTCAAATTGACAGAAAACTATGGAAATTCACAATGTTCAAATATGTTCAATAGCTAAATCATCTTTGAATGGCTCATAGCGGCCATAACTATCTTAGTTCACCAGTTCGGGTAGCAATCGGATCTCACTCCATTTTTCATTGGTCAAATAGCCTCAGTTTCAATGGTCCAATCCCATCCTCCGCACCGAAATGTTGGCTGGGGATCATCGTTCCATTTCCAGAAATGACAAATAAACAACGATCCCAAATAATTAGAAACATGAAACACCATAAAATCCTACCAAAAGAATCAAGCATAAAAACCATTGAACAAACATGTCTTCCACATCGTTTCTTTGATGCTCCTCTCACTGTTGCCCCAATGGCGAACCCCAGAAAGGCCATGGCACCTCGATCAAGCGGCTCTTTCCCACCGACTGCTTTCCAATCAGGATGAATTGAGGCCTAGGCGGCCATCCTTGGGCCCCGAAACGAGAGCTAAGTTGGTTTATCATGGTTTATATAGCTATAGTTTTACTAGGATTTTTGATAGATACAAATAGATTCAATATACCTTGGTTCAATGGTTTTCCACTTATGTAAGGGTTTTTCGCTATATAGCTTTAGTAGGATTTATGATGTATGCATCGCTGGTTCAATGGGGGGATTTCCCGCTTCATCCTAGGAATTCCCAAGTCTGGTGCCTCCTCCGAAACGCGGTGAAATCCGATTTTCCATCCCATGGAAATAAATAATAAATAAATTAAAAATATTATATAATATTTTATGTTATAATATAATATAATATAATATAATATAATATTATATAATATTTTATGTTATCATATAATATAATATAATATTATATAATATTTTATGTTATCATATAATATAATATAATATAATAAAATATAATATAATATAATAAAACAAAATATAATATAATATAATAAAATATAATATAATAAAATAAAATAAAATATAATATAATAAAATAAAATATAATATAATATAATATAAAATAAATTATAATATTATATTATATTTTATTATTTTATATTATATTCATATTTATATTCATATAATTAAAATCTTCTTTTTAAATATATAATTATATTCATATTTGTATTCATATAAGCCCCTAACCTCAAACTCGTCTGCACGCTCGCTCTTTTTTCAAACACCTTCCTCACACTGTCTTCCAACTTGTATCACTTACAAGATAATGCATTGGGTATGCCCACAGATCCATCAGCCCTGCCGATGAAGGCAGCCTGTATCAGTTAGGTTAAGTACCTCCAGCTATCCAGTCACACCCATACAGTTAACCTCTCCAATCTGTGAGGATTCGCAGTGTCCTGCGCAAGGACCCCATCTGCAGCGCAGACTTCAAGTTATAAGGTTACCCCACAGAGGACCTGATAACAGGGTGGGTCAAAATGCCTGATTTAGGGAGGGCAAGGAAAACAATGCTGCTATTTTGGATCAATGTACTTGAGCCAAAATTGGCATTTGTTTTACCTTATTTAACGAACCACCAAGAAATGACCACTGTCCACCTATGCCTGTCATATATATGGTCCCAGTCATACATATGGTCCCGTCCTCCGTCTCTCCACCCCCCCCAAATGGGTTGGGTCCCCAGGTAGCACCCCCTTCCCTTCTATTTGCAAGCTATTGGCAGCATTTCTGAGGTCCAGCTTCGTTTTTGCTAGGTCTTTGCAGCATTCATGACTACCAGCCTCGCATTTACTAGGTACATGCTACCTTTTAGACGATCTACGTAGCGGACATACTCCCTCAAAGTACCTACGTGCCACCTACAATCATACATACATGTGCTATGTATCTACTTCCTATTTACTACGTGTGTACTCTCACAACACTATATACATGTGTTTGACATATACCGTACCTACCATACATTCCAATGATGCCATACATACCATACCTATCATACCTATCATACATACCACACATACCATACATATGAAACATAACTACCACACTTACCATACATACAATACCAAACATACATGCCATACATACCATACCCACCATACCTACCTTGCATAGTAACCATACGTACCTTACAGACCATACATACTGTCATATCAAACATACCATACCCAACAGACTTACATACCATGCCTACCATCCGTACAATACCAACCATTCATGCCATACATACCATACCTACCATACATACCATGCTTTCCAAACATGCCATACCAGACCGACCATACACAGCATACATACCCAACATACCATACCACACCCCAGGGGGGAGGGGGAAGATCTCATATGGGGGCAATATATGGGACCCATCCTATGCGGGCCTGGTGCATATATATATATATATATAATAGTATATAATATAACATATATATATGTATAACAGATTATCTATATATGTATATAATATGTTATATGTTACTGTTATCTATAGTTAATATACCATTTAAAGTTTAGAAGAAATTAACCTCCAACCCACAGTCTCATGGCAGGGTCGAGCTAGTTGGTAAACTCAATGGCCAATGCCATAAACCTACCATGTCTGGAGGGTTTACACCACACAGAAATCTGGTGATATGGGGGTTTCCTGAAATAGTGGTACCCCCAAATCATCCATGTGGTATTTTCCATTATAAACCATCCATTTGGGGTATACCACCGTTTATAGAAACCCCCCATGTTGTTACCACGACAAAATCAATTGGGCTGAAGTGTATCGAACTTTTCACGGATTCGGTGCGTCTTTGAGAAATTCCTGACGTGATGAACAAGGAACCATCCCGTTTGGAAGGATCAATCAACAGAAAGTAGATGTTTTGATTCGTTTTCTCACATTGATATAGAGATGTTGCCCCGTTTCGGATTCCTGTTTTTATATCTTTTATAACGATAATACTTGGTGCTTGGTGGTTGGTTTTTCATCCCTCCAAGACAATGGGTGTGTCCAAGCCCCATGGGAAAAGACTTAGCTCTCTGACATTGGAAAGTCGACAATGCCAATCTTATCCTGGCCCAGGCATTATTGGCAAACATGCCAGTGGTCAGTTCAGATTCATATGAATATACGTAGTATATATATAATTATATATATATATATGAATATAGATGGCTGTAGATGGATATAGATGGATATAATAATTATGGATGGATATAGATAGATGTTGATTCCATCCAAACTGGGTTTCCCCTGAGCCATGTTTGATGACATTGAGACAATATTATTTGCAGTGAAAGTTGGAAATCTTTGGAGCCAAACCGACCACCTGTGACTTGAGACGTGCCGTCCCAAAATCTGCTGACAGTCGCAATGGTGAACTGGTTGGTGAATCTTCTAGGGCTGGATAGCAGGAAAAATATGGAACACTTATGACCACAGAGTCATTGCCGAGTCATTGCCAGATGTTCGGTAGTATTGGGTACTCTACATCAATTGCACCCTGAGTGTTGGCGCTTCACGTTACTGTCCCAAATATACGTACGATCGAACAGGATCAGTTGGTTTTGATTCACTGCGGGGTCGTATCCCATTCTCCACAAGATCTGCTAGTGAAATGTGCATCCCTGTTTTTTCTGGTATACCTATCCCTCTGAAAAATGAGTTCGTCAGTTGGGATGATGAAACTCCCAATATATGGAAAAATAAAATTCATGTTCCAAACCACCAACCAGTTCATTGTAGATCTCCGTGAAGATTTGCCAAACATTACCAACCAATGTCATAGGGAACGTCATAATCCAGTCATGTTCCAGTCACCACCAACCAGCTCCCACTTGGTGACTTATTTTATTTCGTTGCTTGAATCACAGGAAATATCACCACGATTGCTGATAGATGCTGATAGATGCCCCATGAAAAACGGTTTGTTGATCGATTCCCACCTTGTCCTCTTGGTTTTCCTTATGAAATCCATTAGTTTACCATGTTTCTCGGAATTGTTAACCTATATGTTCACCTATTTTCCTCATAAAGTGCATGAGTTCACGATGTTTCTCGGTCAAATTTCCATCCCCCTTTTGCAAAGATCTCTTTTCGCGCGCCTGCACTCGGGCTTTCACATCGCCCAGCAGGTTCAGCAGTTCAGATCTGGAACCCACGCCTGATTTAAACAACTCAAAAACTAGACAGAAAAAAGATTAATACCATTGTTACGATATTGTTGTGATTAATAACTCAAGATAACAATATCATGTTTTTTTATTACCATTTGTTGTGATATTTTGAGAACATGTCTATTGTTTGATGATTCAATCTCCAACCTAGGAAAACAAACAGTGTTCACACCTTTTCGAAATCTTTTTTTGGAGATCACACACATGTAATATCGTCACAACGCCGTGATTCATCTTGATATATCTTCACTAACTAATAGCACGCCAAGCTGTCAGGATCTGTCATTAGCAGCGGAATGCAGTGGATGAAACCCGCCTGCCATTGCGCGGGCTTCGGCGGGCCACCTATTTAAATTAGAGCACTAGAAACTACGCTGCAACAGTCGGCAGAGAGGCGGATGGCAGATCTACTGGGAGATCGACTGGGGGTTCGATGTTCTAATATTCTAGTATGTCTGCACAATATGTATGCACAATGTGCAAGATTCTAAATCATTTTAAAGTCAAATTTATAGTTTTAGTGTTTGTTAAAATATGTTTGAATTGTGTCCTACACATCCCATCACACTATATCTTGAAACTTCCAAGATAATAACACAATCCACTGCAATGTTTAATATGTTGCAATATGATTATCACCCCGTCCCGCGACGGGTTGCTCAGCTGCTCTAGTCACTCTAGTCGGGTGGATCAAAGCAGCACTCCTTAGGTCCTTGGTCTCTCTCCTGTATGGAAACAAACTTTTGTGCACATCTGTCAGTTCACAAGTGGTCAATATCCCATATGAATCATCATATGAATGACTATGTCCAAAAAGACTCACATATTACATATCCGGGTATCGGTATAACTCAAATGTAACTGGGTTACTTCACATAGGAAACATCCAAGTACATGTCTATGGTCGATGCTATCATACCAGGTACCATCGTAGCACAGTACCCTGCAACCATCAAGTTTGCAGGTCACTACTTCGAGGACCAGCCCACTCAGAACCTGGTAATATTATATATATATGGGGCAACCTTACAAATTGGGGACCTTTGATAACCAGGGTTGCACTTACGATTCATGATTCCTTGCATGATCCTCCAAGAAAAAACATCATCCATACTCATCTGACAACAATAACACGGACCCCACGGGAAAATCTTTTCCACGCGGTACCGGTTGGCTTTGGCGCCCATTTTGGCGCAACGGTTGGTGAAACCTGTGCAATCCGCACATCATGTGATCTGATTGCAGTTGAAAGAAGCAGAGTCGAAGACTGTGAACATCGGATTCAAGGAAAATTTACTGAGTTGGTTTAAAAAAACATCAATGCTACAGTGTTTTACATGGTCTTGTTACGTCTTGTTGGTGTTTTACCATCTTTGATGGGCGACTTCAACAAATGACCTTCCCCTGGTACTCTCGTCGATGAACCTCTCTCAATTTGGAGACGATTTACCAACATAATTAAGTGGTTCCTTATAATAATTTTATCCCAGTAATTTCCTACAATTATCCCAATATTATCCCAATAGTATCCCAATATTATCCCAATATTATCCCAATAGTATCACATGTTCATCCATTTTCAATGAAGCTGCACAATTTTCCAACACAAACGTTCCGGACTTCACACGTAACAAAAAGGCCGCAAATCTCAACCCATCATCATGGCGAGCCCTGGCGTCTCATCATGACATGGATCCATGATGATCCATGATCGTTCGGTGTGGCCGTTGTAATCCATACTTAATGCATATGAGCCAGATCACAAAGATGTGATGATGTCTTGGTTATGTATAATATATATATATACACAAACTATCAAGTTTGTTAAACTCACACTGACTTTCAGTTACTCATCGATTTTCACATCACAAAAATGGTTCACCTTTTTTTTTTTTTCGGTAGGGCTCAGCGGTATTTCCCGTTCTGAACCCGCGCCTGAGATTGGTTGATCAAATCTGGAGAGGCCCAAACGACCACACCCACAATGAGGAACAAAACCTTGGGCCGAGGATTTCCAGTTGTTTCTTGAAATGGAGGTACGTTACCGGCCATATCTGTTTTAGATCGCATTATAACATATTATATAATCTATTATATATATATAATATTTAATTATATTATAAGTATATTTATAAGGATACACTGCATAATCATGTAGTAGAAATGTCTGCAATATGCGCCTGATCTTGCAATAGGTCATTTCCTCCAAGTCAGCTCATGTGAGCCCCAGAAGGGGGGGACTCACCATCCACTTCTCGATGGATCCCATATGATCCCATTGTATCCCTGAAGTTGACGTTGCGGCCACAATTTTTGGGCAATGATTATCATTCATCCACTAAAATGTTCGGCCATCTTTGGGCTTGCCTGAAAATGGGGGACCAGTTTCAATTGATGATGATCGTTGTTGCCAGTAAATTAGCCATCTGGGAGAATATCCCAGTTGTGTTTTCGGTGAACCCGGTCAACCACGCCTTACCAAACAATCGGATTTTCGAACCCCAAACACCTGATCACCAGTGGATCTTTTGGAAAACATCGAGTCAGGCTCCATCAGCATGGTCGATGACTTGCGGTTTCAGCACATCCCTACATCAAGAAAAATGGTTGTTTGAGAAACAACCATACATACATGTCTAGTTCTCTGGGGTTGAAAGTCCATTTTACATTTACATACTGTATGCACTATGTGTTTAGAACAAAACTCGCTTGCCAAAATTCCAATTAGCATGCCCATCTGTGCATGGATCACAGATTGGGAGCCTGTCAAAAGCTTTGCACACACCTATGGGACCAATGGTAAATATGTGGATTGTTTATATATTGTCATCCATTGTCTTCTACCAAAATTCATCAACATTTCTGTTTTTCGGCATCTACATTTGTGCCCAGCTATTTGATTTCGACCACAAACAGCAGCGTCACCGTGGCCCACACCGCTCCAACGCAAGGGAGTAAGACTGACACCTGCTCAGTCGGGTATGGCATATTACCTGGCCTGAACACTTTAGCATCCTCACATAGCACACACTGACTTCAACTTGGGGGTTGTGGCAAAATACACCATGATATATACCATGAATAAGAATTTGAGTGAGGCCTAGTCTATATACAGAAGCAATGTTTGGTATAGGCATGGGTCAAAAGAAATATAAAAATGAACCATGGATGTTTTGTGTAAATATTTATGTCCAATTTTCTTACCCCACACAGAACGCATCACTTCAATTCGGCTTTCGGCTTTTTCTCTACTCGGGCGACTACACGGGGATCCCATCCAGCTGGGCTGACGACTTTGAAGATTCCATGGTGATTCCATGGTGTTTTTTGTTTGTAGGTATTTACCCTCTGGTAAACTAACATAACTATGGGAAATCACCATTTTCAATGGGTAAATCCACTATAAATCACCATTTTCAATAGCTATGTTAAATTACCAGAGGGTATCTGTTTTGAAGATGATCTGATCATTAAAAAACCACGTGTTTTACTGAGTTATTTGCTGGAAAGAAGCCACAAGAACCATAGTTACCATAGTTGTCAGAGTGTGTTATAAAAGAGTGTTTGCATTAATGCTCCCCTATTTGAGGCATTGAGACGGTCTAATTTATTGGGCTTTCAGAAAGTACTATATACTTCATCCTTTTTTCTAAGACACAGGACCTCAAAACGAAGAAATTCATCACTAGATTCATCAGATTCATCACTATTAATAGGACATTTCTGGGTCTTCCTGATTATCGCAAACATCTCATCAAAGCATTGCTTACCCAGCAGTCAGCCACCAAGTGCTGGGTTTCCGACGCGTGGATTGCGCTCCCAGACTTTCCTTTGGCACCGCTGATTTTGATTCACATCAGGAGGATGACATGAAATCAAGATGAAACAAAGCAACTAAAGACAAACGCATGGCACCTGGGATACCATGCAAAAGACATGGTTGTGTTTTATGAGAAGTTGTGTCCTAAACCATTCCAAACCCATATGTTTCATGATGTTTGCAGGTTTCATACAGTCATTCACCATACTATACCATACTGGTATGCTTTCCGATTTGGCGAGATGCTACTTGACCCTAGCTACTTTGATCCACAAAAAAGTATGTACAATGTGTTCACATATCTTTGGAATGTCAAATACGTGATATGAGGGGGGGTCCATAAATGGAGGTACTCCCAAATGGATGTTATATAGTGGAAGATCCTACTAACATGATCTAAAATGGATGATTTGGGGGCTACTCCCATTTATGGAAACCGCCATATGTATACGGATATTAGTCCAAACTCCCAAATTCTGGCAAACACCGAAATAGCCCAAAAACTCAATCTTTTCCTGGAGGGTTGGTCTCACAGCTTCTGACCAATCCTCATGGCAAATCTCAGATGCACTACAAAAAACTAGCTGTTTGCAGTAGTATCTATACATCATGAGCCATCAAAATGGCAAAGATATTCAACTGTATTGATAATGGTTTGTATAGCTGGTAGTGAACAGAGAATTTGGGCTCTTAAATCTGATGAACACTCCTGAGCACTGATCAGCACCTTTTCACTCAGTCAGCTCGAAGGTAGCTGAAAGCACTAAAATGGCTAAAATGGCTGCAGCACATATACAAACATATGTACTACATGTAACATGGTCTATACTGTACACATATCTGATCACGCCTCCCGAGCCTGTTTAAAAACGGAGCTCCCGTCCAATTATTTGAACTAGGCGAGTTTTGATATGTACAGCTACTCATAGCCACGCTCAAGCCATCTATGCTCTCAGTGTCAGGTGATGCTCACCTTCCAGAAAGTGAAAATTCATATTTCGCAAGGCTTTATTCATTTTCTCTTCTATGACAGGTTTCGTCAAGACGTCGACAAGCATATCGCCAGTGTCGACCTTCTTCAGCCGAAAATAGCGCTTGGCAACGCGGTCTTGTACCCAATGGTATTGAGTATCCACGTGCTTAGCCTTGCCTAGTCCTCTGCGAGAACCCATTGCTATTCCTGCACTTGCATCCATGAAAACTTCACTCTCAGGTTGCAAACCCCAGTCTTTGGCGGTTGAAACTTCTCCCAGCAAATTGCTGGCACCGCTCACAAGAGCGTAATACTCACTCTCTCCAGACGAAAGACTAACAACTCCTTGTCCTTTAGAATAAGTCTTGATACAACAACCTCCGGCCATCAGGACGCCTCCTGACACGCTCTTCCTCGTCTTCACGCAACCAGCGTGGTCAGCATCAGACCACATCACAAATGGACTGAGTTTGCTCTGATGAGGAAAGAATTGTGCCATGCGTGGTCGATACCTTAGGTATCGTGCAACTCGTTTGAGCATAAGCATGTGGCTGGTAGTTGGTCGTTGTAGCCTTGTGCTAAAGATCTTGTCGCTACTTGCAGATCTGGTCGATCTTGTGCCAAATAAGCTGCTCGCATTGCAACTGATCTGTACTGGGTTGCTTCTTCATCATTGAGAAAAACAGTGGCGTTCTTGAGGTCTTCCACTGAACCCTTGGCAAGTGGTGTCTTGACTTTGGCTCCTCGGGGACCATCTCCGAGTAAATCAATCACCAACTCTGCATGACGTGCATCTGGTTCCCACCAAATTCCATTCTCCTTCCATGTGATAATTCTGTTCAGGACTCTGATGTCCTGGATGGTGTTTGGTGTTCCTGGTGGTCCTAAAATACCACGTTCCACACATTTCCACTTCTTCGACAGCTCTTCATGAAGCCATTTGATGTTGTCAAATGTTCCGGCTGTTGTAAAATCATCTCCATGTACAACAGTTCTGAGGTCTCGGCCTGCATGGTAGTAAATGCATGGATTGCTTTTTCCTTGCTTGAAACCTAAGGCTAACATAACCTTCTGTATTTGCAACTCCCAGTTGAGAGGTGCGTCTCTGGTTCCATACAAAGACTTGAGCAATCTTCCTACCACATCTTCTCCAGGCTTCTTTGCTTCTGCAGGAAGTTCCACATAGATCTCACGCGTCGCATCTGAGTAAAAGTGGGCGCGTTTCACATCCAAAAATCCTAGAAGTCTACGCTTGCGATAGGCTTCCTTGACAGCTTTTCCAGCGTCTGGCAACTGAAACGTGACGGCTATTGTAACTAGCATCTTCAAAGCCGACAAACTGGGCATAGCTGCGAAGAACTCATCAAAACCTGAGCCCTTCTTGACTTCTTGAGCTACTAACCTACTTCTATAAAGTGGATTCTCTTCATCCTGCTTGTTGACATCTACCCATCGTGTTCCAATGGTGCGTACCCCTTTGGGCATCTTGTGTCTGGGAATCTTTTCCCAAACTGGAAAACTTTCGATGATTTCGACCTCATCTTTTCTGGCTTGTTCTACACCTTTGCTGTCTAAAATCTTTCCACTGATATCATCGTAATAATACCACGTGGCTGCTTCATCTTCCAGTTCTGGTGGAAGAGGAATTGTCTCTTCACAAACTGGCTCTTCTTCACCTTCAATGGACTGAAGGTACTTCTCCCGATCTTCCATGATCAGGTTCATAAGACATTGGTCTATGTCATCCATGTCTTCTGGTCTCTCATTCTCAGGTGGCCGTTTGGTGCCCTTAGACGCCTGAGCTGAAGCAGCTCGGCTGTCCTTGGACTTTGACGTTTCGCCTCCTGAGTCTGCAGGTCTTTTCCGACCTTTGGTTGGAGACATTTCCAACCTTTTGTGTGCTCTTTCTTCTTGCTCGCCTCCTGCCCTCTTGGCTGAGGCTGTGCTTGCGCTTGCGCTTTCTGCAGGTGGATCTGCAGCTTGTCCGGTAGCAGGACTCTGCCTCGCGATAGCAGGTCCAGCTGTTGGCAAACTTGGAGCAGATTCCCCTGTGGCTGAGCACCACAGTTCAGTGACGATATCTGCGTCATCAATCAAAGGCGCGTTGATGACTTCATCTCCTAAACTAGGATCCATTGGTTCAGACTTGATAATGTTTCCTGTTTTGAAATCTCTGGTGACTCTCCACCAGACATTATCCCAACTGGGACCTTCTGGCATAGTACCCTTGAGATACCTTGCATTCTTGTCAAGGCGCGCAAACACCTTAAAACCGTGAGGAACTTCTTGTGGTTTCTCACTTGAATACCCATAAAGAATCTTTGTGCCTTCTTCGGACACTTCTTGTTTCTGACCAGTGATTTCAGAATCAACCTTGGCCGTATGTTGGGCTACTCTCAGGTTGCCCTCTTCTGCTTGAAGCAGACGTTCCATCCTTTCTCTGCAGGCTGGAGTGTGATGAACTCCAGTGCCTCTTTTGACAATTCTAGTGGCATCACAGGCGACACAACCAGCGGTGTAGCCATACTTGTCCAAATCACGTTTGGTGATGTAAAGTCGTCTTGTCGACTTCTTTGGTGGCTCAACTGGCACTGATGGTGCCAGTGGCTGCTGATCTCCCCCAACAATCTGAGGAAGCAAAACATCATCTCTTTTTGATGCTTGAGGATCCCAGGGAACCCCAGTGACTGACATCAAAGTTTCGGCATCATATCTGTCGTCAGCACTCTTGCGTCGAATGCTTTGCACAGTGAAAACACCTGATGCATTTCCCACTATCTTCTCAGTGGTATTGTCTTTGACTCCCAAGAAAACTCCTTGGTGCCATCTTTGTTCAAACTTGTGACCTCTTTTGAGGAATTCAATTGTTTCCCCAAATGGTGGTAATGACACTCTCCACTCACGACCACGGTGTCTAGAGTACGGTGTCTTCCCATCTTTGACTTCCAATGATCTGTGAAACAAATTGTAAGTGGTGCTAGCATGTTCAACCAACCATGTCAAAACTGGGTGGTCGTCTGGCACCTTTCTTCCATAGCTTGTCTCCAAGGCACTTCTGAGTGTCCTGGATTGAGATTCAATAGCTTGAACTGCTCTTTCAATTTCCCCTTTGGATTCTGAGACTCCTTTGGGAACTTTTTCCAAAACCAACTGTTTGTCAAAACCATTCTTGGCTGCCTCAACTACGGAGTTGAGTGCAGGCTCTGGGTCATACCTCATGACCATCTTGGGGTACCCAAACTTCTTAAGGTCATTCAAAAGACACTTAGATCCAATAGGACCTTGGGTAACTCCCTTGTATGGCAAAACGTGTGCGTAGGTCAACTTGGACCATCGATCATGTACTATCAAAACTGGTGCATGCTTTTTCTGCACTTCTTCTGTGATGACAGTGTCATCCACTGAATTCATGAAACAATAGTCAGCTGAGATCACAGGAACTGTTTCATCTGAATGATCTACTTTGACATGTCTCATTGCCTTTGCTTTACCTCGAATGCAATGTTCACACCAACTCCTAAAAGGATAATGGCTGACAAAATGCTCTTCTTTTTCTCTCTGCGTCGGCGCTGCTGCAGTTGGTAGCGCTTGAGAACCTAGCTTACTACTGCCCGGTTCATCATCTCCACTACCTGCGCTCTCTGTGGTCTCCACAGGACTTACGCCTTCAACCCTTCTGTGGGCTGCCCATGAAAATCCATGGCTATCTTGAAAACACCTCCAGTCATGGTGACTGGAACCTTCTTGGCTCCCCTTTGCAGAAACGATCCATTGGGGCCGAAGGTTACTGTCCAGCCTTTCTCAACCAGCTTGGACACAAACAACAATGGCTTTGCAACATCCATTGCCCGGAACTGTCCCACACCTTTAACTTGTGGGCCTCCTTTCTCACCCATTGTCACCATGGGGTTGCATACGCCGTGCACCTGGACTGGCTGTCCTGATGCATTGGTAAACGGCTTCTCATCCACAGGCGTCATAGCCAACTCCAATGACTGTGCCAATTCCTTGGGTAGGCAACTGGTTGCTGCCCCTGAGTCAACGGTGGCCCAAACAATGGTATCCACCTGAGATGCCAAACTTCCCAGGAAGTCGAGGTTGGAGTCTGATCGAACTCCTCCTCCTGGTGAATGCTCCCTGGGCTTGGGAGATGGCGTCTTCTCCCTCTTCTTCCTGGCTTTTCTTTCCATGTAGTTAGCTGCATCACGCACCGTCTTCTCCAGGAATCTCTTGGTGCCCATGCTGAACTTTCCCCTGCCCTTGGACGCCTGGGCTGAATCAGCCCGGCTGTCCTCAGGCGCTCTCGATGGGGATTTGGACTTCAGCTTGATGGGTGCTCTGGGTGCCTCTTCTTCCTCTTTCTCTTCTTCTTTCTCTTTCTCCTCGACCTTCTCTTTCTCCCCTGGCCTCTTGGGGATCTTCTTCACCTCGGGCTTCACTTCATCTTTGCCCTTGTGCCTGAAGCGCTCGTAGTGCTCCTCAAAGCTTTGCTTGCGCTTCTTCCTTTCTTCATCCTTGGCAATCTCTTGGCGCCTCTTCTCATCTTTGGCTTCTGCATCATCCATGGGGCGCTTCTGGGATGATTCTCCTTCTTCTCGTGCCTCTCTCTCTGCCTTTACCTGACGATGTTCTTTCTTCCAAAACTCCAGGGCATACTGAGGATAGCATTGCTTGTTCTCCACATGTTGCCAAAAGCTTGCAAGACTCATGGAGTTCAGTGCCTTTCCACATGCCTGGCACTTCACATAGGGATGTCCTTTGTTGGACACAGTTTTGGACTTCTCGTGCAACTCCTTGAATGGAATGGGTCTTCGAAAGGAATTCTGCCAATGCTCGACCACATCCTCCATGCCTGGTGCTGGCTCCTGGTTGTAGGGCAAATCGTCTGGATCTGTCTCATCAGAAGATCCTAGGTCAAGGACTTCACCATAGGCTTTCTCGTAGGCTTCCTTCAAGACGTTGTCCAACTTGCTGAGGACTTCAGGATCGGTTTTCAGCTTTTCAAGTCTGCTGACAAACTCATATCCTTCAGAGGAAATGCTCTCCTCAGAGGAAATCTCACACTTGTCATGGATCCATTGTGGGATCTCATCCTTACTCATCTCTTTCATCTTCTCCTTATTGGCCTTCTTCCTTGCTTCATCTGCTCTTCGTCTTTCAGACCTGTGATGTCCTCCTCTATGGCGCTTGGGTTCCAGCTTTCTTGCTTTGGGAGGTTCAGGAAGATCTCCCATGTCATCCTTGTCCCACTTGTCAGGGTTGGCCTGTCCAAAGGTGGCCAACTCATAGCGCTTGAAGCTGGATGTTCTCTCTTGTGCAGTGGCTGCTCGATGACTAGCAGCTCTCTTCCTACTCTTTTCTGCTTTCTTGGCAGCTCTTGGATGTACTCCAGCATCAAAGTCGGCTTGCATCCGACGAGAGGGTGCAGCCGGTGCTGAAGCAGCACGGCCTTCTGCCCTCACTTTGGCCATTGCCTCTTTGGCCTCTTTGTGATGCTGGGCTGCTTCTTTCTTCAACTTGTCCAGGGCTTCTTGGCGTTCCTTAAGAGCTTGATTTGCTTCACGCCCTTTGTCCTGAGCTTCTTTGACAGCGCTCTCAGCCTGAGCAATCATCTTGCCAAACAGCTCCTTGTTAGACCCAGAAGCTGATGCCAAAGCGCTCTGAGCCATGACGATAGCGCTCCTGGTCACAGTGCTCCTTGAAGGTGCTTGAAGGTTTGCTCGTCTTGGGCCACGACGAGAAGATTCATCTCGAGCTTCAGACTTGGGTGGCATAGTGTCTTCCAAGGCAAACAGCGCAGTGATCTCTGGTTCAGGTTGATCACCAGATGAGGCTGCAGGTTGTTGCTCTTGAGCCCAAGTGTCAGACTCAACATTAGCAACTTTACGACCTTTGCCTTGATCCCCTTTTCCTTTACCTTTGTCTTGACCTTTCTTACCTTTGCCTTTGCTCTTGGAGTCATTGGTATTCTGTTTAGACCAAGACTGCTGATTCCAAGATTGATTGTTCCAAGACTGATTGTTCCAAGACTTGTTGTATGAATTGTTTGACCAAGACGAAGACTGACTCTTTCCTTTGTCTTTACCTTTGGACTTACCTTTGCCTTTCCCTTTATCATGTTTTCCTTTTCCCTTACCCTTAGCAAGGGAATCCACATCCATGGGAACGGCTCCTGACTTTGCTTCTTTCCTGGTCTCGACGTTCTCAAGGTAGGCCAAAACTTCAGCTTTCACCTGGTCATACGTGGTCAATCTCGAAGCCTGCAAGTCCAAATGATCTTGCAACTTGTTGGGACACATCTGCTGCAAGCAACTCCTGCAGATGTCATCTTCAAGTGGTTTCTTTCTCCTGTCTTCGTACTTTCTTTTCAAGTTCTCCCAACTCTCAAGCCCTTCTCGAAGCTTATCAAGACTGCATTGACTTGGATGCAGAACCTTTTTCAACAAGGCTGAATTGGCTTGAGGATTTTGAGGATCATATTTGCACAACAGTCGTCTCATGGCTTCTAGGCCAAAGTGGCTACCACGAGATGTGTTCTTGACAATTTCCAACGCTTCTCCCTCAGTCAATGATATGAGGGCTTGTCTAGCCTGAGCTGAAACTAGCTCGGCGCCTTCATCAAAGTCTACTTCTAGACTTGACCCAGTGATCTCTTTGTCACACTGAGATTCAACTTGTGCCACAATCTTCACAGCATTCTTGTGGCAACTTTCAACCCATGTCTTAAACTTGTACCACCAACTATCCCAAGTGCCTGATGCTCCAGTGAACTTATCAGGTTTGGGTATGCCTTTCAACTCTGATCTGTCTTTGTACTCAACAGACCTCTCAACATTTCTGTTGATCTGTAGCTGCTGGTTCATAGCCTCGGTCATTGCCTGATTCAACTGCGCCTGACCCTGAGTCAATTGGGCCATCATCTGCATAACCATCTGGGACATGTTGGGACCGTTGGTCTGTCCTTGTGCTGGTGCTGGTGGAGTGCCTGGTTGCTGAGGTGGCTGCTGTTGCTGAGCCATCCTTAGTCGTTCTTCAGGTGCTTAGAGACCTGGTTCAAGAGAACCCTTGGATACTGTTGGAGATGCACTCCCAGGTTATGGAAGTACCTTTGGAGTTTCCTGATTTTCAGGAGCTTGAGTGTCAACCTTTTCCAGTTGGCACTGGGTAGGCGCGCCAGAGCTGATGCAGCTCGGCGTTGACACCTACACATTCACAGCTGGGTATCAGAACCTCAGCTCCGCTACCATGAACAGAGAATTTGGGCTCTTAAATCTGATGAACACTCCTGAGCACTGATCAGCACCTTTTCACTCAGTCAGCTCGAAGGTAGCTGAAAGCACTAAAATGGCTAAAATGGCTGCAGCACATATACAAACATATGTACTACATGTAACATGGTCTATACTGTACACATATCTGATCAGGTAGTACTATTATGTAATATATATATAAACAATGATAATAATTGATCATGATAACAATGATCATGACAATAATGACATTAATAATGATAATAGTAATAATAAAACACTATCTGGTATACCAACTGGATCAAGTAGTTCTCATATATTTGATAGTATATGATAGTCACTCTTAATTGAATGGTATAGTTATCGTGATATATCATGATACCAGCTCGTATACTACCACCTGCTTATCACACATCTTTAGCTGGTATCATATGGAGATTTCCGAAGTCATACCCCAGTTATCATCCAGTTGTCATCTTTAGCCATGACTTACCCTCTGGTAAACATACAAAAAACTATGGAAAATCACCATTTTTTATGGGAAAATCCACTATAAATGGTCATTGTCAATAGCTATGTTAGTCATTACCAGAGGGTAACCTTGAAACAACCTGCAGGTGACCACTGAGGATTCCCCCGGAGCGGTATTTTTTTTGAGCCAAGGTGCATTGGAACCTCAGGCCTCACCTGATTTTCAGGCAGCTCATCTGGGCGCACCTGATTTTCGACAGCAGCTGGTAACGAAAAATGCGGTTGTGCCTGTTTTTTTCAAGGAAATAGAGGAACAACCAACACATTTTACTTAGTCTTGTTGTTGTTTTTTTGGGAGCTTCAGCAAAAACAATTAGATTTGATGCTTTAAACCATATGTCCAGGATATGCGCACATGATACTTAGATCGATTTGTTTAACCAATTCACGTTCACCATGTTTCACAATGCTTCACCATGATTCACCAGTCTTGGATCCAGGTTTTGTCTGCCTGTCGTTGGTGCACTTTGTTTTCTTGATAGTGCAGCAAACAAAAAAAAGTATGTAGAATCTATGAATCTCATCCACTGGTTTCATCAGAATCTAACTTTTTTCTTTGGGGTGCTACAATACTTCATAGACTTCAAGGTTTGTTGATTCTTGGTCTTGCCTGTGCAAATGGATGAAATTCTGAAAATTGGCTTGGCACTCGATCTCGGATTTATACCTACGAACCATCCTCAAAATTCATGACCTACCGGATACTTTAAATGCTCATCTTTATTGACCTTTGTTGCCAGTGGAAGTAATCTATCACAACATCAACTTCGGGAGATCTTCTTTATTCATCTTCATTCTTTATTGTGAGTGGAAGTCATATAACAATATCATACAATTGATTATATATATATATATATATTATAATATAAAATATACACATATGTATACTTGAATTAGCCCCCCTGGTGAGTGCTTGACATCTTCGCTGCGTGGGTCACCATCTTTGGTCCACCCCAGGTCCACATCGGATGCCGAGCGGCGCGGACGAGAACTGTTCTCTGGGCCCATTTCCACGTGGAGCGTACCTCGCCGGGATCGGCAAAGTGGGCACCGGGTTGGGGCGCAAGTCGTTCCGTGTTGCAGGGCTGATCAAAACCAAACCTCATCACCTTTTTTCATGATCAGATTTTTTTTGTACACAAAAACCAAAGTATCATGAACTATCTCATCAGCCAGATGAGGAAAATGTGGAGGTTTCCTGCCCTCGGGGGTACCCCCCAGTCATCGTTACGAACCGATCCAGCGGGGGTCACCGTGATCACCAGCAACAGCAAGCCCAGGGCAAAGCATACCACGGCTGCCGCGCGGGGTAAGAACCTGGGAAGGGAAAACCAAAAGGGGAGGACTTTCGAACCGTTCGACCTCTCGGGAAACATCAGGGAACACACCTGTAATCATGTAAATGATAAGAATATGTCTATCTATTTGTAATTGTTCCTTTAAACAAATCTACATTGATTGATTCATGGTCATGGTGGTAGGAACGTAGCTGTATGTCCAATCTGGTACTTTCAGCGCGGCTGGAACACTGTCATTTGTTTGGTGGAGGGTAGCTATTTCTTGTGTGTAGTAGAAGTGAGTGGCAATTCAAACAACATCAGGTAAATAAATGTTCCTCCCACAAGTGGTCCGCAGTTCGGCTTTTGCGGTATTACTCAACCAAAAAAACGGGCAATTCTTCAGTTCATTCACAACCAATCCGAGCCAAAAGACTTCCGACCCAACACGCGCCCACAATAATGTTCGCAAGATATCACAAGAATCAACTTATAACCCATAGGATCCATGGTGCTGGTATATATGCGAACATGACTGGGGTATATTGATGGGATCCATGTTACCATATATACCATACATGGATCCTATGGGTAATATCTTATAATAACCGTTCCATCCCACGACATTGATTTTTATGGATCATTCACATCTCACAGAAAGAAAACTCGGCTGAGTAGAACTCCGTCACCAGATTTCTGGTCGTTGAAGTACAATCATTGCGGCTAGTGAATCACCATTCCACTGTAGCCTTTTAATCTTATGCCCACAAAATAGAATCCATCCAAAAATCAGTTTCTACTATAATTAATATGTTTTTTTGAGAATTCTTGAATTCTAGTCTTGTACTTTTCCATGCATAGCTAAAATGTTGCATGAAACTCATCGCCATTTAACGACGGTACCCAGGTCTCAGGGTCCCAGGCGATTCGCAGGTACCGCTGGTTTGGCACCTGGGGCATTTGCGCATCGTCAAAAACCTGGTTGCAAATTGCTTCCTACGTTGGTTCAATGTAATACCCTCTGGTAAACATACAAAAAACTATGGAAAATCACCATGTTTAATTGGTAAATCCACTATAAATGGTCATTGTCAATAGCTATGTTAAATTACCAGAGGGTAATAGTCTCCGTTAAACTACCCAGTAGAAGTCCCTTTTAAATAATCATGTACAATCAACAAGAGTTTGGTCACTGCTCTTGAACAACTTATCGGTTAATGATGTTATTCCCTATGGTTCCCAGTAAGAGTTTCAATTATTCTACCCTCTGGTAATTTAACATAGCTAATTCTGAAATATGTATGAACATGGACGAACATGGCATCTTTAGTTGAATTATCTACCTATTGAACATGGTCATGTTCCATAGCTATGTTGAATCTATAGGTATGCACCCAACCGTAATGGTAACGATGATAAACTGGTAGTATATGTGGATATAACCGTTTACCCTCTGGTTATTTAACATAGCCGTGGAAAATCACCATTTTTAATAGGTAAACTATAAATGGGTCATTTTCCATGGCTATGTTAAATAGCCAGAGGGTAATCCCCAAAGTTATTGGACAATTACACTATAACTAGAGGGTGTGTTGATATCATGGGGATAGAACGGTCCACAAGTGGTAATAGTTGTGATAGTTGGAAATCAGGGAGACTACCCAATAGATCCCAATTTAGTAGTTTGGGATACTATATCTATATTGGTTTACTATGATGAGATATTCTGTAAGTTCATGTAACTTCTATATCTATATCCAAATTGTAGGGTAAACCAACCACAATGGATCATAAAGAGATAGATGTAGAACTTATATGGCCAACAATATGATTAACATTCTGATGATCATGATGGGACATGGTCAGAAGCTATCACGGGAATATTTCTTTGGAGTAACCTGCCATTGGAAATATCATGGGGATATGGATGTGGTGATAACCATTTCAATAGGCCATCTGAAACTGGCCTATGTTAAATTAAATATCATAGAGTATCCTATGTTTACAGATTCAACGGCTTTCAAAACATGTTCAAAAAATCCGTTCAGCCCTTATGGCCACCCCCAGTCAGCATACCAACTGAATATGTAAGGTTTAAAAAAGTGTGGTTGTGATTCATTCTGGCCAATGCGGGCACATGATTCACAAACATGAACATGTTGTTTCAATTAGGAAAAAACATGAACAAAGGGAGAGAAAACACCAAAACAACCCAGAAAGCTTCGGAAAAAAAAAACTTGAATAATCTCAATCAGGGTTCTCAACATGTACTCAGAAAACCCGGTACCTGTTCACAGAGTACCAACTTGTTTTTGTTCCACTCACCGAGACAAGCTGATTTCAGGGACCCCCTGGTGCTACATTTTTTGTCCCCAGACAACTGAGAACTGGGTGTGCAAAAATGAGAGTTGGGCCCCCAATTTTATGGCACTTCTCAATGGGAAAATCCATGAAAAGTATGACAAATCATGGTGGAAGTATGTGGAATTGATCAAATTGCTAGAGTTTGCCCAACATTTTAAAGGTACCAACCCAACTGATCACCTCCTTGGCAACCTGCAACCAGCTTTTTTTGGGGGGAAGTAGATGTAAGTAGCAGGATCCCATCAATATGCTGAAACTCTTTCCAGTTGGAAGTCTCATAGCCTTCAGCTTCCCATTCCAGACCATTAAAACCACGAACTCCACGAAAAAAGGCAATGCCGCCGTGGAACGTACAAAGACTGCCATCGCAGGAAGAGCAATATCTGCAATCACCGCGAGGATTGTAGGCTTTGTTGCTCAAAATACACCTGAGGCATCTGGGCTCACGATTTGATGGTGACCATATATCTACAATTGGATGATGTTGGATATTGTTGGATTATATTTCAATATTTCAATGAAATAACCGCAGGGCTACATTGAGGATGCTTCTATGTCATGTACCTTAAATTTCATCTATCCAAGATGTTTTTTTAGACATACATTCAGTACATTCAGTATTCATGTGTTCATTTCCTATTCTTGATGGTAACATCCCATGATATCTGAGTGTTCAAAAATGTTGAAAACCGTCATTCCAGTGTACTGCTTGGCCATCATCCATTAAAGATGCAGCAAATATTCATGCTTAAATCATCGTAAAAATCTCATGAGATCTGGCACATGTTGAATAAACAATCGCATAAACAAAAAAAACATGATAATCATCCATTCCCATCAAAAAACATAAACAAAGCTACACTATGATGATATATCCAGACATAATCATTAGTGCAGTTAAGCTGATGGATATTTTTTCTAAAACAAATTGCTACGTACATAAACCCATTAAACAAATCTTTTCATGGCAAGGTGCTGAATGATTTCTTGCGATGGCATCTCCTCAATGGTGTAGCTGTACTCATTCTCGCCGCTCCTTGCGAACACGCAGCCAGGTGTGACTGAACATGGCAAAGATTGAGGGAATGATGACATGGAATAACACGATTTTCTACGGAAATATATGGATATGATACGGACATATGATGATTAACGATCGAATTTGGGGGTTGTTTTTGTTCAATTCAACCAAACCATGACATGGCCTTTCCATGGCATTTCCTCATCCTGCAAAGAAGTCAAGGGTTATTGGGAGATGAAGCAATCCTGCATTTGTACAGCCAAAAAAAACATGAACTTGTGCCAACCATCAGCATTTAGCCAAATCATGGTGGGTCTGCAGGTCTCACCTATGTTTTCGCAGGCCCAACATGTCCGGGTATGTCATCAAATCTTTGCATCATATGCCCAGCAGTGCTTGAACAAACCCTGTTAGAATCTAGAAATCACAACATGATTCTTTTTGAGTAATTAATACACCATTTCATTGTTAAAAAACTTACAATCATTACATCGATCACACCACAGTCCTGCACAGATATCGCGAACAACGACACTGCGCAGCTGCTCTCGAGAGGATCTCGGTCAGAGTTATGGCCGTCCAAAGGAATGTCTTCATGGCGTCACAGTGGTGAACTCAGCGGCATGAGGCTTGGAAGTTGAAGTCCAAAAGTCCAACACGTTGTTGTTATACAAAATGTGTGTTGTATGATGAAGATGTATCACAACATCTATGTTGTGTTTTTTCAAATGTATATAAGATATTTATATGATGTTATATTTATATGTATTTCATTATATGTATTGAAACATATATATATATATATTCATACAATCGCTGGTGGATCAGAATCATTGTTTTCTTCCATGCACCCAGCTGCTTCATCCTCATCAGTCTTGTCCAATGTTGTGCATCTGGCAGCTTTTAGCCAACGCTGAGCCAGTGCCAAGTCCATGGATGCTTGAAACCACCAACTGCTGTTCCTTGAAAGTCTTCCGACATCTAACAAACATCGTGGATACATACTACAGTTTGACAAGGCTTTCATAAATCATATATATGGGTGTGTCTGAAAATAGGGTATATTCCCAAACAAATAGCCATTTAAAAACGGGATAATGATCAGCAAAACCATTGGGTAAAAAGGGGTTTAGCCTATTTTCAGCCACACCCATATATATATATGATTATGAAGTTAAGTTGGTTTATAATCCCATTAACTATAGATATATCTACCATAAGTCCTAGTTATTAGACTTATAAACCAACTTAGCTATCTTGGGGGCACCACATTGTATATATATATATATATGTATATACTATATTGGATGGCCAAACCCTCCAGGTGTCTTTGAATTTGTTAACGCCTGGTTGTTCCGAACGGCCACCATCTTTGAGCAGTGCCCGCCGAGACCCTCAGAGAAACTGCATCCTCGGACAAGAAAAAAGGTCCACAAGTGCTGACAAATGACCATTGGTCATAATGGAGATATATCATACCGGTATTGATGGTATGCAAAAAAACAAATATATAAATATGTGGAGATATAAAAATTTGTATATATATAATGCATATCATATAACCATTGATATATTGACAATTGATGGTATATGATAAAGGAGATATCAACCATTAAATAATTACCATCAATACCGGTGGTGTCCTGTTGGACGGTACCAGTATGGTTCCCTATGATCAATCTGCTTCATGAATCGTTCCAATCTGATTCATAACTCATCACCTATTCACCCACAGTGCATCGCAAGGTCTCATGGTCCGCATCATCACCTATCATCACCTATCATCACCTATCATCACCTATCATCACCTATCATCACCTATCATCACCTATCATCACCTATCATCACCTATCATCACCTATCATCACCTATCATCATAACGCATTAACCCTCATTAAGCTGCCTTTTGTCAATCTTTTGTCTGCTCGCCATGAACCTATCATCGTCCGGTCTCAGAACTCATGGCTGATCTTGGAAAATGCAAACGCCGCGCCCGCCTCGGAGCTAGATCCGGTGTGCTTCTGAGGAAGTGAAAGATCACTGGCTGAGACATATTGATATGAAAACACCATGATGATGATGATGATGATGATGATGATGATGATGATATGAGGAGGAGGAGGAGGAGGAGGAAGAGGATGATAATCATGATCACCATCATTTGATTGGTAATCCCCATTCTGATAGCTATACACATTATTATTGATTGTCAGAAGCTGAATCAGACTAGTTATCATTGATTCTTCATTGTTATAATCATTGTTTTATCATTCCATTGTCAATCATCATCATTTTCTTTAATCTGTAGCTGATATCTCTAGGCTCCCCATTCTCAGGCCCCGACCACGCAGAGCAAATTGAAGGCGAAGTGCGTGGCGATTGCAATGAAGGCGTACCTGCTGGAGAACCCGTGATGTGGCTATGGATCAATACCTTGTTTTAATAGCATTAAATAGGGGGATAAAATGGGATTTGATACCATTAAAAAGACTAAATAGGGGGCTTAATACACCTTTATACCATTGAATAGGAGGGAAATGATCAATCAATGCCTGTTTTATACCATTAACTAGGAAACATATGGAGATAAACATCTGTTTGCCAACTATTTTGATGTGAACTGCAGAATTACATATTCTTGATCCATGCCCATATGTTTATTGATTGCTTAAGCTAAACATCAGAAAAGGGAAGCCTGGACATTCTGGACATGAATGATAGTACGTGGTATCTACATATTGCACAGATTCACACAGATTCTGTTGAATTAGTATGAACAAGTCGGAACCTGGTGTAGTTAATCAGTTGGAAGACAATTGGGAGAGAGTTGCAAACCTGCAACACACCACGCGTCGGGTCTACGGGTCACTTGAATCCGTCACTGCGGTATTTCATGACCTCTGCCACAGGGTCCTGAAAACACAAATGGCTCTGACAAAGGACGGCAGCTGCTACAATAGTTCACAACCATAGTTAAATTATAAGGCAAACACATCTACAGGTATATGGTAATTCAACTATGATTTCCAGTTAATTAAGAATTCTGATTCTTGGTGTCATTCAGTTTCAATATCACCATTGCTGTTGCAGTTGAAACGACCGACGGGGCCAGTTGACCACCGGGCCAGTCCTGCATCCAGTAGAAGAAGAGCGGGTGATTTGCTTTGATGTTGTACGCAGCCTCACAGCTGATCGCTGTGAAATGTCACAGCTATATTCACAGCAACATACAGCAGCCATCTGGGCATATCTGGGCACATCAGATATGTTGTCTCATTTTAGACTTCGTTATCATTGACTTGGTTGCTAAGATTTATATATGTTTCATGTGTTTGATGCAAACAATTGCTTAAATCCATATAAATTGATTGGTTGTTACCGTTTCACAACCGATATATATATATAATATATATATATATTATATATATATACGTTTTCCTTTCATGTGTTCATCCAAAAAGTTACCTTCACCCAATTTGTCACCGTTTTGAAAAACTGACCAACAAAAATCCGCAGTGGCGCCGTGGCGCCGTGGCACCTCTGCCTGCTGGACGGCCAAACGAAAGAAAGGGCGCTGGTCTTCGCCTGTTTGAGGCGGTTTTTTAGTGTGCGGAGTTGATGGAACTTTGGAAGCAAACATGTTACATGACCCTATATATATGTTATCCATGTAGAGTTGTTAAATGTGTGCTTGTTCTTAAAAATCTTTAACAGCTCTTGCCATCAAATTTGGAGATTTGAATGGACGTGTTCAATGATTTGTTTAAAGGTTTTTCACCAGAACATTTGAGGCGCTCCTGTAAATGTTGCCACCAGCTGAGAAAAAGTTACCAGGTGGGAACGCATTCGGATGATGCTGTGAAAGTGGTTGATTAAATCAAATGGCGGTTTTCCGTGGTTATCCGGGTTTGACTCCATATATCCATAATATATCCATATATACATATATACATTATCCATATATATATATATATGTGAAGAGTTTCATCCATATGATCCGCTTAAAACGTATATTCATCTCCACTCAACAAGCAAGACATGTGGTGATGATGATGATGATGATGATGATGAGGATGAGGATGATGAGGATGAGGATGGAATGATGAGGAGGATGATGATGATGATGATGAGGATGATGAGGATGATGAGGATGATGACAATGAGGATACAATATGATACAATGAGGATGCATCTGCTTACCAATGCGGAATCAAGCTTGTGTTTTGACTGCAGATGCCTTATGCACCATGTCCGATACGCTCACCCTATCAGAAGCCCTGAGCACTCCCACGCATCAAGCGCAGCCCGGAACGAGCTTTTGGATTGTCATACCTGGGTTCACAGTTCACCTTGATCGTCCCCAGGGAAATTGGCGCAGAATATCTCTGCGGGTGATATTCCTAGGAGCCAACATGAGCCACAAATGCTGTCGATGAGATCATCACTTGCACAAATTTTCTCATTGTAGATGGGAATAGTGATTTCACTACCTCGTCTATGGCTTCTATCCCCATTTCAACTAGTTGTTTTTAGGAGCTGCCTCTGAAATTTGTTCATAAAGGCATACATAAAGGTTGCAAAATCTGGGTAATTCGGAACATGCCTTGTTGAGAACGGCCATGTTCAGAGTCTTCGAGTAAAATTCTGCGGTGTGGCTCCACTTTATTGCTGGGTTTGTTTCCAGTGTCCAGTTACCCATTTCTGTTGGTCAAATCCTCTTTTGAACATGTCTCGAAGTTGAGACGACTTCGGCGCTGCCCCACAGGAAATGAGGCACTCTCCACAGCGGAAATCTGCGGTGGTACCGCTGCAGCAGTTTACTCCAACCTCAGGGACTCGAGGTTCAATGCCGTTCTCCCCTGAAAAAATAGATAAGTTCGTTTATAACTGGGCTAATATGCTAAGTAAGATTATGGTGGATATAGTTTAATATAATGCTGGATATATGATATATCTACAGTTGGATGGATTCATAAAGCAACTCATAACTTGGGGGCTCGCATTGTATGATATAATGATATGCCTATGCTGGCTGGTAAAGATATCGTGCGCGTCAAAAAATGTCTGGTGGGGGCCCGCCCGGTGATATACCGTACCTGGATGGTACAAATGCATAGCTCCGGTAAGCAAACATGGGAATGGAACATGCTCCAGATGATTTTCCCATTCCTCCCTTTACAGGGCCCAGGGGATTCCCCAGCTAGCTATATGTTTGATTACCGGAGGGTATGTACAGAAATAGGGCTGGAATATGATATACATGCCGCATGTTGTTGCATGCCATCTCACATTCATGCCACACTAAATATATAAGCCGACCACCGAACATTTATGAAAACATGTAATTAATGTTTTGCCCAAAATAATGAAAAATAGCGCTTTAACTAGAGATGTAGCTGCGCCAGGAACACGTATGGCTCAAAAAACAATTACCCGCAGAATTGGTTGATACAGAGGCCTCATAATTACCCCCTTTTGATTGGCGAAATTGTCCAATCATTGTTTTCCAATCTTCAGTGACTAAACAACTGATTTTTTGGTTGACCTCCTATTCTACCGCGGCCAATCTTAAGAATCCTGGAAACACATAGATTTTTCTCTGGTTAGGTTAGCATCAACCCATTTATAGCAAAATATCGCATCAAAATACGAGACGCCCGGGAACCGACGACTAGTCGTGCGATGCAGTCTCGGACACTATACCAACCAGTTCAACAACAAATATAGTAAGGTGCATTCCAAAAATGTTGGGGGTTGGACCTTACTATATGTTGGACCTTACGTTTTTGTTATGGGTCATTTTCCAGTGGGGTCTCCTGGCCAAAAGTGATGCAGATCAAGCCGCTGCCCAAAAGTCATAGGATGCCAAAGGCTCCTGGCAATCCCATGGAGATATTGGGACATCGAAACACTTTGCATGGTTGAACTTGAGAATATTGTACATGTACGTACATATGTTGGATGAATGTTAAGGATATGTATAAATATAATGATATTAGAACATGTCTTAACATCAATCATACATTTTGCCTCTGCGAGCATGATCCAATGTTGATATTTGCGTACGGCCGGTTCCAGTTTTGGGGCATAACGAATACTACCAAATTGGATTCTACTGAAACCAGGTCCACTAAATGATATGTAATGCACCTGCGATAAGAGTTGTTGTTTTCAGAATGTTTTCCCATATCTTGATGATGCTCCACTGCCGTGTTAGTCCTATGCGTGCTCATGGACATATTGGCGATTTTCTTAAGACCCCTTGGCGATCCTCCCGATGCCAGAAATGGGGTAAAAAGTCAGATTACGAGAAAACCGGACAGAGTTGGCGGTAAAACCACTGCTTTCCTGTAGATGTTCCCTTAAACCAAATGAAACCAATTCGTGTTGGTTGGTTATATCCCTATTATGCTTGGTGAAATCCTATATTGTTGTTGTTTAAAACACATGTGGCACTGGTACCCTGTGGCATTCTTTTGCCTGACCGAAGACAATAGGTGCCACACAATACCTGGCGGAAGAAAGTGTGGTGATTTCATGGAGGTTTTTATGGGACAATCCTCTAAAATAAGGGTTTCAATGAGGTTCAATGAGATTTAATGGGATTTAATGGCATGTACCATCTCTATTTAGTTCTTACATTTGGTATAGATGGCCCAAAGAAATACAAGATAAGAATAATGATTTACGTATCTAAAATGTCTTTTGTTCCCCGCCTGCCAGGTGAGGGTTGTTAGATTTTATCAGAGCTGTTCTCCTCCTCCTCCTCCGCCTCTCCCGCCTCCACCTCCGCCTCCTCCGCCTCCTCACCCGCCGCCTCCTCCTCGCAGTCCAGATCCCAGTGGGCGCAGCCGGACCTCCACCGCGAGCTCCAGATCCCAGTGGGCACTGCCGGACCTCCACCGCGAGCTCCAGATCCCAGTGGGCACTGCCGGACCTCAACCGCGACTTCCAGATCGCAGTGGGCACTGCCGGACCTCAACCGCGACTTCCAGATCGCAGTGGGCACTGCCGGACCTCAACCGCGACTTCCAGATCGCAGTGGGCACTGCCGGACCTCAACCGCGACTTCCAGATCGCAGTGGGCACTGCCGGACCTCAACCGCGACTTCCAGATCGCAGTGGGCACTGCCGGACCTCAACGGGAAGAATGTCAGAAAAGATGTCAGATAGAATGTCAGAAGATATGCCAGATAGAATGCCAGAAAGAATGTCAGAAAGAATGTCAGAAGATATGCCAGACAGAATGTCAGAAAGAATGTCAGAAAGAATGTCAGAAGATATGCCAGACAGAATGTCAGAAGATATGCCAGAAAGAATGTCAGAAGATATGCCAGATAGAATGTCAGAAGATATGCCAGATAGAATGCCATGAGATATGCCAGATAGAATGCCAGAAGATATGCCAGATAGAATGCCAGAAGATATACCAGATAGAATGCCAGATAAAATGTCAGATAAAATGCCACAAGGTATGCCAGATAGAATGCCAGATAAAATGTCAGATAAAATGCCACAAAATATGCCAGATAGAATCCTAGAGGATTTGCCAGACAATATGCCAGATAGAATGCCAGAAGATATGCCAGATAGAATGCCAGAAGATTTGCCAGTAAGAAAATGTATAAATGTCATGGTGGGGATCACACGAAGTAAAGTAAGTTGTTTTTCCGGTTTGCTATGATAGATAGCCACAGGGTAATTTGAACTGTATTGAATAATCTAATAGAAAATAAAAAAACTATATTGAATAGTTAACAAACTTATTGAGAAGCATTTCCTTATCTACATTCACTAAAATGGTATGGTATATAATATTTCACATTGAAACTGATGTGATTTTATATGTGTTGTTGATTCTATTTGTTTGGCTATGTATATACAACCCATTATGGGTAATTATAGGGGATATAATGGAGTGTTTTTTGATAGGCCCAAATTATCGATAAAATAGCAAGGCCACTTCTAGATAGTATTAATAGATATCATCACACATAGATTATCATGTTTACTGACCGTTGAATGATATATACTTGTTCTTAATTCAATCATTATATATATATTGATATATTATTACATATCGCATTATATATATATAGAGAGAATCATTTTCATAGTAATTCATGGACAAATCAATGTTAGAGGAAACAATAAGACATGTTTATTAATGATGACTGGATATTAATCAGAACTAGATAATTATTAAAAAATATGACTATTTACTTTGTGGGTATGTGAATATGTGATGTTATCTGTGCATCAACCTTGCGTGTTGGCTCTCCCCACTTCCCAACCTTTGATCATCTAACGGCCAGAGAACCCTTCAATGACCGGCAATGTCTGTGTCACGGGAAGATACGGGAAGAGACGGTACTTAGGGTGAAGTGATCTATACATTCCGAGATTCCAATCTTCAAGTATGGCAATGCATGATCTAAATTCTAAATGCTGTCAGGTAACCTTAGTCCCCGAAAAAAAAAAAATCTTGTGGCCAACAGGAAGGAACATTAACCTCGGTAGATCTAGGTAGGTGAATTGGATATTTCTTGGCCACAGAGGTAGCCTATGGCAAAATTCACCTACCCCAAAGGTTGATGGACCTGTCGAGGTTCCGGAACGCCATCGATTTAGAGGTGTTCAGCCTCAGCAGCTGAGCCATGGGACCATGGTAGAACCATGACACTTGGGGTTGCCACTTTTCCATTTTTTGTGGGGCGTCTGAGGAAATCTTAGGAATGCGGGGCTTCAACACACAAAGATATCACAAAGATATCAAAGGAAAAGGTCGTGACATGGATTCTTCATCGGTGAACATGAAGTGATCCGGGTATGAAACGAGAAAATTTCCAAGTCTCATGGCTTCTGCAAGCTAGTAAACCAAACCCTACCCTGCCAAGATCCAAACGAAGTTCACTCTTCAGAGATAAGCTGATTGGATCGACTACAACTATACATACGTATAACTGCTAAGATTGAAGCGCACGTCCAGAATTGCTAAAACAAAAATTGAATGTTGTTCAGTAGCCAGCGGCCAAACAATTTTTGGGGTAAATGGCTTCTACTTCGACCTCCTACTTCTTGAACAATCCTGGCTTCCAACCGCCCATGGAAGATGTGGGTTTGTCTGAAACTGGGGACCCTCAAATTTGATTGTCTGGAAATTTGGAACATGATTCTCTCCATTGAAATTGCCATACATTGAGAGCCCATCCTCCATGTTTATCAACTTTTGGACTTTTGGACCCATTGTTGCTTAGTAATTACATCTCCCGCTACTACATCCATTACATCCCCATATCCCATCATATAGTAATTATATATCATATATCTATATCATATATCTATCATGCCATACTGGTTGGTTGCTTGTTGCCCCATTAAACGCTATTTCTGCGGGTCCCGTTCGGTGCCATCCCCCATTCGGAAAGACCCACTCATTGTTGGTTGAAATGAATATCCCATTATATCCCCATATCTCACCATCATACATATAAAATTATACAATATATATATATATATATATATATATCATTCTATATCTGAGATGTCATACTGCTTGGTTGTTTACCCTCCCTATATTTGATGGTTCCACACCCGGGTCCCATGTCTGGGTCCCCCCACCCAGTGCCATCTTCGAAATAGACGCGCTCCGCATCCATCAGTTGCTGACCTTTCTCGCGGCCGGGGTTCACCTCAGCTGCCATTTTCTGATCAAACTCTCAGGGACAGCTAGGATATACCACACATACACACTTCAATCAAGAGCATCCCAAATCTCAAACATATCACAATATTAAGATATATTAAGCATGAACTTGCATAAAGAATAAATAGTCATCTAAGTCCTGTTGAATGATTTGAATGTCCACGTACAAAAAAACACAGGGACCCGCATAGCGCCTCAGCGTCACTTTCTGAGATGTTCGTGGGAGAACGAGGCATTCACCATTTTTTGGACACACCCCTAGTGGCCAAAACAAATCCCCCACGATAATTTCATCTGGCAATGGAACGTCTATGAAAACACGTAGTGTTATGTTGCATTGAATAGATCCAACATATCCTCAATCATTTATATGATCAAATAGATTTGAGAATCATGTCTCCAGTATAGAATTGAGGATTTTCCTTTGCCATCTCTGACTCAGCACTGCTGGTTGGTTCTCAGATTGGCCAAACAAAGATAACGCTTCGAATCGATTCGATATATCTACACCGGTGACTTGCTGCATCAGCTTGGCCCAAAATGGGTCCACACTGTCACCCTTAGAGTCACATGGATCCAATATGATCCAATAAATTATACTATGATCCAATATGTTTATCCATGTTTACAATTTACATGTTCAGTTTCATTTTTCTCCAACATCAAAACACCCTCAAAACACGGATATGAATTTTCAGAGCCTCCCGAGATGCCCGGCGGAAGGGTAGGTGTTGATGTTCTCGATGTCATAGTAAGGCTGCATGTTGTACCAATAGTTCATATCACCAAAGACCTGGTCGTCAGATTCACCATTTTTCGATCAACATGAAATTTTCTCGACTGCAAACTGAGTCAGAGGATTTGGAAGACTAGTTTCCTGTAAAACATAGTCGTCATGTTGGGGATCCATGATGTAAGAGGGTACAAACCTTGAAATTGGTTGCTAAATCAAACTGATTTTGGTGACTTGTAGATTGCGTGGGCGTGCAAGACATTGCAACTTTGCTGGTTTCAAGGGCACTGTAAATAGGCCTCAGGTACCTTTAATCCTCGCAGAGCCCAACCACTGCAAAAACTATTTCTCCATTGATCATTCCGACGATCCTCTTCAAACCATACATCTTGTTTCCTCAATTCTTTCCGAGGAAATGGTTGACATACGTCTATACTTACCTAAACTATGACCTCTCGCATGTCAACAGGCACCAAAATGGCGCACCGTGGCAAAGATGGTAGCAAGGCTGGCAGCCAGGAAAGCAAAGGTGTACCTGGCCCCAGCTGGTGAGACCCCTGGGTTTGGGAAGTGAACTCGCCGTGGAAGTACTTTCCTAATGGTCCCAAAATTCAAATATGTGTATGTGTATATAAATCCCTACTAAAGCATGGTTTCTGGGGTTCAAAAAATTGGGGGATGGGATTGATTTCCTGAACATGATATGGCAGGAAATCTTCAAATAGGCTAGATTATTGTCCGTTTATTGCAGAATTTGTTCTGGGGTCATGTGGAGAGGCAAAAGGGAACAGGATCGCATTTTTTTTGGAATAGGCAAATGGGGTAGCGGGCGTTGGTGCTTCAAAGGTGAAATTTGTATGGCTGGGTCATGCTGGGTCATGTTGGGTCTCCATGGTTGGCTCTGCAAAATTCATTGAAATCAAAGCCCATCCGTTTGAGGGTCACAATTTTCATAGCATCCAAAACAGCCATAGCGCCACCCGGTTCCCAACCTTACTTAACTGGAAGTTTGTCTGTTGCTAGTTCCCCAGGGCAAAGATGGGACGGATTCCAACCCATCCCAAAAGCAATCCTGGTGATGACGAGGGCTGGTACAGTATTGGGCACCTATCCTCAGTTTGCTGGTGGTTGCATCCCCAAATGAAACAGTGAAATCTGAAGAACAATGAAACTCCATGACAGACTCTATGAATACCCTTAAAAATTGGTGGCTAATTGGGGATGGGTCAAAACCCTGGTACCTTTTGTTCACATCAAAATAGCTGGGATTTATGGATGTTCATCTCACTATAGTAATGTATCTATAGGTATTGACCCATAGCCATATCACCCATATTAATCATTATAGTGGATTTTCCCATTAAAAATGATGATTTTCCATAGTTATTTTCCTTTTTTTTCCAACATGCTAAAACCCAATGAATACCCAAAGTTTCATCATCCCCTCGGGCGTGCCAGGTGGGGTCCCTATCGCGCATCTTGGTGCGATAAGCCAGAACGCCTTGCCGGCGATCGACAAACTTGGGGATAAACCCAGAGATTCTACGGGAGATAGAACCGACCATAAAATATATGGCATAATATGGGATATGTGCAACTGTATAACCAACAATATCGTAATATGCGAGAGCAACAAACTAACCCTCTGCAGTCGTGTCACTTTGTCATGCTGAAATGTGTGTATATGTATGATAATATGGTGGTCTACTCCCCAAATGGAAATTGGACAAAACTCATTTTTATTAATAGGGATTTATGGAGACTGGCCGATAATGATTTCAATACAAAATGGTGTTTATGGGATTAGTATACATGTATATATATATATATATATATCATCAACAATCTGATATTTGGATATTTGGATCTGTCTGAAAATATACCCCCACAGCTGTTTGAATATGGGAAATTATGAAATTTTGGAATGTCCCGTGCTCAAGGAAAAACAAATAATAACACTTAAAAAATTGACAAACCTTGCCTTTGCACTGATCTCAGATCACCTGACCCAAGTGCAGCAAATCACCTACGGCCTACGGGAGTTCGCCAGCATGGATATCGTGACATTTTTAAATTTTTCGTAAGTTGGGCACCCAACTTTGACCCTCTTCCCACTTGAAATGACCACATGTTCCATCATTCCACAACGGTTCTGCCGCCTGCCAGAGCTGAAATTGCTACACCTGGTTTTTTAGAGACGCTGGAACCAGTGAGGCAATGGGCCATCAGTTTTGACACCTCCAAATATCCGGGGAAACTGAGGGCAAAGCATCTTTCTGTGACTGAAGATATAGAGTGTACCGGTATAAACCACCAAAACTGCCATGTCAATAGGTTGAACATGGTGACGAACCAATGGATTTCAGACAAACCAATGTGGGGACTTAAGGCAATTTACGGCTTGGGTTTATGTAGGTGTATAACACGTTATCATTGGTCAAACTCACCACAAGTGATAGCACTTGTCCCCTCCATTCCCCCGGGGTCGCGACACCTGCCAACACCACCAACCAGGCAAGCAGAGGACTGGTGTAGTGCGTGTAGAAGGACATGGCCCCCTCAAGAGATCGGACCAAACAGCCGGAATCGTCCTGGACATCTCAAATCCTATCGTCCTGGTCATGGAAAAAACGGTCTAATATGTTTCTTCCAAATCAAGTTGGTGGATCATTTGTCCTGGACCATCCTGGACCCAATGACCCAGTGGCTATAATATGTGGCTACTTGCATCATATTACATCCAGTTTCCCTGACCAATGTTGAATATAGTCGTTTCAATTTTGGTTGTTGACGCGCTCTGAGAAGCATCTGCTCCAATACATCTACCGGATCCGACTACACATGACTGCCAGGTGGATTCCAGTTTGAAACCGGGCAAATGTTGTATGGCTGCAGGTGCTATGAATATCTTTTATGATCATTTATGTAGTATATGCACGATTTGCATTGAGCCATCAGGTCCTTAATTACTGATTCTCCAGACAATCACACATCTCCCATTATCTGACGAATTGGCTTAAGCCGCATGTGTGCCACATATTTTTGCAGAATGAGTTACCCTCTGGTAAACTAACATAGCTATGGAAAATCACCATTTTTAATGGGAAAACTCCCTATAAATGGCCATTTTCAATAGCTATGTTAAATTACCAGAGGGTATATAGTGAGCCCCCTTTTTTTCTGATGTCGTGATTTTGTTTGGTGAACTTTCCGGATTTCCATAGATTTCGGGCCGTGACCAGCCACAGGTCAGGCATGCTGGGGCTCACCACAAATACGCCACAGAAGACCAACCATGGCGCCAGAACGTTGATCAGCATCGACACCTCAGAGCTAAACAGGTTGCTGACAATCACTTGTTTTTGTTTTTGTTTTTTTCTGGGGGGATGGTGTTTTTTTATACATTCATCAGTAGGATCACCCATCGCTTAATATATATTAATGCCAACACCGGATTAATAACCCCCCCCCCCAGAAGGTAGGGAGGTACCTTCTGACTGGTTTTCTTGATCGCCCCTTAATAATAAGCAAATCTGAACTGTAAAACTTTGGATATGGCTTGAGTCAATAAGATCTTAATAGAATTCCATTGGATTTGTTAAAATTTCATGGATCAGAAAGGTGGTTGATTAATCAGGGGCAAACCATGGTTATTATTACTGGGGGACATGGGCTCATGGGGGGTACCCTTTGGGAGCTATCCAAACTGATGTTTTTTTATAAATATTTTAATTAGAAATCGATCATTTGGGGAATAGTTGTTTTTTGAAATTTTCAATGATCAACTTAAACCTGAAGTATAACAATGATGATTAAAAAAAGGTAAAAAACAATTGGAAATAAATAGAATTGGAAATAAAAAATGTTGGATAAAAAAATGGATTTCCGAAGTGGTTGTTAATTAATCGGGGGTAGGCCAAAAATTTTATTAATCTGGGGGGACCACCTGTTTTTAAATTACAAAAAAAAAATTGGGCAGTTGCTGTTGATTAATCGGGGGGCATTATTAATCCTCACTTGACATTATGGGAAACGATGGGAACATGCAATGAAAAAAATCTTACTGGGAATCATACTGATGATAGCGGGATATATCGGGATATAATTATATCTTGGTTACACAAGTTGGTCTTGCGCAGCATCGTCATGATGGTCAACACAGTCTGAGACTCCCAGCAACATTGAGACGCTTGCGCTTTCCATGGGAGAAGCTGCTGTCATGGTCCATGTGCGGCATCCCAGAGTTCTGGGGCAACATTTTGGGACAACCACCAGTTCGATCCCAACCCCAATTGGAACAGTTCCATTCCTGTCCTGTTCTTGCACATGAATCAAGCAAAAGAGTAGAAATCAAAACCAGTAGCAACCCTCATCCAGGGCTGCTCAGGCTCCGGTATCGGTAAAAGCATTTCTGCAACCCCATTTCAAACAGTCACTAATGTACTCCTGAGCTTGTTGACTTCAGCTCGTATTTCGGCAATATGAAACTTTTCATCAATTTTGGCCTTCCTATATCTGCCCACAATCTTGTTAAAAAAAAAAAACGCACAAGCTCAATTGGTGGAGGCAAGCAGGCTGCAGCTTCAATGACTCTTGGATCTGAAATAAATGTTTTGACTACTTCATACTCTGCCTGCCTTTCAGTCCAGCATGGAGTTTCCCAGTAGACATCATCGTCACTTCAAGCCCGAACAATGAGCCTTGTAACAAACCTGACTCCCTGGAGTTGTTGGGTATGAAATTCAAAATCCTATGTTTTGAGCACGATCCAATCCACCTTCTTATAGCGCAGTTCCAGAGAGTAAACCAGACGTTTTGGGACTAATTCAGACATGCAAACATTCATCTTGGTTGATGTCCAGTAAGTCCCGCGGTTCCGATTGATTCATGTCTGGGATACTCTATGATTCTATGTTGATTTATTTATTCACTTGTTGGATTGAGATCACTCTTCTCTTCATAACATCAACAAAGGCAAAACATAAACAATAAACCACAACTTGCCTTGTTACAAGGATAAAGGTTGAAAAAACATATGTGTGTTACATTTGTTTCTATGTTTTGCCTCTGCCTGTCCTGTGAAATGCAACCTCAACCACAAGGCAAAGCATACTGAGACCGGTCCTGATGACGGCTGTAAGCGCCTCGCAGGATCAAGCCGCAGCACTCCCGGAGTCAGATATGGAAGTTTCGATGGGGACCAAATAGATCAAATACCCTCTGGTAATTTAACGTAGCTATTGAAAATGGCAATTTATAGTGAGTTTTCCCATAAAAAATGGTGGTTTTCCATAGCTATGTTAGTTTACCAGAGGGTATATCAAATATCTCCTCCAAGTCAGACCATTTTTGTAAAACCCATATTTTTTCAGAACAGGCCACTGTGGGAGTGCGCAAATTGCAGCATTTCCTGTGCAAAGATCCAACAGCATATGGCGCAACCGGACAAAATTGAATTCCATTCCTCTCTGCTGTTCATTGGCTGAATGCACTTTGTCAAAGCAAACATTGCTGTACTGTAGTGTATCGACCTTGCTTCTAGTGCAACCACTGACAGTGCCTGGCAATCTCTGCTTGGCATATCTGCAATGGCTATCCACACACAAACCAAAAAACCAAAAAACCAAAAAACCAAAAAACCAAAAAAACAAAAAACCAAAAAACCAAAAAGACAAGACCCAACACTCTGCATCTGACCCCCTCCCCTTGGGGTGTGCAATCTTGTTTTTTTTGTTTTTTTTGGTTTTTTGGTTTTTCGGTTTCTTGGTTTTTTGGTTTTTTGTTTTTTTGGTTTTTTGTTTTTTTTTGGTTTTTTGGTTTCTTGGTTTTTTGGTTTTTTGGTTTTTTTGGTTTGTGTGTGGATAGCCCAGACCTTGCCCATGGGTCTGAATTTTTTTTTTTTTTTGTTTTTTTTTGTGTTCTCGAGGTTTTGGCCAAACTGCAAAAAACCATGGAAAAACCAAAAAAACAAAAAAAACAAAAAGTTCAGACCCATGTCCCCTGCCAGGCCTCTCCCCAGACCTTGCCCATGGGTCTGATTTTTTTTTTTTTTGTTTTTTCCATTGTTGTTTTGAATGTTTTTCATGTGAAGATGCTTTCATCACAGTACCTCTCAAAAAAATGCACGTCTCTACAATTTGCACACCTGCGCCCCCCAGGCCAAACTGCAAAAAAAACCATAGAAAAACCAAAATTCATTTAATGACTAATATAATGACTAATATAATGATTAATGTAATGACTTTTTGTTTCATGAATATAATGACTAATATAATGATTGATATAATGGTTAATAAAATGATTAATGAAATGATCAATATCATGATTAATATAATGATTTATATAATGATGAATTTAATGGTTATTAAAATGAAGAATTTAATGGTTAATATCATGATTATTATCATGATTCATATAATGATTAATGGAATGGTTCATATAATGCCTCATGCAATGACTAATATAATTAATATAATGATTAATATAATGATTCATATAATGATAAATATAATGATTCATTTCATGATTCATTTAATGACGTTTAGAATGACTAATATAATGATTAATATAATGATTAATGTAATGATTTATGTAATGGCTGATATAATTATTGATTTATTGACTAACATAATGATTAACATCATGATTCATAGAATGATAAATATAATGATTAATATAATGATTCATTTAATGATAAATATAATTATTCATTTCATGATTCATTTCATGACTTTTATAATGACTAGTATCATGATTATATTTAAAGACTGATTAATATAATGATTACTATTATGATGAATACAATGATTAATATCATAAGTAAAATACTGACCAATTTCATGAGTTTATATATAATGAGTAATGTAATGATAAAAAATTGATTAATATAATGTTTAGTATAATGATTAATTTAATGACTAATATAATGATAAATACAATGGCTAATATAATGAATGTTATAATGATTTGTAAAATGATTGATATAATGATTAATATACTGATTAATATAATGATAAAATAATAATTCATACAATGACTAATATATAATGATCAATATAATGATTAATAAAATGATCAACATCATGATTATTATAATGATTTAAATAATGATTTATATAATGATTAATTTAATGATTATTAAAATGAAGAATTTAATGATTAATATCATGATTATTATCATGATTCATATAATGATTAATGGAATGGTTCATATAATGCCTAATGCAATGACTAATATAACTAATATAATGATTAATATAATGATTCATTTCATGATTCATTTAATGACTTATATAATTACTAATATAATGACTAATATAATGATTAATGTAATGACTGCATGGAAAAAAGTGCACTCCCACAGCGGCCAGCTCTCTATTTTTTGGGGGGGATCCACCGGTTTTTGTGGAACCAGGTGTTTCTTAAAATCGGGGACCCATTGCAGCAAGGGTTTCTCATGAAACATGACCAATTTGATCCAATTTGGATGATAAAATGGGCTCCCTTGCGGGGAGTGCCACCAAACAAAAATGCAACCTCAAGGCCTTTACGTGCATAAACCATTTATCCATATCCCATTAAGGAATTACTTTTGGGAGGTAGCAAGCAACACCCTTGTGGAATATATTGACGCTTGAAAACATCTCAATGTTTACTCATAGACACCAGTGCCATCAATGCCATCTTGAATACGCGATTGAACACTGCTGGGTATCTTGTTTCTGTATATACAATGTAATGCAATGTTGTGCTACAAATGAATGTGTTCTGTATTTTGCTTTTGTTTTTTGTTTGCAGACGTTGATATGGAATGAGTAGGCGTAGGCAGGCGCCGAGGCATTTTGTGGAACCAAATATCTTGCTTCGAAGTCTTGAAATCCACGTACTGCTTGTCTTGCCAATGGTGTCGCCTGTTTCTTTGCAAAACAAAGAGGTACAACAACCAGTCAAGGCAGTCATGCAACACTGACACATGGCTGTTCACCAGGGACAATTAGGGAACCTGGCACGAAGAGATGTCTTGATTTTGGGATGCCTTGATTTCTAGGCTTCGAAGGACAGTGCATGTGATATGTCTAACTGCTTTTGTTTATCAGGCGAAAATGATTTCTTGGAGCTTAAAGCCACGTCGTGTTTTTGCAGTTTTTTTGCTTTTCAACACTCTGTGACATGATATATGTGAGGTCAAAATTCTGGTTGTGAAGGTGTTTGAAATCATGACACATCATGACCGTTCCGAACGCGTTTTCATCATGTTGTTGGTGTTTGTTTGTCCGTCAAAGCCCCCATCTGGGTACTGTGTAGGTCAAGCTGCGAACCAATCACTAGGTCCTTGGAGTTCTTGTTGATGCTTATGTGGTTATGCGCATCTGTGATATGGATGTCTCAATCATGTTTGCCACTATTTATCCCGCCAAAACGTTGGTGATTCAAACTTATCAAGCAGTAAACCACTGAGAATTTATGCATTTCAAATGTGTCAAATTCAAGGCCGTGGGACTCACTTTTGATTGATTTCAGCCATCTCTCTAAATAGAACCGCATGAAATCATTCCGTTCTTGGAAATCGAAGTTGGATGAGTCATCTTTCGTGACTGCTTCAGTCTTGGAGAGCATGGCGAATCCTGGCACCTCCAATCATGGCTGATCTTGGCTACAGATCTACATCCAACCACCAATTTCTGCTGAATCGTTGCTGATTATTCATGTTGCTGTGACTATATCTATTTGGCCCCATGACTCATATGACCCCATCGACATGCAACGAAAACTTGCAAACTACACTTCACCAGCTGGCTACATATATGTTGATGGTTTTTGCTGTTGATCAACCTCCCAATTCTGATGGTGACCCAACCAAAATTAGTCATCATCAGGCTCTTTTGATGGTCCAATCGTGTAAGACCCCCATCTTCTGATGAGTAGACGCTTAAGATCTCAAAAGTATACTACCAATACAGTATATGACAGTCAGTGTATGTACCTGAAATAATTACAATCACCCACCTAATGTGGGGATCATTCCCCTTAGTAACCCTCATCCCGATGACAATTCCAATGACGTCCGCGAGCTCGTGGTGCCGGGCGCCTGAGAATGTCCCAAAAGCCTTGGACATGGCTTCGTTGCCGCGGCTAAACGACGGGGGTGGGCTCCGCGCTCAGCGGACGTGGAGCTCAAAATGGCCCAGGCAGTGCCGCAAAAAAATGGGAGGTGGCTTCGGGTGCAGAGGTTTTCTTGCACCCCATTTTTTAAAAAATATGATATATATATATATACATATATATATATATTATAATATATATATATATTATAATATATATATATAGATTATTATATATATTTATTATTATTGTTATATATATAATATAATATATATAATAGATATGTATAGACTATAGACAGACAGACAAATAGATAGATAAGATAAGATAAGATAAGATTAGATTAGATTAGATAGATTGATTGATCGATAGATAGATAGATAGATTGATTGATTGATTTCCATCATAGTGGTGGAATGGTGATCCTTGTGCCAATAATATGTTTCTTTTTCAATCTGGGGTCATCTGCAAAAAAGAGATATGGGAAACATAAGGCGGAAACCTATTCTTTTGGAGAACCACAGTCGGACAGCACGACGGAAAACGATGGAAACTACAGATTCGGTCAGGGCCAGCCGCGAAAGGAAACCCCAAAATCAAAATGTGTACGTTCATCATACACTAGTTTTGAGTAGATCCAATTTGATAGTATCCCATGCCGAGACAAATCCATCTTCTAGGTTTGAGGTCTTAAAAACAACCAGCAAATACCGGCGCTTTCAAGAATAAACGCAAGATGACAGAGTGCGCTTGTGCAATTGCGCCTAAATGTAGCCGAATTTGTCTTGGACTGCAGAGCTGTCACCACCGCGTTCAGAATTGCCCCATGTCACCACGGATCCATCTGCCAAGATTGCAGCAAAAGCACTCTTTGTGCCACCAATTTGCTGAACATTTCTGAGCCGATCTTGGACTGCAGTGCTGTCACCGCCGTAGTTTGGTTGGCCCCATGTCACTACGGATCCATCTGCCAAGAGCGCAGCAAAACATCGATGGTTCGCACAAATCTGCTGAACATTCCTGAGCTGATCTTTGACTGCAGTGCTGTCACCACCAGATTGAGCCGCACCCCACGTCACCACGGTTCCATCTGCCAAGAGTGCAGCAAAAGCACTCGCTGTGCCAAAAATTTTCTGAACGTTCCTGAGCTGCTCTTGGACTGCCATGCTGTAACCACCAGAATTCGCCCCTCCCCAGGTCACAACGGACCCATTTGCCAAGATCGCAGCAAAAGCACCACTGGAAGCAGAAATCTGTTGAACGTCTCTCAGTCGATCTTGAACTGCAGTGCTGTCACCACCGGAGGAAGCCTCACCCCACGTCACCACGGTTCCATCTGCCAACATCGCAGCAAAGGCGTAGCGCGTTGCATAAATCTGCTGAACATTCCTCAACCGATCCTGAACTGCAGTGCTGTTACCACCCCAGTCAGCCTCACCCCACGTCACCACAGATCCATCTGCCAAGATCGCGGCAAAAGCACCACTGGAAGCAGAAATCTGCTGAACATTTCTCAAGCGATTTTGAACTGCCATGCTGTAACCACCAGAATTCGCCTCTCCCCAGGTCACAACGGATCCATTTGCCAAGACCGCAGCAAAAGCACCGCTGGAAGCAGAAATCTGTTGAACGTCTCTCAATCGATCTTGAACTGCAGTGCTGTCACCACCGGAGAAAGCCTCACCCCACGTCACCACGGTTCCATCTGCCAAGACCGCAGCAAAGGCACCTTGAGTCGAAAAAATCTGCTGAACCTTTTTCAGCTGATCTTGGACTGCAGTGCTGTCACCACCACAATACTGCTTTCCCGTGGTCACCACGGAACCATCTGTCAACATTGCAGCAAAAGCATCATCCGTCGCACAGATCTGCTGAATGTTTCTGAGCTGATGCTGGTTTGCAGTGCTATCACGATTCCAGTTTGGTCCGCCCCATGTCACCACGCTTGCATCTGCTAAAATTGCAGTAAAAGCATAATTTGTGGACCTCAGCCGCTGAACATTCCTCAACTGATCTTGGACAGAAGTGCTGTCACCACCAAGGTCAAGAAGCTGGGGCCATGTCACCACAGATCCATCTGCCAAGATCGCAGCAAAAGCAAAGCGCGTTGCATAAACCTGCTGAACATTTCTGAGCCGATCTTGGACTGCAGTGCTGTCACCACCACATTGAGCCGCACCCCACGTCACCACGGTTCCATCTGCCAAGATAGCGGCAAAAGCGCATGTGGTGGCACAAAGCAGCTGAACATTCCTGAGCTTATGTTGGACTGGAGAGCTGACACCACCAAAACGATCTGGACCCCACGTCGCCACGGTTCCATCTGCCAACATCGCAGCAAAAGCACCACTGGAAGCAGAAATCTGCTGAACATTCCTCAAACGATCCTGAACTGCAGTGCTGTCACCACCGAAGTCAGCCTCACCCCACGTCACCACAGATCCATCTGCCAAGATCGCGGCAAAAGCATCATCCGACGCAGAAATCTGCTGAACATTTCTCAAACGATTTTGAACTGCAGTGCTGTCACCGCATTCATCCTCGCCCCATGTCACCACGGATCCATCTGTCAAGATCGCAGCAAAAGCACCGCTGGAAGCAGAAATCTGTTGAACGTCTCTCAATCGATCTTGAACTGCAGTGCTGTCACCCCCGCTTTCAGCCTCGCCCCATGTCACCACGGATCCATCTGCCAAGATTGCAGCAAAAGCACTCGCTGTGCCACCAATTTGCTGAACATTTCTGAGCCGATCTTGGACTGCAGCGCTGTCACCGCCGAAGTTTGGATGGCCCCATGTCACTACGGATCCATCTGCCAAGAGCGCAGCAAAAGCCCAATCATTAGCAAAAATCTGCTGAACATTCCTGAGCTGATCTTTGACTGCAATGCTGTCACCACCGTGTGCAACGTCACCCCATGTGACAATCCTATCAGAGCCAACACACCACAAGGCAAAAGCAAACATAGTTCCAGCTATCTTTGGCTGCTGGGCAAAAGCAGTAATGCTGTTTCCATCATGAAGTCCGGAAAATTGAAGAGATTCAGTTGGAAGCAAAAGACGACCATCGGGCGCAACAAGCCTCAGGAATCTTTGTCCCAAAGACCGTTGTGCAGCGAGTTTCAAGTCAGCAACGCTGCCAGGCTGCAGGACTGAGACGGTCTCCGACCTGCCACTCGGCAAAGACACCTGAAGCTCCAGGGCCTTCCGGATACCCGCAGTTTCCTGACCGCAGCGACGCTGTTTCCGTGGCAAATCCTCATCTTCGTTGCTCCGATCTCTCGGATTCATCCCGCAGCCTGATCTCAAAGCTCTGCGAAAGGTGCCATGTTTTGGTCATCACAACTCCGTTTTAATGGGAAGCCATGATCTCTGTGAATGGTTGTGGGGTTGAGCCACCCCAGAAACTGCCACAGTCAGGTCAATTGACAATTGGGGCCACCAAGTATAACATTTTTCTACACCATAAACTCATCCTACAGCATTAGAAAACAGTGTAATGTAGTTGGTGCTAATATGATCCTCCAAACTTGAAACAACGCATTCCTTTTCTATGCGAGCTATACTAAATACTACTTGGCGGTGCGTCAAAACTTGGTATGTACTTGATTGCGTTGATTCAATTTGTGATTTATTGACCCAGATGTGTTTCATCTGGCATGCATCCACCTGTGGTTATGTCACCCATAGTACTAGTAGTACCGCACAAGGCGGTGGCGGAAGTTTCAAGAATAGGAAACCTATAGGAGAGATTGTTTGTTGTGAATCAAGGATGGCAGAGCGAATCCACTGATGGACCGAAAGGTGCTTGAGGTGTCCTCTCTTTCTCTCTCTTGCTCTGACTATCTACCTACCTACCTGTCTATCTTCTATGTATCTATCTATCTATCGATCTATCTATCTCTCTCTCTCTCTCTTTCATCTCACTACCTACCTATCTATCTATCTATCTGTCTGTCTATCTATCTATCTCTCTCTCTCTCTCCCTTTCATCTGGCTATCTGTCCAGCTGTCTACCAGTCTATCTGTCTATCTATCTATCTGTCTATCTGTCTACCTGTCTATCTGTGGCGCAATGTCATTCAGTGTAATGCAGTGTAGTGTAATGTAGGGAGTGTAGGAATGTAGTGTAGTGTAGTGTAGTGTAATGTTGTGTAGTGTAGTGTAATTTAGTGTAGTGGAGTGTAGTGGAGTGTAGTGGAGTGTAGTTTTGTAGTTGTAGTTGTAGTTGTAGTGTAATGTAATGTAGGTAAGTGTAGTGGAAGGTAGGGTAGTGTAGTGTAGTGTAGTGTAATGTAGTGTAGTGGAGTGTAGTGTAGTGTAATGTAGTGTAGTGTAGTTTAATTTAGTGGAATGTACTTGTGTAGTTGTGTAGTTTTAGTTGTAGTGTTGTGGAGTGTAGTGCAATGTAGTGTAGTGGAGTGTAGTGTAGTGTAGTGTAATTTAGTGTAGTGGAGTGTAGTGGAATGTAGTTGTGTAGTTGTGTAGTTGTATTTGTAGCGTAGTGGAGTGTAGTGTAGTGTACTGTAGTGAAGTGTAGTGGAAGGTAGTGTAGTGTAATGTAGTGTGGTGTAGTGTAGTGGAGTGTAGTGGAGTGTAGTGGGGTGTAGTTGTGTAGTTGTAGTTGTAGTTGTAGTGGAGTGGAGTGTAGTGTAGTGAAGTGTGGTGGAAGGTAGTGTAGTGTAGTGTAGTATAGTGTAGTGTAATGTAGTGTAATGTAGTGTAATGTAGTGTAGTGTAGTGTAGCGGAGTGTAGTGTAGTGTAGTGAAGCGAAGCGACATCTGAACCTCCAAAAGTGATCCGAACCCCTAATGTTTTTAACATTTTGACTTCGAAATGTACTTCGCGCCACAACGGCGTGCACTTTTTCGACATCTGAACCTCCCAAAGTGGTCCGAACATAGTGTGTTTTGTACATTTTGACTTGGAAATGTGCTTCGCGCCACAACGGCGTGCACTTTTTCGACATCTCAACTTCCAAAAGTGGTCCGAACCTGGTGTGCTTTGTACATGTTGACTTGGAAATGTGCTTCGCGCCACAACGGCGTGCACTTTTTCGACATCTCAACTTCCAAAAGTGGTCCGACAATGGTGTGTTTTGTACATGTTGACTTGGAAATGTGCTTCGCGCCACAACGGCGTGCACTTTTTCGACATCTCAACTTCCAAAAGTGGTCCGGAGCTGGTGCGTTTTGTACATTTTGACTTGGAAATGTGCTTCGCGCCACAACGGCGTGCACTTTTTCATCTCTCATCTGGCCAGCTGGCTCCGCACCCGCCGCTTTAGCGAGCCTACTTTTCGACCCTCCGGAGCCACAAATCATTGGAAAAACACAGTGAATCGCGACTTTCCTACCTTTTCGCGCATCTGTATCTTCTTTCTTCTGTCTCTTTCTCTTCTATTCTTCTCTCTTCTAATCTTTCTCTTCTCTCTGCCTCTGCCCTGCTCTGCTTTTCTGTCATCTGTCCATATTGTCGGAAGTTTGACTTCTAAAATTCCTTCGACCATAGTCTATACTTATTACACATGATAATGTATATTATACATATAAGATAATATATATATATATATAATATCTGTATATATATATAGATATTATATTTAATATCAGTATACCATAGTATACGGTTTATGACCACCACGTCAGCCATAGTTGAGAGGCACAGCTACCCGTCTACCCCCTCACCAAAATGTGGACTCAACTCTCCCAACAGGTGACCTAACTATATCATAAGTCACTATAGTAGACCTCGTTATACACCAACGTTACCCTCTGGTAAACAAACATAGCTATTAAACATGGTGATTTATAGTGGATTTACCCATTAAAAATGGTGATTTTCCATAGTTATGTTAGTTTACCAGAGGGTATATACTTTAAGGGCTGGCCACAGTGGTCTTAGTTCTGGTATGTTATGGTTATCTTATGGGGTCACCTAAACTCAGGGGAGGGGCTGATTCTTCATGTCACCTTCGCTGCCCACGGGCCATCGCCATCTTTTTGTCCGTCATAGGCCGTCACCGCACGCGCCGTGCCCCGAAACCGTCATAGTCTTCGAAGGCCACGGCGGCGGAGCGTTTGGTGCCCTTGGCATCGGCAAACTTCACGGTGAAGCCTTGGTAGAAGATGCAACACCGATGTTACAAACAAGGCAAAAAACATAAAGCATTCCATGAATATCTCACAGATTCCAGATATAATCAGATATATACACGTTTTGCCTCAAAATGGAAAATTATGTAACACATGACAAAAAAAATAAAAAACATAAAGCATTCCATGAATATTTCACAGATTCCAGATATAAACAGATATATACACGTTTTGCCTCAAAATGGAAAATTATGTAACACATGACAAAAAAAACAAAAAACATAAAGCAATCCATGAATATTTCACAGATTCCAGATATCAACAGATATATACACGTTTTGCCTCAAAATGGAAAATTATGTAACACATGACCAAAAAAAAAGCATTCCATGAATATTTCACAGATTCCAGATGCAATCAGATATATACACGTTTTGCCTCAAAATGGAAAATTATGTAACACATGACAAAAAAATAAAAAACCTAAAGCATTCCATGAATATTTCACAGATTCCAGATATAAACAGATATATACACGTTTTGCCTCAAAATGGAAAATTATGTAACACATGACCAAAAAAAACAAAAAACATAAAGCATTCCATGCATATTTCACAGATATAAGATATATACACGTTTTGCCTCAAAATGGAAAATTATGTCACACATGACAAAAAATCAAAAAACATAAAGCATTCCATGCATATTTCACAGATTCCAGATGCAATCAGATATATACACGTGTTGCCTCAAAATGGAAAATTATGTAACACATGACAAAAAAATCAAAAACCATAAAGCATTCCATAAATATTTCACAGATTCCAGATATCAACAGATATATACACGTTTTGCCTCAAAATGGAAAATTATGTAACACATGACAAAAAAAACAAAAAACATAAAGCATTCCATGCATATTTCACAGATTCTAGATATAAACAGATATATACACGTTTTGCCTCAAAATGGAAAATTATGTAACACATGACAAAAAAAAAATCAAAAAAACATAAAGCATTCCATGAATATTTCACAGATTCCAGATATAATCAGATATATACACGTTTTGCCTCAAAATGGAAAATTATGTAACACATGACAAAAAAACAAAAAAACATAAAGCATTCCAGAATATTTCACAGATTCCAGATATAAGATATATACACGTGTTGCCTCAAAATGGAAAATTATGTAACACATGGCAAAAAAAATCAAAAAACATAAAGCATTCCATGCATATTTCACAGATTCCAGATATAAACAGATATATACACGTTTTGCCTCAAAATGGAAAATTATGTAACACATGACAAAAAAATAAAAAACATAAAGCATTCCATGAATATTTCACAGATTCCAGATATCAACAGATATATACACGTTTTGCCTCAAAATGGAAAATTATGTAACACACGACAAAAAAAACAAAAAACATAAAGCATTCCAGAATATTTCACAGATTCCAGATATAAGATATATACACGTTTTGCCTCAAAATGGAAAATTATGTAACACATGATAAAAAAATCAAAAAACATAAAGCATTCCATGCATATTTCACAGATTCCAGATATCAACAGATATATACACGTTTTGCCTCAAAATGGAAAAATATGAAACAAATGACAAAAAAACAAAAAACATAAAGCATTCCATGAGTATTTCACAGATTCCAGATATAACAGATATATACACGTTTTGCCTCAAAATGGAAAATTATGTAACACATGACAAAAAAAAAAAAACATAAAGCATATTTCACAGATTCCAGATATAAACAGATATATACACGTTTTGCCTCAAAATGGAAAATTATGTAACACATGACAAAAAAATAAAAAACATAAAGCATTCCATGAATATTTCACAGATTCCAGATATAAACAGATATATACACGTTTTGCCTCAAAATGGAAAATTATGTAACACATGACAAAAAATCAAAAAACATAAAGCATTCCATGCATATTTCACAGATTCCAGATGCAATCAGATATATACACGTGTTGCCTCAAAATGGAAAAATATCCAACACATGACAAAAAAATCAAAAAACATAAAGCATTCCATGCATATTTCACAGATTCCAGATATCAACAGATATATACACGTTTTGCCTCAAAATGGAAAATTATGTAACACATGGCAAAAACAAAAAACATAAAGCATTCCATGCATATTTCACAGATTCCAGATATAAACAGATATATACACGTTTTGCCTCAAAATGGAAAAAAATATGTAACACATGACAAAAAAATAAAAAACATAAAGCATTCCATGAATATTTCACAGATTCCAGATATAATCAGATATATACACGTTTTGCCTCAAAATGGAAAATTATATAACACATGACCAAAAAAACAAAAAAAACATAAAGCATTCCAGAATATTTCACAGATTCCAGATATAAGATATATACACGTTTTGCCTCAAAATGGAAAATTATGTAACACATGACAAAAAAAATCAAAAAACATAAAGCATTCCAGAATATTTCGCAGATTCCAGATATAAACACATATATACACGTTTTGCCTCAAAATGGAAAATTATGTAACACATGACAAAAAATAAAAAACATAAAGCATTCCATGAATATTTCACAGATTCCAGATATAAACAGATATATACACGTTTTGCCTCAAAATGGAAAATTATGTAACACATGACAAAAAAAACAAAAAACATAAAGCATTCCAGAATATTTCACAGATATAAGATATATACACGTTTTGCCTCAAAATGGAAAATTATGTAACACATGACAAAAAAAACAAAAAACATAAAGCATTCCATGCATATTTCACAGATTCTAGATATAAACAGATATATACACGTTTTGGCTCAAAATGGAAAATTATGTAACACATGACAAAAAAATCAAAAAAATAAAGCATTCCATGAATATTTCACAGATTCCAGATATAAACAGATATATACACGTTTTGCCTCAAAATGGAAAATTATGTAACACATGACAAAAAAATAAAAAACATAAAGCATTCCAGAATATTTCACAGATATAAGATATATACAGGTTTTGCCTCAAAATGGAAAATTATGTAACACATGACAAACAAATCAAAAAACATAAAGCAGACCAGAGATATATATATATACAGGTTATGCCTCTATAACAAGAGTAATATTGCTCAATTTTGGGTATCTTGAAGCTTTTGGATTCTTTTTTGTAAAATTGGGTTAAAGTTGTAGCATGTGGTACCAATATGTAGCAGTAATTGTGGCATGTCTGTATTTTTTCCATTTTATAGTGGCGGTTGTTCTAAATTCCTTTCTCTTGAAACGGCCATTCTTCGCGAATTAAAAAATAATTTCGCGAATCTTTCGCGAACCCCACGTTTATCTTTCGCTGGGGTCTCATGTTAAAAAATATTTAACTAAATCGTTCGCCAAAAAAAAACGCGAACTCAGAAAAAAGAAACTTTCGCGGGGTCTGATGTTGAAACCCGGCGGCCTTGGCAATCAAAAACCCTTACATGGACCTTTAGAGTGACTCCCAGTTGTATAGGTTGGGTTTTGATGGGATGGGTATAGGGTATGGTATGGTGTGATATATTGTGATATGGTGATGTATGGTTTTTTTTGGTGATAACAGCTTCAGCCACTATAAAATGGGAAGCCATGACATTGGAAAATTCCAGTTTTCCAGAGCAATGTGGTCTCTATAGAATGGGAACCTATGACGTTGTACGTGGCTGTCACCCTGCAGGTGAACATCACTATACAATGCTGCTCTGACCCCCAAAAAAAACTCTATAAAATGGGGGGCTACACCCAAGCCCTAAAAAATTAGCGGAAAAGATGTAATTATTAAAACATGGTCTTATCGGGTAGGTATCCCCCCCAATTTTATAGAGGAAATTCCTAAGGGGATTATAATATTATATATATATCATAATGATGATTCATCATGAGATTATATATATATATATTATAAGTGTTTACCGAATAATAATATCTAAAGCACACCAAATCGTACCATTTGGATCCATTTGGGAATGCTGCAAACCATAAACATCATAAACCCAAACGGGCCAAGAAAATGCCAATTAGTGAGTTTACCATGTAGATCAGGTTTTGGGATTTGGAACGCATGTTTTTTGCAGTCAAGCCATGATGAAATAAAAGGATTGATTAGAAGGTGGCACTTCTGGGTGGCTCACATTTTACCGGTATCTGCGAAACATGTGGACAGTTAATTAATTAAGAAACATATGATTATACAGTATATGATTGTCATATTTGTCGTTCAAAGACCTCAGCTCAGCCAAACTCGCGGTGCTTCTGATCATCATTTGCCAATATTACTATATTTGGGTTTGTTATGATCATTATGTTTATAATTGGGTTTACCACATTTTTTTAACATAGCGAACTGGAAAATCACCATCGTTAATCACTATTAACCACTATTAATCACTATGAACCACTATTAACCACTATTAATCACTATTAGCAACTAGTAATCACTATTAGTCTTGGAAAATCACCATGGTTCCTAGGTAAATCAACGAACTCCATGGTCATTTTCCATAGCAAACTGTTCAAAAACCAGAGGGTAAATCCTCCATCCGTTGAAGCCTCAAGAAACGACAGTTGGCGAGCGCCTGCACTGCCGTTTCGGCTTCCCCAAGATTGGTGTAGGAGACCTCAGAAAGCCCATAGCAACCAACCAATAGAGGTTTATTCATCCAATCCTCCCAATACAAAACACCCCAAATATGTGTAATCCCAGATTGAATCATGGTTTCTGGGGAGTGTTTGATATTGGGGGGAAGGGATTATCGGGTATATACCATTATACCATTGTATACATCAGTTTATTTGGAATTGATGCAAAGTGAACCTACTCATCGTTGGTTGATGGGATGCTGGCATTGGGTGTGCCACATCAATGTCGGTTGATGTCCCGAAGTTATAGGAGTCCCCCTGGTCCACGACTTTAGTGGCCCCTATTCACTGGACTGGACCTGTCAAGGCAAAGTCGTTGCCGTCTTCATGGTGAATCGTACTGTAATCTTACATATCCAGCGAAGGAAAGAACTGCTCATACCCATCCATCAGAGTTTGACCCATTTTTTGCAGTCATCCAAACGTGCAGTGATCCAATCTGACTCATAGCCAGAACTTTTTTAAGGGTGATGCGCATCACTCACAAGCATCATGCACAGGTGAAGTATTGTACCAGCATCGGGAAGGTACATATTTGCATGTGTCTGAAAATGGGGGACGGGAAAGCACACTCCAAATGTTTTTTATTAAAAAACTAGGATTCTTGCAAGTTTTACACTCAATCGTCAGACGCTCTCCCAAGTATCACATGTGTTGGTTACATGTTCATCCCATGGTATCCCATAAATCACAATTTTGCAAGTTCAATCCCCATAATCAGCGACTATCCCCTGACTGATGCTTTGCCACAAAAAATCCAGGTTTCGGAAAGTTCGCCGCGAAGCTGGGAGGCTTGTGGGATCTTTGCCACTCAAAGTGTGTATCTGGTTGGTGGTTTCAACCCCTCTGAAAAATATGAAAGTCAACTGGGATTATTGTTCCCAATATATGGAAAAAATGTTCCAAACCACTTTGTGCCGCTTTGCGCAACGCACTGCCTTGGGTCAAGAATACAGCACTCTTGTCTGTGGGATACACTACGGTGAACGTGACGCCTTCGTCACTGGTATGGGCATTCTATCAAACTCCCAAGACTGCCTACGAAAGGGCCCTACCGAAAACAATTGCAGCCATCGGTCAACCGCACCAAGCCACTGGGCACACCAGGGCATCACAAGGCAACAAGCAAACATACACACCACATGGTTGGCCGGTGTGCAATAGCGAGACTGCACAAGAACACCAGCATGATGCAGCAGGACCAGGGTAAACAGCTACCCTACTCCTACACGCACTGAAAAACAAAATAAAAGTCAAGAGCCAAACTTTGCCAGCCACAAGGACGTTACAATGAATCAGTGCGGGACAAGACCCCAAACTAGTGTACACTACCATGGGCAACCAGCGCTTCTTCACAAACATGGCCTGTCCTCCACCCACACGAGAATCGTGGATGGAGGTCCCCAGCCCACCATTTCCATTGAGCGCAAACTGCGCGGAAGCCAAACCGTTCTGTCCACATTGTATGGAAAGTACGTCAGTTCTACAGGCTGCACGGAGACCGTCCAAACCGTTGCAATGACACCACAAATCTGAAGGAGCAACAGGGCAACACCCAACCAGGCATTCCTTGATGTACGGAATGAGGAATGAGGCATGGAACCATGGGAAGACCCCTCTCATGCAACCATACAGTAATGCCATCGTGGCCCAGACAAAGATCATACCATACCCACCACGTGCTGTGACGTCTGCATGGCCAGACAGGCACCAGGTCCATATACGCAACTGCTGAAAGGGCACCAAGCTGTGCCACCTGCAGACAAACGAAAGGATCACTGGAGTCAGAACTACAGGCCACATTGAGGCTGTCCAAACCATTATCAAAACACCACTGATCAGAAAGAGCACCAAAGCAGCACCCAACCAGGCTAGCCTGGAGGTACGGAAGGAGGCATCGAACCGTGGAGATTTCCCACACATGCAACCACCCAGTACTGCCACTGTGACCCTTGTCTGACAGCACCCACCAATCTCTGTGACGTTCGCATAGCCAGTCAGGAACCAATTGAATCACACCTTCCTTCTTGAAGCCAGAGGTGACAACAAACTGTTCCAACTGCTGACCAATAAAAGGATCATGTCGAGCTGGCGTGGCCCCGATCAAGATGAGAACCTGGAATCGCAACCACACTGCCGTCCCAAGGACCTGGGACAGAGGCAAAGCGCATGGGTCCCCTTCACCACGAGCTAGAACACAGGATACCACCCAAGCCACAACAGAGAGGCACTGCAAGCTCTCAACCAGACAGGGTTCCATGAAGGACCATGGCAACAGCGTGAACGAAACCCTCAACGCTCAGCAGGGACGGCCGCACCAGCTGGTAGGTGTTGAGCCCACGGCTTGTTCCAAACCACCAACCAGGTATGGGTCACATAATTTTGCACTCCATCATACTTTGACCTCTTGCGGGCACCCGAAGGCCAACAACGGGCATCAGGATAGAAGCTCTTGAGATGTGCCTCCCATTCTGGATCTTTACCCGCATCGTGAAACTTGGTTGGTTAAATCACCACCTAATGGCTTAAGGAACCCCCCAAAAGAATATAACATATCCCCGTAATGGATTTCCCAAATGATGGATGTCCCATTGGGTGCCTTCAAGAAATTCGGATGTCGATGGGTTTCCAAGTGTAAACCAACATGTTTGTTTTCCCACCATGAATGTAGACCATTTGCCGAACATGTTAATCAATTTGTCTTGGTCAAATCCCCAAAAATGGTCCCTTTTGAGTCAGTAAATTTGCATCACCACTTAGATGAAGGGGGTACAAACTCATGGGGGACCTTTGGGATTTCACCTAGACCTGGCCATTTCTCCGTTCCACGAACCAGGTGGCAAAGCCGCAGCTGGTGGCTCCCGTTTTTCGCAGCAGTTTCACCTCTGCCACCCGACCGAAAGGCGCCATCATGCCCCACCTGACACAGTCATCAAACTCCGATGTTTTTTTCTCACCTCAAACATCTTCAAATAGTCAATCATTGTACAACACCTTTATTTCTATACGGTTTATCTGAAGATTGTGATGATATTGGTGCCAAAGATGGGTTTACTGGATTCAGTACAGAGAGATTTGCAAAAAAGTCTGAGTCTTCCAGTCAACAAGCTTGAGGCACAGCCATGTTGACCCCTCTATGATCGGAGCTGCTCTCCCGTGATTTCAAGGTCTGCTAAGGAAAATCACGACAAGTCGCAGTCTGTCCAATAGATCACATTGTATAAATTGACAATTTTCCAGAGCTATGTCAAATTACCAGAGGGTATTTTGATAGTATTGTGGTATTTCAAAGTGCCTCAAACTGTCTCAGTCAGTGGCTGAAATTGTGTGAGGGGCACCACACCTTTTGGCCATAGAAATGGCCAACACGTAGCATGAATCTGTGTCAGTCTCACCAGGTGGAAGTACTGACCAGGGCAGTCAAAAGGTTTCTTTGTGTGAATGAACTGAGTCTTTCTGGGGTTCTTAAGTTCTAAGAACCGGAAAGGACTGAACAGCAAACCATCAAACATATACCATCAAAACATGAATATCCCACAAGTTGGTATGTCGTCTATCCTTTAGTCAGATTGTCTACATCTAGCCGGTTTCAAACCACCAAAGTATGCAGTATGTAATTCGTTGGAACATGTTTCTCAATATGTTTGCCCAGTATAATAAACGATCAACTGATCAACTCCAATTCAACCATAGATAAACTGTAACACACATTACCAAAACAACCTATGTAAAACAGTCATCTTTGGTCTTTGGTTGTACCGTTATCATTCCATGAACATGTTTGGGCATGTTAATCTTTCGACGCAGCCCCATATCTAGTGGTCCAGTGCTGAGATAACACCAAGTCCAAGATACAGGAAATCTTCATTGGCTTCTTCTGGCAACCTGAGCCAATTTGCTGATCCAGAACCTCACCCCTGACATCGCCATACATGTTGACCCTGTTCAGTGCCATTCCAATACTCATAGGCCGCTCCTGAGAATCACCTTCCAACCCCTTCTTTGGCAAGGTCCATAAATATATATATATAATATATATATATATATTATATATATATATATAAATAATCCCTGTTGGAATTTCCCGGCTAACATGGACTCCTGCATTCTTTAGACAAAAAACGGCGGTCCACCTTGCACTACTGAAATGGCACATCTAAAGAATGCCAACCCAGGGATCAAGGGGGTCTAAGACCATCTAAAAAATCATGGCCCAGGCAACCAACTACAAAAAAATACAAAAACATACATAAAATAATACCAAAAAAATACAAATACAAAAGCAGAACTCTAAAAAATAGGGAGTCCGTCTTAGCCATGTGGATGTCAACCAGTATAAAACTACCCAATGTGCTCAAATGATTGCTTGTTAGAAAACTGTCCTTGTTAGAAAATGCATGAAAGTTGTTGTCATTGTTGCAACCTGCTTGACTCATCTGTGATGCAAACAGTGGCCGGCGCACAACAGCAGTTTTACCAATTTGCAAAAATTCAATCAGCTTGTCTATTCCCTCTCAAAATGCCCTCTCTAAAAAATCCTGACCCAGGAAGCCTTTGCAAAAAAAAAACTTTACTTCGTGTGATCCCCACCATGACATTTATACATGTTCTTACTGGCACATCTTCTGGCATTCTATCTGACATATCTTCTGACATTCTATTTGGCATTCTATCTGGCATATCTTCTGGCATTCTATCTGGCATATTCTATCTGGCATTCTATCTGACATATCTTCTGGCATTCTATCTGGCATATCTTCTGGCATATCTTCTGGCAAATCTTCTGGCATTCTATCTGGCATATCTTCTGGCATTCTATCTGAATATCTTCTGGCATTCTATCTGGCATATATTCTGGCATATCTTCTGGCATATCTGGCATCTGGCATTCTATCTGGCATATCTTCTGGAATATCTTCTGGCATATCTATCTGGCATATCTTCTGGCATATTTTCTGGCATTCTACCTGGCAAATCTTCTGGCACTCTATCTGACATTTTATCTTCCTACATGAGGTCCGGCAGGGAACACTTGGCGTGGATACTCGCGGTTGAGGTCCGGCAGGGAACACTGGGCGTGGATGGTCGTGGTTGAGGTCCGGCAGGGAACACTGGGCGTGGATGGTCGTGGTTGAGGTCCGGCAGGGAACACTGGGCGTGGATGGTCGTGGTTGAGGTCCGGCAGGGAACACTGGGCGTGGATGGTCGTGGTTGAGGTCCGGCAGAGAACACTGTGGATCGCGGGTCGCAGTTGGACGAGGAGAGAGGACGACGAGGACGACGAGGACGACGAGGACGACAAGGACGACAAGGATGACAAGGAGGACGAGGAGGACGAGGAGGAGAGGAGGAGGAGGACGAGGCAGGAGGAGGCAACTGACATAAAATCTAACAACCCTCACCTGGCAGGTGGGGAAAAAGGGAGTCCGGGTTCGCCATGTGGATTTACCATCAGTTTTAGCACAAAAAAAAAGTTTTTTGCGACAACCCGGGTTGTCCCATTCTTTAGTGGAAATTCCAAGGGGGGTTATAAATGAATGTATATGAGCTGGAGGAATGGTATCGTTTGGGGGTTTGTGAGTGAGGTTAGAGTATCTCAATATCTGGAACAGCAAAGTCTAATATAGCTATCATAGTCCGATTTGAATGGCCAGAGGTCTATCCGACTGTGAAACTGTGGAAATTCCAATTCAGGCCAACATGTTGAATATACACTTTGGTTCGGGGGGTCCATGTCCATATACTCAATTACTTTACTTCGTGTGATCCCCGCCATGACATTTATACATTTTGTTACTGGCAAATCTTCTGGCATTCTATCTGACATATTTTCTGGCATTCGATCTGGCATTCTATCTGGCATATCTTCTGGCATTCTACCTGGCATATCTTCTGGCAGATGTTCTGGCATATCTTCTGGCAGATGTTCTGGCATATCTTCTGGCATATGTATGTTCTGGCATATCTTCTGGCATTCCATCTGGCATTCTATCTGGCATATCTTCTGGCATATTATCTGGCAAATCTTCTGGCATTCCATCTGGCATTCTATCTAGCATATCTTCTGGCATATTATCTGGCAAATCTGCTGGCATTCTATCTGGCAAACATTCTGGCACTTTATCTGGCATATCTTCTGGCATTCTAGCTGACATTCTATCTGGCATTCTATCTGGCATACCTTCTGGCATTCTATCTGGCATATCTTCTGGCATCTATCTGGCACTCTAGGTGGCATAACACTTGGCATGGATACTCGCGGTTGAGGTCCGGCAGGGAACACTGGGCGTGGATGGTCGTGGTTGAGGTCCGGCAGGGAACACTGGGCGTGGCTGGTCGTGGTTGAGGTCCGGCAGGGAACACTGGGCGTGGCTGGTCGTGGTTGAGGTCCGGCAGGGAACACTGGGCGTGGATGGTCGTGGTTGAGGTCCGGCAGAGAACACTGTGGATCGCGGGTCGCAGTTGGACGAGGACGACGAGGACGACGAGGACGACGAGGACGACAAGGACGACAAGGATGACAAGGAGGACGAGGAGGACGAGGAGGAGAGGAGGAGAGGAGGAGGAGGAGGAGGAGGAGGAGGACGAGGCAGGAGGCAGGAGGAGGCAACTGACATAAAATCTAACAACCCTCACCTGGCAGGTGGGGAAAAACAAGTGGAAATCGGAAAAGGCAAACTTTTGGCTTCAGTATTTTGGGAAGTCTGTTGGGCAAATTGTAGTATCGATGGACCATCAAACATGATCTATCTGCTCATTTGACTTGAGATTGCTAAAATGCAAAGGATATTTGTGCAAACCTCCAACATTACCACAGCATACTGTTAGGATGTCGCTGGTTTCAACTGCCCCTAACCAAGTGATTGGGCAATGGGGATCATCATTCCAAATAACTATGGTCGAAAAGAAACATACCATCCGGTAATCAAACTTGGCAATTGAGAATCTGCCATTTAAACCTCCAATTATCGGGTATCTTCCAGCCACATTTCCACTCCCAAGTCACCCTCCCACGAAGATCTTCTCTTCGACTCCACCACCAGAAGGTCGCATGTCCTTTACGCCATTCTTCCGCCCTTCATCATGACTTGGCATCTGCTTGTTGTGCATTGGCGGCGCATGCTGCACGTGCTGCACGTGCGGTACATGGGCTGGAATGGGCATGGCCTCAAGCTGGCCAAAATTCACCATCAAAGATGGGATGTTCCCATGATTTTCGGATAGTTACCCTCTGGTAAACTAACATAGCTATTGAAAAATGCCATGTATAGTGGATTTACCCATCAAAAATGGTGATTTTCCATAGTTATGTTAGTTTACCAGAGGGTAGTTAAATCAAGTCTTCGATAGAACAGTGATGGTATACACATGTATACACTCTGTTGAGCAGTTCTTGAGACTCATTTACTGGGACTGATTGGTAGGGTTCCCATAATGGCAAATGTGAATGACATCTCTGGTTTGCCAGGTTTTATTCGCTCAAAAATTGTTTACCTGGTGATGAAATTCACCATGTTCATATAAATCCCTTGCTAATGTTGGTAAAATCCCCGTTCACCCTTTAGATTTCTTACATAATAAGATATCTCCATTGAATCTCAACTATAAAGTCAATATGAAACATGAGTTAAACACCTATATTTATGTTGTTATCCCAAAAAAACATTAGCTGTTTTTCACAAATCCCCCATGGAAATACCATGACATGATATGAAACACCGATTTCATATATTTTCCCCCATGAAAATCTCCGAAACCGTCTTCCGGTCTTCCAGGAGACCGGTGGCGCCGGTGTGAAGAAGGAGACCGGTGGCGCCGGCGCGTCGGACACTCCGAAGCGTCCCGGCATCGGCGGCAGCGGCGGGGTGCGGGCGCTCTTTGCCATGTCGGCCATCTTCACGACCAGCACTTTGCCTCGGCCATGGCAACATGGCAGCCATGGTGAGTGAAACATCACGTGAAAGCCATGGGAATTCACCTGGCTGAAATGCTGGATTTGAGTATAATAGATGGGTATTTGATGGGATATGAAAATGGGGTAGCCTCTAGTCTGGTAATACATTCTAGTGTATTTGAGGTTGGTTTTTGGGGGTCCAAACACCTTCTCCAAGGGTACTTTTTTTCATGTTGATATGGAAAAAAAAATCATGATTTATAAAGCAAGTGGGGATTTGTAGTATGATGGGATATTGTACATATAGGAAAATATATGATTTACTAAGTTGTTTCCTTTATATAACATACTTACTATATTTTAACAAGGTCATCATATGCATTCAAATAAATGGGGAAACCTGACAATATAGAAATAGAAATCGTGGATAAATAACAACGGATTATATTGTACACAATTGTCTAAATTCAGATTTCGAAACCATCCCAAAAGCTTCTTAATGGTAGCCTAAGGTTTGAGATCAGCCTGGCTTGTGGGGGTTGGTTGACACGACACAAAAAACGACACAGGATCATCCCGCAGGTGGCTAAACCATACATCCATTGCTGTCTGATGGGATGATTCCCTTCAATTCCTGGTGGAATATGGCTGGGTGGTGCCAACATGGTCCAACATGGCTACTTCGGGACCGTCCGTTGAGCAATCTGGACATGATTTTTTTTGCTGGGTAGTGATCAAGACTGCCAACACAACAACTTGAAATTGATCTGTGGGATGATCCAACTAAAGTTACTTAGGACTGTGAAAAAAAAAGACGTGTCCTTTCCTGAAGTTTGGTTACAAAGGCGAGCTGCCCATCGCCGTGCGTGAAACCAGACCACGCTTTTGGAGTGACATGTGTCCACAAACTTGCACCCAGTCACTCTATTCATGCCCTCCATCCTTCCAAAGGGCTACCTCTACTTTGAAAAGCCTCAATTTTGACTGAGAATATCAAAGACCATCAAAGACGTAAGCATTCACTTCATCCAATGCAGTCTGAAACTGGGGTGGTACCACGTGGTACACCACCAAATCAATGGATGTCCCAAGGGGGCCCCGCTGCTGGTCCCCTCACCAAGGGACCCTCCGCAGCCAAGGGATGCTCCTGGTCGTTCAAGTTCTGGATACACTGCTCGGCTTCAGTGAAGGATCCATAGGTCACGAATGCGCACGGTGTGGACCTGGCAGCGGTGACCGGGAAAAGCCTCAGGTTGGCAAATAGACCAAAAATGGGGATAGGATTGCTATGATGGTTAGTTGATGGTTCTTCTAGGGGCAAGCGAACAACCAATATTTCTTTTGCACCAGCAGAGATCCTGATAAAAGGGATAGGTGATGTTTGATTGGTTATTACGGTACAGGACTTAACCATCATTTTTCAGGAGGTTCAGCACCATGCGGACATAGCCAGTGATTTCTCAGCTGAGAAATAACTCCCTAGAGCCTCTCTGGGGCCTTCTGAACAGACAAACTGTATCCCTCACGTCCATCCCTTAGTGGAACAATCATCATATAGTTGGTTGGTAGATGGCAGCAAGGGGCTTCCATATTAAACTATATTAAACTATGGTAAGCCCCAAAAAGATGCAGCACAGCTTCCCTTTGTAACCACTACGTTTCACATGTTTCACTAGGTAGACTAGTAGGAATGTACTGTGCTGGATGTCCATATCCCATTTGGGCCATGGGCGTGTCCGATCTTCTCCTAAGTCTCAGAAAATCACACACGCATCCCATAGCCATGTGGATGCCAGAGTAACTAACAGGTTTTGACCCAGATTTATGGTATTGTAAACTGAATTACTGGTATTATTCAGTATATGGTTTTATAAACTAAGCGACCCATCTTTATCTTTTTGGTATTATAGTCTTCCACTAAACTGAATTCAACAAATTCTGAGCTTCAGTTCGAGAAAGGATGCTGCAACTGTGATTTGCAGATGCCTTGGCAGTACCATACCATACCATGAATTTTGTTTGAAAATCACCATTTATAAACCATTTATAATTGACAAATGATAAATCAACTATCAAGGGCCATGTTCAATAGCTATGTTATAAATGACCAGAGAGTATCCCATAAAATCGCCCAACGCAGCACGCCTGTCGTTCTTGGTGAAGATCTTGCAAAAAACCACAGGACCAAACCTGGTGAGATCCGCGACAACCATCGCGTTGGATTCACCAACAAAAAGGTGGAAATGCACCAACAATATGAAGAACTTTGCAATAACAAAACATGAGTATTTTGAACCAACAACTCTGTGGTTTGAACATGTTTGAACCCATAACCCATAACCTCTTAGTCTTTTGAACCAAGAAACATATGTTTTTCATCCGTAAAAAAACTCGCCTTTTTGGGACGATCAACTTGGATGATGTGTCCGTGTAGCCCCATAAAATATGGCTTTGAAAGTAGGGTACCCCCTGGTAAACCCAGATTTGCTGGTTTAGAACATCACGGTCTCTGTATAATGACTATAAATTTGACATGTTTTGACTGAAAATAGGATATCCCCCCAGTGGACAACTTAATATGGATAACATTGATATACATTCATGGTCAACCAGCTTTTTCTTTATTTCATGTTTAGGGGTAGACATGGGTAGAGGGTTTTTCAGACAAAGCCAGGCACAGCACTGGGTCACTGGGCCCAGAAACTGCTCGCAGTATCTCTGCACCTGCTCCTGCGTCACTGAAGCTGCCAGGCCTCAGCGCAAGCCATGCCATGGCCCGTCGAATTAGATGATTTACCGATGAAAAATTGGGTGATTGTCCATACCCATAGGATCCATGTATGCTATATATGCTAACATTTGGGGTATATTAATGGTAAATGTTACCATATATAGCATACATGGATCCTATGGGATAGCAAACTGTGAAAAATGACTAGAGGGTAGCAATGGGTAACATCTGAAATGATTCAAAACCAATCAGGACTTTTCTCTGAGAAATGGGCAGCCTATGGTTTGTAAATGAGGTGGACGTGAAACAACAAATTAGAACAAGCAAGCGAGCTACAGCCAAGTCAAGTATTGTAAAAATTGGGAAGTCGTTCTTGATAGTTTTCGAAAAATCATGTTTCTAAATCCTGCCATTGCCAGAAAGACTATTCGCAATAGATTGCTGGTTCAGCTTCAGAATCATAACCCATGATATCGGCTTTAATGATACTTAGACGACGCGAATTTTCATCGCAACTATGCCAAGTAAGATACAGAACAAATCCAGGATCCCCTACGGGCCATTGACATGATGGGACGTTGAAGCTAGACTCTACAGAGACCGATGTATGCAAGTTCTTCATAGAACATGCACCAAACACCTATGCGACTGTTCGCCACCAAGGCCCTTTGTCATTATTGGTGATATATCGAATTCATATCATAACCTTCAATTGTTGAAGGTCAAATCACATTATCCTTCGTAAAACCCAGTAAAGCCCATGTAAAACCACCGTCCCTGCCTCCCATGAAGACTTTTGGCTCCTGTTGAGCTCCTTTCTGCACTCCTTTCCTTGGTGGAAGGGCGATGAATACAAACCCAACTGAGCCATGTTTCGCTGAAAAAAAAGATTTGCCAACTGGGAGACAATTTTGAATGGGATGTTGCTCAAAAAAAATAGATAGGCAAATGACATAAAATTATAGCCTTGATCATATATTGAACATCGTAGCATGTTTGACGAAAAAGCGGAATGGCAATGGAATCTCTCACCTCCACATGGTGCCCCTGCTGAGCTCGTTAGTGGCACCAGAGAAGAGGAGGCCAAATTGTGGCAAGGTTTTGTTGGGACCTGTGACCTTTGTGACCTTGGTCACTTTGCCTCCCCCCCTTGGCATTTGTACAGTTCAAAGATGGGTTTTGAAGCTTTGATGTGTACACTTTGCGCATCTTTGAGGGGCTGAGTTTTCGTGGTCGTGCTGTAAGTCCGCTATGATTTTATGTGATATTTTGTTTCGAGCAGCAAGGGGACATCCCAGTCGCACCCTACTTTTCAACGTTAATATATTATATGCACACCCAAAGTGCACACTTCCACCCGCTTCCAGCACCGCATGTTTGACTAACAGAGGGTACGGTATATATATATATATGTATACTGTGTATATTTTGTTCGACGAGATGAAAACGGATGAACCAGGTGAAATGGGAAGGTTGACCCTGCAGATCAGTGTGATGAATAATCCCAATTTGGGATGGGTTGTTCCAAACACGTTTGCATCAAGCATCCAAGAAATAGTTCAGCTAGGAAAATCTGCAAAAATCAGAGTTATTCCAATAATATCCGGAATTTCCTATAGATGTCACCCTTTCATCCAAAAAGGTCAAGTTGCAGATACCTGTGTTGTTCCTTGGTTTCAATACCTACGCATGTTTCCAAACCATCCATAGACCCAAAAACATCCTTAAACACCTCATGATCAATCATGTTTTGAACAGTTTATCATCAAACATACGTAGAACTCAGGGATTTCCCAGCTATAGTAGTTATGAATAGTTATGATGGATTGCTGGAAGGTATTCTCCATCCCAAACCTGGGACCACCACTTGGCAAGAAGTCTCAGTGATACCTGTCACCTAAGGCCCGAAAAAAATCTCTACACTGACAACAAGTTACAAAGAATAATATGATACGAATTCATAAACAACACAAATAACATGTTCATCAGCATCATAATAATCCTGATCTTCCTCTGTTCATAAATATCTAAATCAATCTAAACCAATTTAAACCTATCTAAACCAATCTAAACCAATTTAAACCTTAAATTCCTCCCGAGCTTCATATCCGCAAACTTCACATTGAGCCCCTCCGCTTGTTGGTCTCCTTGCCGCAGCTGCCGGCCGTTCACTTCCTCGATGCATTGCTCGGCCGCGGCCCAAGACTCGAAACCGGCGAAGGCGCAGTTCTTCCCTCGGGCGATTGGTGGTCGAGGACTGTTTTGTGTCTTTTCTTCATGGGACATCTAAAGGAAAACCATGGAAAACCATATCTTTTCAAACATCGCTTACAGATTCCTGGAAATGTTCCCTGAGACCAATGACTTGGGACAGTCTCTGAGAAGGATTCCCAAATGGTGGTTTGAGAAAGAATCACCTGATTGCCTTCAGCCAATGTTGAAAACCATGGGCTCATCAAATGCACCAACAGAAAACGCTGACCATTCGTCCATGTTCCACCGTACCCAAACAAACATCACAGAATAAACTGGACATATGGTGGATTATGGTTCATTTTGGTTGGAAAATCAATGGGTCTGGTGCTCTGGGTGCCATCCATGTTCAACAAATACCTTTTCGCATAGTCGTATCAATTCAGCACAAGAATCAGTAGCGAGCCAGCCCATATGTTTCCGATTTTGTAGTTTTGTTTTTTCGTTTGGAATTGCACACACAGACATGGCTTTGGCTCAAACTACTTGGCACAGCTGCTTGGAGAAAGGAATGATTGACCTTGTAGTTGTGGGTTTGTATCAAATACTAACCATGCGCGGTTCACCGCAGGCTGGATCACCATCACCTTGCTGAAATTGTCGTTGAATGAGGGGATGGCTATGGATGGTTTGCATCCCGCAAACACGGGTGGCTATAAGAATGTGATATTAAAAAAAAATACACACTCATATATTATATCCACATATTGTATAGATATATACTATGTATATATATACATATATATATATTGATTGATTGATACGGATACTACATATGGACAATATATAATATAATATGGGTACACGGACACTACATATACATATGGATAATATATCATATGGGTATATATATATATCATATCTTTAGGATACGATTATGATACTGTATGGCGATGGTTTCATCATCCCATTTCGCCCAGGAGCCTTCCAGCAACTTCACGCTCCTCGCTTTCAAAGCGAGGAACCACAGTTTGGAGGTTTGATGGTTCTGCGATCACGTGGGTGAAACAACTAATAATGGTAAAATATGGTAGTAATAATGGTAACATATGGTAAATCAATTGAAACCAAACTGAACCACCATCTTTAAGTGGGATCTGACAACCACTCAATTCTCAGAATATCAAGCAACAAACATGGGGTAAAAGCGCAAATGATGGCAATTTAGAGTCATACCCTGCATCAACACCTTTGGACATCTTTGAAACTCAATCAAAATCACCTCACCCATTAATTATCCGAGAAAACATCTCAAAACCACACCATTCCTCGCCCCCAACATCCCCCACCCGCATCAAATTGCTTGATCCAGACAAGAGTAAAAGGAATGCAATAACTGCAACACCTTTTTTTTTCAAACAATAGGAATTGGTCAGATATAATTTAAATTATACATTATGATATGCAATGTTTTCAAAATAGTTTTATTACTTATTATGTTATATATATACCATATATATATATGTAATATTATAATCGATATGTATATATATATATGTAATATTAAATATATGATGTGTATGCAAATATATATATAATAACATAATATAATATAATTATATATGATATAGTAAATATATATATATATCAAAACATCAAACAAAACATGAAGTGCCAAGCAACACTGCGCCATACGGAAGGATCACCTCTTCCAGTTCTCTCTGCTGCGTGTTGGGTGGCAGCCGTCCAATGAACAGCTGCGGCTGCGGCGTGGGCGAAGCCCCTGGCGGGCCGCCGCCCATGCCGCCACCCATGCTGCCACCCATGCCGCCGCCCATGCCGCCGCCTATGCCGCCGCCCATGCCGCCACCCATGCCGCCGCCCATGCCGCCGGCCGTGCCGCCGCGGCGAATCACAGGAGGTTGCGGTGGAGGGGCGCCTCGGCGACAGCTTGGAAGAGATGGGGAGTTTGATGCCAAAAATGGGGGTATAAACCAACCACAATGGGAATATGGGATTGATTATAATATATTATAATATGGGATATAAAAGCCAACAAATAGAGAGAGGTAAAGTTAGACATTTGCACTTGTGGCTATGATTTACAAGGAAACGAGATGAGCACCCCTGGCTTTGTTTGGGACAAATTGGAATTGTCTTGGGAAGGATGGAACATAATTGGAGTTGAACAGTTGAACCGATGAGGATTAGGATCTAAGCAGCAGGAATGACAGGAATCGGAAGTTCATACTAACTTTCATCAACTAAAAAGGATGGACTGAAACATTGTGGAGGTGTGAATGTGCTGTTCATCAGTAATACTGATACTGTAAGGGTGCAGCCCGCGAGCGCGGAAATTTGGATTTTCCAAATGCGCGTGTTTTTCCTGACCAGAATCATTTGACAGACAGAACATCAAACCCAAGCAACCGCTCGGTCCCCTTAGTGCAAATCAGCAATCATGTGGATATCAACCCATGTCATCCTCTGGATCATCATCATCCCGGTGGGAACCCCATGATGCTTGAAGATGTAGCTATGGTTTTCTACGAAAATAAATATCGGTGCCTGGCAGAAAAACGACCTCAAAACTTCGCTTTCCCTACGCAAAACTGGCCCAGAAAATGGGGTGACATGCCAAGCTAAGTTCCCCAGTTCCACACACCCTTTTCTAGATTAAATAAGGATGCACTGCACGAACGGCATGGATTCCCCAGTGATCAGTCAAACCATTTTTTCCTCTCTGGGTCCCTGGGTTTTCCGGGCGTTCCATCGGTGCTGCAACTTGTGGACTTTGCATTTGGATGCTCTTGTTGGCGGCCGGCCTTGGTTCCGATTTCATGGTGATTGGCAAAGAATCATGGGGTTTTTTTGGTGGGAACATCATGGGCGTTGGTGATACTTTAGGGGGATTGTATGGGATTTGATTCATGGGAAATACAGGAATTTAAAGGTTTATAATGGGATTAATTAAATGGGCATTAAAGGGATTTATATGATGACTTTTTTTTTGGCGGCCGTGGGCAGTGGGCCCGCGTTGCATCTGCATTCAAAAGCTCCGCGCGAGAGTTTACCCTACCAAGCAACATCAAACACCGCCGGGTGCGGGGAAATCCCCGCGCTAAATGAAAGTTTGTTCAGGGGAAAAAGCAATCTATAAAAGTATAAAAGTAACAACCGTCTACATTCTACATGGTATACTGACTATCGCCCAGTTATACTTTTGAGAATTCAAATACTTTTGTGACCACCTTCATGTTGTTTCAATATTCAAACCATCTCTTTTGATAAGACGAGATGTACCAAATATTGTACCATGTAGGGCAGCACATAGGTACCTAAATATTCTAAGTATTGTATTACACCCTCTGAAAAAATGGAGCAAGAACCAGTTAGATTCAGGGGCTACCTGCGACAGGAGCAGATTTCATGTCTGTAGGTGTTTTGAAAACTGTGGAATCAGTTCCTGTTGTTGAAGCTCATGTAGGTGAGAACAACAGCTTCCAATAATGGTGACATCGTCTATCGTGGTCATTGAGACATTAGAAAATGCAGTTGGTTATCATGAATGGTGACACGTACATGTCCAATTCGAAAAAATGATAAACCTGTTGTTGATGTTGAGCTAGATGTCAATGAAAATGATCCTCATATCTAGCTCAACATCAACAACAGGTTTATCATGGTTTATCACTATCATCAACAACAGGTTTATCAGTGATGACAGTGATGATAATCTGAAAAATGGTGGAGTTCGTCAGTTGGGATGATGACATTCCCAATATATGGAAATTCATAAAAATCATGTTCCAAACCACCAACCAGTTGTTAGATGTTTACCTGAATCTGTCCCATGTTCAAACCACCAACCAACAGTAATGATAGTGATGATGATGGAACCCCTCTGAGATCCCGAACTTGACATTGAGACCGGGCCCGGCGCCTCGAACCGCGCACCAAGATGACTTTGAAAGAGATGTGGAAAAAAGTAGATATGGATGATGGATATATGATGGATAATATGATGGATATACGATGGATAATATGATGGATATATGATGGATATACGATGGATAATATGATGGATATATGATGGATATACGATGGGTAATATGATGGATATATGATGGATATACGATTGATATATGATGGATAATATGATGGATACATGATGGATATACGATGGATAATATGATGGATATATGATGGATATACGATGGACAATATGATGGATATATGATGGATATACGATTGATATATGATGGATAATATGATGGATATATGATGGATATGTGATGGATATATGATGGATATACGATGGATATTATGATTATGATGGATATATGATGGATACATGATGGATATATGATGGATATACGATGGATAATATGATGGATACATGATGGAAAATATGATGGATACATGATGGATACATGATGGATAATATGATAGATATATGATGGATATATGATGGATATACGATGGATAATATGATGGATACATGATGGAAAATATGATGGATATATGATGGATATATGATGATATATTATATGCATGAAGAATGCATTGTATATGGATGTAATGTCTGCTATTTCTTGAAAAAAACGATTTAATCCAATCAAGAAGCATGCCATGTCATGTAAGGTCATGCAAATAACCGCAAAGACAGGAGATTTATTGAGAAACAACATGATACTTCTGGGTGTCCCCCCAAATAGTCCTCAGATCCTTTAGCTTCAGTGCTCCTTAACCACAAACCTTAAATTGGTGGAATTGAGGGGCTCCTTTCTTTGGGGAAATGCCTGTATAATGTCAAACAAAGAAATCAGACTAGGGCTGAGAAAAATAATGTTCAAGCAAGCTGCCCACCTGAAGTATTTTGATCCGCTATTGTGAAGGAGAATAATGCATAAACACATATATCATATAGTGAGAAACCTGCAACATCCAATGAATCTCCAAGCTCAAACAAAATGTTGCATCCAGAACCATTCTTATCCATTCCTTATCACTCACCGAAACACCGATTGCCAAATCCAAGAACTTCCAAGCGAATAAACATGTCGTCAACCCCATGACCTATGATCAGCCCCATCTTGTTGAAGCTCCATCAAAACATCCAAAAGGCGCAAAAAAAGAGGAATATGGTTTGTTTGGGGAAACATGGTTTACATGGTTTAAAACATGAAAACACCTTTTATTTGTTGGTTGAAAACCTTCCCTCACAAACACGGACCAGAAACACGGACCAATCCAGCTGCACGGAGCTTCCAATCAAACAAAATTGATGGCACTGGGCGGGATTGCCTACCAGCAAAAATGAGGTTACAGATCAGATCAGGCTATTCGTCCAGATATCCAATGGTTTATCCTAATTTCCCCGATCACAACTGCTAGTTTTTGGCATGCGGCTGATACGGCGCCCTTGGAAGGGTTGTCGATTTTGAGATGTGCCATTTACGATCCCGTGGAAGGGTTGCAAATTTCAAAAATGAGGTTTTCCGAAATGGGGGTATAGGATTTGAAATTTTCTATTTTTTAACGTGTTGCACATGGAAGAGGCACATGTTGCATATGTTGTCGTATGATGGTCAGGGGGGGGGGGGGGGGGTGGGGGGGGGGGTGTGAAGAGGGGCCCTAGCGTCTACTTCAAGATCAGCTAAGGCGTCTTCCCCAATGACAGCACTCTTTTACTCTCAGCCTGTTGCCGGTCAGTGCTTGTCTACAGGGTTACTCTATATACCTCTTTCTTGAGCCTTGAAGGCGCATATAAATGTGCTCAATACTCATGCATGTACCTATGTAGGTATTAGGTCGAAACAAAAACACAGGCACAAATTCAAAAGCAATGAGTAGAGCACTACGCCTTGCCGTACCCAATTGGTATTAAGAGTATCTTCCTGACTTCTCTACACAATGGCAAATAGCAAAAGAAACCGGAGTTACGCAGTGGCTTCGAATTGAAAAACACGTGAAAGCAGCGAATGTCCTAAGGACATGTCGAAAAAGAACAGCGGATTCGCTAATTTTTCCAGTAGCGACCAATGGTGCTTCGCGCACGGTCTCTCCATAGGCAAAATGCCTCGCTCTACCGGTGAAAGTTCGAATTGAAAAGTTCGGGTTCGCAAGATTCAGAAATTCAGGTCATACGAAAACAATTGACCAAATCACGAAATAAACGGAAATAGCGGATCTCCAAAGTTGCTCATTCAAGCAAACAATGGACTGAAATCGAAGTTGGTAAATTTTTGAAGTTCGCTCCATTCGGAGTGGTCTGCTCGCCGGATGATTCATGGAGATAAATGTATATAGTATCTCTATTTACAAGAGTCTCTATTTTACATTAAATTGAAGTTCAGACACTTGTGGCATTATCTCTATCTAAAAGAGTATATGCCATCTGTGTGAAATAAGTTGAACGCACAGAAAAACTGTACACGGCTTCTCATGCTGTGTTATCTTCAATTAAAGAAGTGTACACTCACTCATCGCCACTCACTTGATCTCCATGGTCTGGACGCTGAAGATGAGGATCCACCCCACTCTGTGTTGCCCTGATACGTCGATGCTTGATCTTCATATGCCTTTCTCTTTTTCTCCTTCTGTCTTTCCTTTCTTGAATCAGCATACTGCTTCTTCTTGTAGGCCTGTTTGTAATGATGTCGTTCATTCCATGACATATCAGAAGGATCAAGATGGACAAGAATTGGATTATGAGCATCGCGATCATTTGGAGCAACCATGAAGATGTTGTGATCACCATGTAAGCAAGTTTCATTTACCTTGAAGTAAAATTCACCCACATAGTTCATGTGATCTTCATCCTCAAAGTCTTCTTGGTGTTCCTCACACATCAAACGTGAATGACCCCACTCAACAACTGTTA